TCTCTGTCTCTGTCTATGTCTATGTCTATGTCTATGCCTCTGTCTCTGTCTATATCTCTATCTCTATCTCTGTCGCTGCCTATGTCTCTGTCTCTGTCTCAGTCTCTGTCTATATCTGAATATAAATCTAAATCACACATGATAAAGATCACAACGTACTCTAGTACTCGACGATGAAAACTGTCTTCGCATGACACTCTTTTCCAAAGAAGAATCATCGTGTGTCTCATTCTCGGCTGCCAACAATTCAGCATACTCTGGTCGTTGACTAAGTAAGTCTTGATAATGTGAAAAAACAGTAGCCTTCCCCTGTTCTATCAAAATAATAGCATCTACATTTTTAACGTACTGTAATTGATGAGTAGCCAGTATTCTAGTCTTCCCAGCTAAATATCGTTGTATACACTCTTCGAACAAATGCTTGCTGACATGTGTATCAACCTAGAACATAAACGTCAAGTTAATAAATCAACGTCATCATAAATTGAAAGTTCTATTTTTATTCTGGATTCACTTACAGCGCTCAGAGGATCATCTAACAAATAAACGTCCGCTTGTCTATAAAGTGACCTAGCTAAATTGATTCTGGCTTTCTGACCTCCAGACAAGGAACTGCCTCTTTCTCCTACAACCGTTTGATCGCTCTGTGGAAACTGTTTAAAGTCCCTAAGCAAAGAACACGCTTTTACTACTTTCTGATACCGGTGACGGTCATAGGGTTGACCAAAGAGTATATTCTGTCTAACAGTGGATCCAAAAACCCATGCTTCCTGTCCTGCATAACTCAACGATCCGTTGACCTTCACGTGACCTTCTACCACGTCTATTTCTCCAAGAATCGCGGACAAGAATGAGCTCTTTCCAGCCCCGACCATACCGATTACAGCGTATATTTTTCCCTTTTCAATCTCCAGATTTAAATTATCGAGAGTGTTTTCTGATTGTCCAGGTTCCCACTTGGCTGTGAAATTGGTCATCTTCACCGCGTACGGCTCTTCGTTTATCCTAATAGAGGAGGAACGCTTTTTCTCTTCCATGAGATTAGCTGTCTTCTGCAATAAATCACTAGCGACGACCACCAGACCATTGTGCTTTCTCTTCTCCGAATCGTCCAAATTCTCGTACGTGCTTGTTTCCTCATCTATGTACGGTATGTCAGGCTTGGAAGTCTTGTTAGAAGCTTGTTTAGAATCATTATTAATGCTACCGTTAACGCTAGCGGCGAATTTATTTAATGCAAAGGTATTTTCTTGGAACTCTTCGTACATCAGGAAGTGTTGTAATCTTCGTACGGCTACTAAACACTCGGCTATTTCCGCGAAGCCGCGTACGAACATTCCAGTCATGGTGTGCGCCAGTATGTTGAAATACGAGGAGAACACGAACACCTTATCGGCTGATAATTCGTTCCCAAATAGCAGCATGCTAATGAGCGTGCAGAAAAGAGCCATTCTAGTGGTGAACAAGTTGAACGTCATATAAATGCCTCTTATGTAGCTACTCTTCTTAACCACTCGCAGTTCTAACTTGCGAGCAGTCTCTATCAAGGCACAAAACGATTTCTCCCACGCATACATCTTTATCACTTGTACGCCCGATATGATCTCGTCCATCAATCGAACTCTTTCATCGGTTTTGATAGCGGTCTGTAATCTGAACTTGGAGGACAGCTTTCCTGTGTAGGCTGGAATGCAAAGATCATGTTATCAGCAAGATTAAAAATTACAATTGTAAGCAGTGTGTCTAGATATTGCTTTAAGACTATCTATCATTTTACTACTTATCTTTTTATTCTACTATTATATTATTTGCTGCATATTGTAATGGAATTATCAGGAAACTCACATTGAATAGGCACGACAACAAATACAGCCGCAATACCGATCAGACCGGCGTATCCTGCCTCAGTGTATAGAAAGTACGCTATGATCAGTGCAGAGAGCGGTGCAGACCACATGTGATGAATAAAAATGGAAACAAGATCAAATCTGTTCACGTCGTTGGCCACTAAATTGACCACCTTCCCTGGTGCCGTCTCACCCAAGGCTGTTTTACTCAGTCGCAACGCCTGCATAAAATAAATGACTTAGTAAACTCTCCAAGATCAAATTAAAATATAAATCTGCATTACCTTCCGATAAACGACGGAACAAGTGGCGACTCTGATCCTGGCGCCAACATGGAAGGCGCCAAAAATTGCTTGGTTCAACGTGATGACATTTATTGCCGTTGCTATGCAAATACCAGCTGCATACCAAAGCGCAGTCTCGTAAGTTTCGTCTGTGGACTTCCTGAAGTACCGTAGTAAGCCGCCAAGTAGTATCGGGGTTCCTAACCTTTAAAAAAAAACGATACAATGCTTACTTCGAACGGGACTCAATTTTTACAGTATGACAAAAATTATTTTATGGTTTATGCTTTGTTTTCGAGATATAAACTAATACTCTCTAATAATTTTATAATATTCGAGTTGTAAATTATTTTAGTAACAATACTGATGTGCGATGCATTCGAAAAGATTCAAGTTGCGCGCGCATGCGTGCACAGTGGCGTCCTGCGCAATGCAAGATGCGCAGTAGTCAGACGCGCGGGCGACACGAGAGAGGCCATTCACTTTTGGCCCTTCTCACAGTGCCAATGTAAATAATCTTGTTGACCGATAGTGCTTACTATCTGTGCGTGCACGTGTTACGCGTGTCCGTAAACATGTACGTAACCATAAATAATCTGAAATTTGTGATTGATTGAATATTTAAAATTTAAGCCACTTGACGATCTTCAATCATTTATATCTCGAAAGCAAATCAAAAAAGTGATGAATGACTGACATCTTGCGATAAATACCTTATAACGAATTCGTTAAGTATTTGCATTAGGCCAAGCACTACATATTCCCACAAAAAGGCGCGAAAAATAGCTCTGAGTAGACTGGGTCTCCGTTTATATCTTTTCGAATTTTCCAATTCATTATTCCATCGTCTGAAAAATTTGCATGTTACTATTCCTGCTATTTCGAATAAAATTTTATTTAGATACTAACTTTTCTAGTCTGTCACCGAGCAGGTTAGATCTATCGTTCTTCAGAGGATTATACAAATCGTCGATCTGTAAAACCTTCTTGTATCCTGTCTTGAATAAATCTATCGTCCACCTGTGCAACATTGAATGTGACGTGTAATTTACTCGGGCGCATCAATGCGGAAACGTGTGATCAGATTTAACGGTACACATCGTACCAGCCATAAACTAATTATAACATGGTTCCAAAACCAGTTGCGTGCGGTTCTTCAACGATTAAATAATTAGCTCATTTATTTGTTTTTATCGTTAAATTGGATAAAAAATTATGATGAATAAAAAAAACGTTCGGTAAACATAAAACACAACATTGTAATGACTTGCGATAAGGATAGAAATAAAACAAGAATAACTACCTAAGCGCCGACTCATCTTGTGTATGACGTGACTTACAAACACTTATCTTTCATGAGTGAATAAAATTTCGTAACATTACACTGCAGTTTCAAGAGTATCCTCATTTTTATGTAACCCGTATATACATTGTAACTTTGTTAAAATAAAAAGTTAATATATCATTCATTTTACATCTGTTATAACATAGCAATTTATCTCGTTAATATTCGTTGCATAATTTTGTCGAAGTTTCTTTTATTTATTCAGCCAATTTGAAATTGTAATTCGGTACACGAATTCTGATTACAGATGCAGAACGATCTGTCACTTTCACGGGATATTTAGCCTGATCACGGAAGAGTCGACCTTGGATAGCTCAGTGGATAGAAGGAAAAGTTGTTCTCACCCAAATGGTAAGAGAAACTAAGCGGTCAACTTACCACCAAAATAACACCGACAGTAGATTCGCCTTCTCCCGAGGATTCGGTTTCGATTTCACGTTGCTGGAGTCCATCTTCCGTGATGCGGTACATTAACTATCTTGACTGATACTTTATGCACGAACTAAAAAACCGTTGTCAAATTTTCCTCTTGCAGACACTTAGGGAATAGAAAAGATTCTCACTATGTACAGTTATCTTTAAAGTAGCTTATCTAAGAGTCCCCTTAAAAGTGGATTAATTGACGTGTACTTGAGCAACCACTTGAAAGTTTACACCGATGATACAGGAGAATCACAGATTCAGGTTATCCGGGTGAGTTGATAGATCTGTTTTCGAACTGTTCATCCGAACTTGTAATCCCGGAACACTATTACACGCGATCGTACCATGGATGAAAGTAAGTCGTATACCGGTCGAGCACCTGTATTTAAAACAAAAAGACATCGTATGTATCGTATTCGCGCATGGTATATGATCTCTCATCTTTATCTCTACTCTTGCTTCGTCATTGCTCAAACAACCACGGAAGGTCGCGTGATGTTTTCACACCATTAATGGTAATCAGAGTATCTGATCTGTTCTATGAATTAACGATGACAGACAATAGTCGGTAAGCTTTCACGAAAGATTTCCATGCGACATTTAATCGCAGTTTAGAAATTAATTCTGTACAATCAAAATTCAACGAAGCATGTCAAATTTAAATAAGTTGAGTAACTTGTTGCAAGTATTAGCACGTCTCCTATAAATCGTGCAACGTTTATAGCTGTTCAAACACAATGTCGCTCAATCGAGGAGATAAAAAGTTCACGGTGTACAATGTGATGATACCAACCTAGTGGAAAGTTCGTAGCCATTAATATTCTGTGAATAACAATTACGATAGCGATATATTAACTCGTTAATAATATATACTTTAGTAAATTGAGAAAACCATTAACGCGTAGTTAAAATATTTTGACTAGAAAATTTTTTGGCGGGAATTTTTGAAAGCGTATTATCTGTATGTATATTTTCTAATAATGACAAAGTATTATTTCATCAGAATAAAAGAAATAAGCTTCTAAGTAAGAGATAGTCAAATTAATAACGAGTAGTTAAAATATTTCGACTAGAAAAAATTTCGGCGGGAATTTTTGAAAGTGTATTGTCTATATGTATATTTTCTTGTAATGACAAAGTATTATTTCATCAGAATAAGAGAAATAAGATTGTAAAGAAGAATTCAAACAAGCTATTAAAGTATCACTACAATGTTTGCATTTCTTTCAAGCCCATTGTCTTCCATGTTTAATTTACTGCGTGCCAATAGTCTTGCGCGCGACGAAGATGAAATAGTGCCAGTAATCTTTGGTGTCATTCGTGATTCAGCATTACCACCGTATCTGCTCGACTGTAAATCATTCAACTCACGAGGAAAAGTCTCAAAAGTTCTTTGGCAACTAATAACTTTATGAAATAAATATCGTGATTTGGGTGTACATTGATAATATTGAAGCTTTCTTCTGTAAACGAAAATATTAAAAAAGTTGTTTGGTACGATGAGAGATATGTAGTATAAATAATTTGTTCGAATGACTGCAGAAGATTTGAAGGTCGAATTAATTCTCTTGACAAAGTGTATTACGTTCTTCGTACGGAAAAACTTTTATGAGACTTTTCTTGATATCACTTTCTTCTGACATATTTTGGCGGGAAAATTTGTAATGGACGTTTGTTTAATTACAGTATTTTCCATTGCAAGAGTGACACGGAAACAATATGGTTTAGCAGATATTTTTATACATTTTCCGTGACATTATGTAACCTTATGTAACACTAAGAAAATTGTTTAAATGAATAAAAAAGTGAAAGTAAAAATTTGTGTATTTTTATTGTTAAATCGTCTTCCGTTAAAAAATTATACATACCATTTTGTAAAAATTATTTTAAACTATGGATAATTACACTACGATTATTCAAGGTTCACCATGACGTTTATTATCGATCTTATCAGTTCTATAAACCTTTTTTAACGTTTACTTGTCGACGTCGACCATAATTTGCAACATATCTCTAGATTGCGATAACTGGAAGCCCGAAAGTAAATTTTAATATTTGTAAATTTGTGTACTTGTATATTTCATTTAAATGAGTGCCCCAAGGCAAGTCTTTTTTAACATTTGGGCGGTTCTGGTCAAAGGTACGATTTTTGCTGCACTGGTATGTTAATTTAACAAAAGAATAGTAATTTCGAACGGTAAAAAAAGACGTTAAAATTCAGTCGGTAATGATAGTGTAACACACGATGAGTGTAGAACGCGTGCGCGCGCAGTATCGTAAAGCAATAAACAAAAAAGGTAAACGAACTGTCATTTTCTACTGTTCTTAAGATATTAGCAAATTTATGCTCAGCAGATAGGAGTAACCGCGAAAAAACAGGGATTAAATTACGACTTTATAATACACAAACACGTTTTCGCAACTGTCTCGTCATTTTGAAGAATTTCTTTTTCCGAGTTCAAAGCGGAAGTGTCAAAGTAAAAATAGACGCGGGAAATAATCACGATTATCAGACACAACGAAAACTAGAGCTGTAAATCGAATTCGTATATTTGAATACTCGAATTCGCGGAAGTATTCGAAGTTCAAAACCTTACGAAGTTATTCGACTTTTTACAACTCTAATGGAAACGCGTTATGCAACGCGTCGAAACGAGCTGAGCGATTAATACACACAAAGCTATGATGGAATCGCGCGAATTAAGATCATTTCTTCTTCTACGAATCCATAGGTTTCTAGATAAATATTTTCGTAAACGTTCGAAAATAATTGTGATGTTTGATTATTAACCCTGGATACCATTTAATAACGACGAATCGAATCTTCTGGTTGTGTAACGTGATCCGACTAATGGAACGGATACATTAAACGATGCTACATGAAATTGTTATCGAAGACAGAAGGTGAGAACGGGTTAATTGTGGACGACACTTAACGTATAACGTTTTGCGCGATACCAGCATTCCTCCTCATTCCGTTTAATAAATACCAGAATAACTCGCGTTATTTTATCTATGTTAGATGAGACAGAAAGACCAACAGTTTGTTTTTGTAACGTACTTGGCAATTTCGTGGAAAACACGTGGGTTCTATTTTCAATTGTCTCTTAATATTCAAATCATTGCTAGCGTACACTTAATCGGAAGGATGTGCCATCATAATTTCCGAAGTGGTCTAAAGAGTATTTTGAGCTCAAGGGTTAAACGCGTCTTCTCAGTGTACCGGGTAGCGTGTATTTTGGCCTTGACGTTAACATGCTGACCCGTCGTATACATAAGTGTTTCGAGTTACAGTTAAGAGCGAATTTCTATCGTAACATTCGTTCTAGGAAGCATTTAATGCGGATAGATACTTACTTTATTTAGTAGCGTTTGTTTCTAGCGCTAAAACAGAACATCACAGTCTATGCATATTACTTTGTTAAACACGCATCACCAGTACCCAAACCACGTACGTTTGGCGCAAAGCCCACGCCGCTACTGAACAGTTTTTGCCTTTCCTCCGCTTGCCTCTTCATGCGGTGACGTAATAATTCTATTAGGGTGCGTTTCAAACTGTTCGATATGTTTACTATGTCTATTCGATTGAACCGAATCGTGTAAAGTGGATTTGTATCGGATAGAATCGCGTTGAGTTAAATTGTATCGAGTTGGATTGTAATGCTTGGAATCGAGTCGAATTAGATTGCATCAGGTTGAAGTCATTGATGCAATGATTTGGAGTCCTAGATGGGCCTGTCCCCACCCCTAAAATGAAGGATTGGCCTTTGTATAGTATGTGTAGCACTTTTTGATATACTCAAAAATTCCAAAAGGCAAGAATCGTATCTAACCCGACCCAATTTTTCTACTTAACCTATATGTGCATTTGAACAATTGGAATTGGTTGAAATCAATTAGAGGTATATTAATAGTAACAAAATAGTACAGTAAACGGTTTAAGTAGGAAAACAATTTATTTCACCTTCAAAGCAGTGTCATAGACTACTTATAAAAATAATACTATTATTACAATTGTTTTAATAGCTAAATGATATGCACAATACATTGTGTATGTATTGTGTATATACCTCAAGGCGTTTTATATATGTGCATTTGTATTTATAAGAATATATTTTTAATAATCTATTAGAAATAGTCTCAAAAATATGAATTTTAATTTTGTAAATATTGTCTTTCATCTCAATGTACTTATTCTATTTAAATCTTCATTTTACATTCACCTGACTATCATAAAAAAAATTTGTTAGTTCACTTGTGTTTAAAACAAATTCAACTTGATTGAGCATGAATTCAAAATCGAAGTAAAAAAATATTTTTACTCCTGACTCAATATTGACAATTAGGTCGTTGATTCTTCTCGCATTGATAAATAAACGAATGTACAATTGCACTACTCCATCAAATTGTGATGACAATTTCTATGAGAACTTAATTTTCATCATCGTTTCTGGTGTTCATAAAGAGTATGTCATGGCAAAATATTTATATTAAATTTCATATTTGTTTTCCTTATAAAAAATGTCAAAGTACGAGTCATTAAACAAAAAACTACAATCATGACTTTGTCTGGAATGGTAAAAAACATAAGAGATCTTGCGTCAATACGAAAGATCTCTTTATCATTATTTATATTACTTGCATGATTTATAGATGTTTTGTTTGGTTGTTATAATAAAAACATCTAGCAAAATTCGATATATTTCTACAAAATAAAATAAAAATAAAATAACTACTTGTGTCTGTTATTCGCCAAATATAAAGGCGCTATTTTTACTTAAAAAAAAAAAGTATAATACTTCTAAAATATACTATATCGGAATCACTTCCTTCCTATCCAACTAATCAATGAGTCCGAGAATTCGATAACATTAATCCAAGTTTCTCGTAGGCATACGTCAAATTTTTTATCAAACCTTCACAACATCCGTTCTTTTCTATGGTTTGAAATCTGTAAGTTCTGAAGTTCTTCTCTGTATCTATGTAGGTAACAGCCGCCATTAATGGACATATAATAATTTTTGTGTGATCTAGGAAATTTATCTGAAAAGGAAATAAAAAAATTTCAATGTAGAAACTTAAATTTATAACATAAAAATGTGAACATTTAACTCACTTGTACTGTTCCATTTGTTAATTGCATAACTACGGCGCTTTGTGTTCTGAACCACTGATACATATAGGGTATCCTAGACATCGCATCGCATGGTTTCACGTTAACTGAACTTCCAGCTTTCATTAAATTCTCTTTCATGTATTTTAAAAAGAAGTTCAACAGTTTCATCTTTTTTTCTAATTCGGGCGGGTATTCTCTGGCCGTATAGTACAGTTCATTTCCCTCGCGATTTATATAATGTATATTGAAGCAATTAGCTAACATAATTAGTCGAGTACCATCGTTGTACATCACACCCACTCCGTCGTCAGAAAGTTGATAACCGAAACCGTATTTATCTGAATAGTCCACCCATTTACTTATCCATACTACAGGTTGAGCGGCTGGATCTGTCATTTCATCTGTAAAGTTTAAATAGATTTATGTGAAATAAATAGGCATTTGCAGAAAAAACGATTCAGTGAGGCATGTGTTTTTTCCGTGTTTGCCAAACAAGCGTCTACGGATCAAACAGCATTTGGAGCCGCGAATTTCTCGGGGGAAAAAAACGACAACACATGCGACCTTTTATAAACGCGTGCAGGCTCGAAGTCTTCAAAATTTAACTACCTCATGTGTTGTGATTTTTTCAATAATAATATTTAATGATGATAGTACCTGCTGACGAAGTTGTCTCTCTACTTGGTTTAGACTTTAACACACCAGCCAGCTGCTCTCGTAACGTCTGCTGCATCTTTCTAATGTCATGATTCAGCTTTTGAACTTCACTCATTGTATCTGCAGGCTTTGCTTTACGAGCTGGACTAACAGGTACTCGGAATATAAAGTCTTGTCCCTCTCCTCCTATATTAGTGTTCATTTCGGACAATGGTTTACGTTGATTGTGCATTTCTAATGTATCTAACCGGGGTGCCATTGTCAAACATGATAGAGGTAAACTGACTGGCATATAACCTGCAACGTAATAAAATTATAAATTTCATGTTCTGATCTGACACTGCAATTTTTAAGCGGTTCAATGATACTTGCCACCAGTAAGAAACGGATCTGTCATTAATTTTGATATGGATGGACGTTTAGACGGAACCCCTTGCAACATATTAGATATCATGTTCATCGCAACTGTATTTATATGAGTGGGAATTTTGTACTGGACCTGCTTAATTCTAGCATAGGTTTCTCTTAAACTAGAGGTTTCAAATGGAGGTTTGCCGACTAACAAGGTATACATAATGCATCCGATACTCCATATGTCAACTTCATAAGAATGACCAGCTTTAGTTAAAATTTCTGGTGCTATATAATTAGGTGTGCCACAAAGTGTTCTATTAACAGAAAATAAGATTAACTTCACAATATCTGGATGTAAGCTACACTAAATGTTATAATTACTTTTTTCGTTCTCCATCATGTTCTAATCTGGTAGCCAACCCAAAGTCACCAATCTTAACTTGTAAATCGTCATTCAAAAATAAGTTGCCTAACTTTAAATCTCTATGAATAATTCTATTTTGATGCAAGTAATTTACTCCTTCTAAAATTTGTTTCATATAATACCTGGTTTCACATTCTGTTAATGCTTTTCTACGTTTATGTAATTCCATCATTGACTGAAAAATATAATAACTGGTTTAACAAACTACATGAATCCAAAAAAATTGATAAATCCTGTAAATCATTTACCCTTTTACGGCATAATTCCAGGATTATATATATATTATGCGGGTCATCAAAAAATCCATAAAAGCCAACAACATTTTTATGATTTAAAGTTTGATGAATAGAAATCTCTTGTGTCATTTTCTCCCTGTGATTGCTTTTTGTAATCTGCGATTTTGGTACAATCTTTCCAGCGAATGTGCGATGTGACTTTGATTCTCGTATTTCGTAACATTTTGCGAAACCACCCTGCAAAGTTAGGTAACTAAACTTATTAATTACTGTATACAGACAGAATATAAACAAATATAAAACAGAAATTTTGTTATATATATTGTTCATGCATCAAATGGCATATGTTTTAATAAGCTTGACAATGTACTTCCAAATATTAACATTTTAAGTACATAATTATATTGATATCAATGTGCATTAAAATTTATTGAAAAGCTTATTTCTTAATACATGCTTTATTCATAATTTTAAGGATAAAGCAACATATGTTGGCATGTAGTAGCAAGGCTACTGAAATAAAAAACTAAAATACAGAAAAAAACATTCAGCTTACAAGGAAGCACTTTAAATAAAGAAAAATCAAGAACATAAAAGGATTACTTACTTTCCCAAAAAATCTACCCTTAATATAACTTTTTCCGGAGTTTGTATCGTATATGACGTCGGGAATAATACACTCTTTTTCATCTTTCGACATCTTCAATTACATTCATAACTTTCTTGTGAACTAAAAATTGCTGCTTTTGCTCGTGCAAGAAAGTCAACGGATTTCAATATTTAAATCCCAGTTTGTTGACCAATCCGCGCTTACCTGAGCAAATGACCAACAATATATGCAATTATCCCCTAGTAGCGAAATAACATGCTGTCGTGTTTCCATGAAAATCATGCCGATATTGTTTTTCTTTTCTTTATTGTCTGCAATGTACTTCATCTTCTGTAATATATTTCTTCTGAGCATTTGTAGAAGTATATGTCAAATATGTATATTTAGAATATTTATATTATCGTATGTAATTCATTACGCAAGACCACTCATCGTACAGGTTTTTCGTAACCACGGAAATGTGAATGCGCGTTTACAACGTTCGCGATGTCAAGCGCGTTAACTAGTAATTTTTATTTTATGTTTTTTACGTCATCAATTCTTTTCTTTATGCACACATTTTTGTCTACCAAGTATATGGCTGATAGGTATAGAACCTAGTGGTAATATACGCGATGGATGAAAATAAACGAACAATGTGAAACGATGATAATGTATGAAGTATACAAGATAAGTGAAATGTTACATCCAGTTTCTTAAATGTATTCATAAATTATATAAACGTAGGATAGAAAATATTTCGCCAAACAAAAGGAATGTACCGCAATCAATGAAAATTAGAAATTATAGAAATTTTTGTCCACTGGGTATACATTTTGACGTTCTGATTAACGTCACAACGCATGTGCAACACCATAGATTATAAAGTATATAGAACTTCCTATGTGTAAAACGAACAAAAACTCATCTATTATGTCTAATAAAAAATTAGATAATAAATAAAAACGAGAGAAATTGTTTTTATATGCTCACTCGAATTAAGTGAAATAATATCTGAAGATTAATATTAGAATCACTGAGTTCGTCACATGAGAATCGTTCTTAATATACAGGATATCCGGTAATGTCAATATAGTAATTTTACTGGTGTGGTCGATGCTTCTGTTTCCGGCAACCGGCGTCCATTTTCATTGTTAGCTTATAGAAGACTGGCGCGTTTCGTGTTAATGAACGGATTATTTAACAATAAGTGGAATGTGAGCACATATTAATAGTACTTTAGTGATAATTTATTTGTTGTTTTTCATTTGATAAGTGTAAGATTCTCAATTTATCTCAGAATCAAAATTAAATAGGGAATCCGTATAGGCACCTCCGAAGAATTTCGGATAGCGTCTATAGCTTAGTCTGTGGCATAATGGAGTACACATTGTTAAATTAAAAATTTTATCGATAGTTTTAGATATACTAATAAATGGAGGGTGCGCCAGCTAGCAGAGGTGGCTTTCGTGGTCGCGGAGGTCCAGGTGGTCCAATGAGAGGACGCGGTTTTGGAGATAGGGGAAGGTAACTTTTACTTCAAATCAGTTTAATTAATTAATACATAGGGTGTTTGTAATAATTAGAAACAAGCCATACCTTTGAAATACTTAAAGGTATTTTGCATTTTTAGTTATTTCATAAGTAAATTTCACTTTGACTAAATATAAAATAATTTTGTATTATTTTTTAGAGGTGGACCCCCGAGAGGTGGTGGTGGAGGTGGTGGAGGAGGAGGTATGATGCGTGGTGGCCGTGGTAGTGGACTTGGAGGTGGTATGAGAGGTGGACCACCTGGAATGAGAGGTAGAGGTGGTCCTCCTGGCAGAGGTGGCCGTGGTGGTCATTTCCCCCCAGGGTATTTATATTTTGTTTAGCAATTATGTAGAAGGAGTTTCTGCTTCTATAACATAGTTTGTTATTTTAGAGGTCCACCAGAACCAGGTATGTCCAGTGGACCTGGTGGAGGTGGCCCCCCACCAGGAATGGGAGGCCCACCACGCAGTGGAAGCAGAGATTAGATAATAAATAAAAACGAGAGAAATTGTTTTTATATGCTCACTCGAATTAAGTGAAATAATATCTGAAGATTAATATTAGAATCACTGAGTTCGTCACATGAGAATCGTTCTTAATATACAGGATATCCGGTAATGTCAATATAGTAATTTTACTGGTGTGGTCGATGCTTCTGTTTCCGGCAACCGGCGTCCATTTTCATTGTTAGCTTATAGAAGACTGGCGCGTTTCGTGTTAATGAACGGATTATTTAACAATAAGTGGAATGTGAGCACATATTAATAGTACTTTAGTGATAATTTATTTGTTGTTTTTCATTTGATAAGTGTAAGATTCTCAATTTATCTCAGAATCAAAATTAAATAGGGAATCCGTATAGGCACCTCCGAAGAATTTCGGATAGCGTCTATAGCTTAGTCTGTGGCATAATGGAGTACACATTGTTAAATTAAAAATTTTATCGATAGTTTTAGATATACTAATAAATGGAGGGTGCGCCAGCTAGCAGAGGTGGCTTTCGTGGTCGCGGAGGTCCAGGTGGTCCAATGAGAGGACGCGGTTTTGGAGATAGGGGAAGGTAACTTTTACTTCAAATCAGTTTAATTAATTAATACATAGGGTGTTTGTAATAATTAGAAACAAGCCATACCTTTGAAATACTTAAAGGTATTTTGCATTTTTAGTTATTTCATAAGTAAATTTCACTTTGACTAAATATAAAATAATTTTGTATTATTTTTTAGAGGTGGACCCCCGAGAGGTGGTGGTGGAGGTGGTGGAGGAGGAGGTATGATGCGTGGTGGCCGTGGTAGTGGACTTGGAGGTGGTATGAGAGGTGGACCACCTGGAATGAGAGGTAGAGGTGGTCCTCCTGGCAGAGGTGGCCGTGGTGGTCATTTCCCCCCAGGGTATTTATATTTTGTTTAGCAATTATGTAGAAGGAGTTTCTGCTTCTATAACATAGTTTGTTATTTTAGAGGTCCACCAGAACCAGGTATGTCCAGTGGACCTGGTGGAGGTGGCCCCCCACCAGGAATGGGAGGCCCACCACGCAGTGGAAGCAGAGGAGGTGGTAGCAGTGGTTTCCGTGGTCGAGGAAGAGGTGATTTTGGCAGAGGAGATAATCGCGGAGGTAGTAGTAGTTTCCGTGGCCGAGGAGGTATGGATAGAGGCAGTCGAGGTGGATCTAGGTATGCAACATAACTACTGTTATTCATAGTACTGTTGTATTATTCATTTTAATTTATATTTGTTTATAATTCATTAGGGGTGGATCTGGTCGAGGTGGTCTGGGCGGCAGAGGTTTTGGTGATCGCGGAAGTAGAGGAGGCGGACGCGGCGGTGGTCCGACAAAACGAGGAGGTGGACCGCCAGGCTCAAGCGGACCTTCTAAAAGACCAAGATTCGATCAACCATCTTCACAACCTGCAAATGGCTATGCAACTCAACCACCAAGGTAGTTCATATCATTCCACTTCGTATAGATAAAACTATGAGATACCAATTTTTGAACATTACAGTCAAGGATATGGAGGAGGTGCTAGCAGTACTTATGGTGGAGGACAGCAGCAGCCACAACAACAGCAACCAGTGGGATATGGTGGAGGTTATGGATCACAGAATTATACCCAATCATCTTATCAAGGATATGAGAGTTACCAACAGCCTCCAGATTATGGTCAAACAGCTGTAAGCTACTTCACATAATATGTCTTAAATAAAAATACTTAGAACTTGCTCAAAGAGTTCGTATTTTTGTGCAGGGTTATCCACCATCAGCAACTGCTGATAGTAGGTATGGTGGAGCACCTGCTGTTCCAGCCACAGGAGCTTTCAGTACTGGAGATCCCTACAGTTATGGCAAAGCACCACCATCAGGTTAGTTCATTATCATATAAGTTTTTTGCCTTTGCTATGAAGCTAGAACTTCAATTAAGAGTTTAAAAAAAGAACAAATCAAAAAGTTTACATCTCACGAATAAAATAAACAAGGGCGAAAATACTTTAAAGGATTATGATTTAATTAATCTGATATACTGCATGCACAGCCAATTACCAGCAGGAGGCAGTGGCAGCAAGGGGCGGGGGTATAGGTTATGCCCCTGCTAATCCCTATGATGACCAATCTTCTAATGCTACTTCTATGACCAACAGGGGTTGTTACTCGACGCAACTTTATGGTTAGTTCTTTCGTTCGACACCACATTTTACATTACATCCTTATCTTCTCTCCGGTTTCATTTGAAAACAGAAAAATAAGGGAGAAAGTAAGGGAGGTGAATAATAAATACCATCCTGTCCTTATTTTTTTAAACTGATTATACACGAAATGCTCGAATGTACATCGATTCAGACGAGAAATGCTTAATTATCAGAGAACTGGATTTTTTTCAAAGACAAGAATACGCAAATAAAAAATGTTTATTCCCCTTTTTTTCTTACATTTTTTGTTTTTATTTGCGGAATTTGAAAGAGTTGCGTTTTTTAACTACTCCTACGACATCAAAAATTGGCAAACGAACACATGTGGTTGTTATAGTTATTTTCATCTGGATACCAGCATATAGCACTGCCTCCTGCTATTATTTACCGTAGATACTCTACCATGATATGTACTGATGAGAAATCAGAACAGGAAAGATTAACATTTTACAAAGTTTATTTGTATGTGGGTAAATATGTAGCTAAAATTAAAAATCTGTTGAATTGCAGATTTTTCTCGTCTGAGTCACATTTACGTTACCTTAAGTATTTTCAGGGACAGTGTATAATTTCTGTTTATTATATTTACAGATTATTCGACTCAAGATGGTGTATATGGAAAACAGGATTATGGTAAGTACAACTTACAATCCAAAAGATATATTTAACATTTGAATGTCGGTTTCTTATCGTAAACAAAAATATTCAGGTTCAATTTTAAACGTACTACCAAGAAAACGATCATATTTCATAGTTTAAACAAACAAACATGTTCGAGAAACTGAAAATCTTTAACTTATAACAAATAAGGAAGAACACGTTCACTATTGACTGCAAGAAATAAAATAGAGCAGGTTTATTTGAACCGTATATTGTTATAAATGAAAACGAATATAAAACAGATCATATTTTTCGTTAGAACTTTAATAAGACAAATATTACTATGGTTATTAAGTATTATATTTATTATCAAGAAAGGATATAGATTATTTAAAAAGTAAAACTTTATATTAGTTATATAATAACTGAAAAATAATTGAAGGATTTATCTCTAACGTTGAAACAAATTTTAAAGTTACGCAAAATTTAAGTATTATATGTGGTAATAACAGGAAAATGTTGCGCCTTAAGAAAAGTATATTATTCAATTTTTCTATGACAATTAATGTCTATATTGACCTAGAATTAAATACAGAATCAAAGAAAACTGTATTTGGAAAGTGATTGAATGGAGAAGCTATGGTTGTTTGCAGGTGGCAGTGCTGGTTACCAAAACGCCCAGTCTCAGCGACGTTATTAAATGACATAATCAACTATTTAATTTTATATACTAGATGTACAATTTTTCAAATTTATAGAATCATTCCTAGCGCGTGAAAAAGTTGGACAAAAGATTTTTTTGTCTTAAACACTAAGTGTTTTGTAATTACTTATTATATTGGTCAATTCTTAGAACAAGAAAAAGAAAATGAAATTACAGGAAATGAAATGATGCATTTTAACGAAAATTTGATGATTTCCTATCTTTGTCGCGCGCATGGGAAAAAGCTTTTCATTAATTTGCGCGAAAAGCGCAAACGATTGTTTAATTACGATAAAAGTATAAATGACATGAGCGTTTTATACTTGACTAGCTGTATAGTGTCTAATTTGTCATGTTTAGCTAACAACTTCGTTTTAGATTAAGCTTAGTTGGTGTACAGTCATTTTGAGCTAATCTGCGAACTGTGAAATAATATTAAATCATATTGTCTTAATTGTAATGCTAAGGACAATGATATTTACATTATTTGAAAAGTCATAAAATAGATAATAGCTGTGAAAATGCAGCTTAATATCATTAAAAACAAATTATTATAGATGTAGAGAAAAGTTGGTGTTTCACATTCTGTATAAAAAAACATAAAAAAAGGTAATTGTATTTTATGGTGTATTCTTTCTACGGATCGAAGGATCCTGAATTGTATCAGAATATACTGCCCTTTTTATGCGTTAATAGTGTGATTTCAATTTTGTGACAATATTTCTACAAAATAACGATTTTATAATGCATCAGTTTTACTCCTGTGACATTTAATTTAATATGTATAATATAAACTCTAAACAATGCGAAGTACTCTGCTTAGAAGTGACCAAGATTAGTCGTATGTCAAGTCGAAGAATTTACTTCAAAAGTGATTTTAAACTTAATACATTTTAAAGTGTCACACTAGCAGAGACAATCAAAACAATATCAGCGATACAAAGGAATATTTATAGTACACTGAGAAACAATGTAATTACTCAGGAAGTAACATGCATGAGTAGGTACAAAAATTTGATCCCAATGATTGTGCACATTAGAGTACAGAATCATTACATAGGGGTAGGTAATGTGATTTTATGTTCTGTCAACACTATATTAATTATGAAATTATCTACACCGTATTAAAGTCATTTTCGTATGTCATCAACATAGTGATAGCGAATCAGATTAATATTGTAAGTGATAGAGTAACGAGTGAAATGAAAACAAATCATGAAACAAAGAAATATGAAAAAAAAAGTAATATTTTTTACATTTATTACTTCCTTACCTTCAACAATGAAACATGAATTGAGCATACAAAAATTTATAAATGAAAAAAAGAAACCAGCAACTGCCGTAGAAATTCGAATACGTACAAAAATGACCCTTCTAGTAAAAATGTATGATCTATTTATACAAATAACGTAGGTATGAAAAGTTTTGTTAAAACTGATACTTGATCTTTTAATGCACAAATTTTTTTGTAATTTTCTCAACAAAATACAACCAAACAGTATTTTTATTTGTTGTACGTATGCATATAATTTGTCCAGACAATACTTTACATTCAAAATGAAATTAGTATTATTGTTCTAAAATATTTTTACCGAACATTGGTGGACAGTTTTAGATATATAAAAAATTTGACGCAAACTAAGTTTATTTCACAGGCGTAACAACAACCTGAGATACTTAGGGAACACAATGAATGAAAGAGAGAATACCTTCCCTCCATTACCAGCAAGGATAACATACAATGTTATATGAATAAATGACGACTGTATGATAAAGTTATTATTGTCCAATGGCACAGGTATCAATACACCTAAATGAAATTTAGAAAATATTGTTTCTTCTGTTAAAATATAGTATTTTCATTGATTAGTATCTTTCTTTGATTTTTCTGAACAATTGATCTGTACAAAATAATATTTCATCTTTTTTATGGTGCACCCATTTTTTTCATTCAAACTATTATATTAAAAATTTTGTTTGATGTAAATAGTACACATCAGACAATTTATTGTTTTCCAAGTTACCATGTACAAAACAAACTTAGTACGTACCATGTATATATGTACAGAGAAACAAAAAGAATCTTTAACGAAATGAAATATACGAACAGTATTAAAGAGTCATGGAAAAGCAAGCAACAAGAATAACGAATTAAATCTATGCTAACATGTATTACGCTCATATATATAGTAAAAGACAAATGCTCGAGTAAACCTCAACCAAAATTCAGGTGAGTAAATACAAATCTATCCGTTTTTTATACAAAAAAAAAACTACCAATTAATTGAAAACACAAATGTTAGCAAGGATAATATTAAATAGATCTGCATCTATCGAGTGTAAAGTGGAATGATAACAAAAAATGTGTAGGGTGGTTTCATTACCTAATAACATGCATCATTTTTCATAGTATCATAGGGATTTAAATAGTAATATAATTTTCATAATTAAATATCCTTGAGAATAGAAAAGCAATGAATAACATACAGGTACAGGACATACGGTGTGTGTTCGCTGAATATCTTTTCACAAATTTTAAACCGCTTTATACATGCGATACCTGCAGTATTGTATGTCATAACAATATTAATGAGATAACAGTAAGAAATACGAATAGAAATTTGATCAAAAACAATATTCCATAAGAAAAACAAATAATAACTTATCGTGATCGTAAATACAAAACATGATGAAAAGCAGGGAAGGAATGTACCAAATATTTATGAAAAAAAAAACTAAGAATATAATGTTTTTTATAAATTAATTAATAACAAAACTTAATACGGTTTATGTATTGAGTATCAATGCGTTTAACGATAGGTATATATAAGTTTTGTTATTGCTTACTTATATCTTGTACATTTTTCTAATTTGTTATCATTACTTTCTCTAGGTTGATAACGACTATGCCGTCACACATGGTCGTACTACCATTGAATGAGCTGAGCAACATCTGCCACATGACTGGCATCGACGTTGTTCCTCCAAGAAGAACCGAGTGTTTTTTATATTCCAATGGAGAGTATTAGAGAGGTACAAGCATCGTACTTAATACACTTCAACAAAAGACTGAATACATAAGACTTATAAGTAACTGATTGTGATATATTTGTGATAAGAAAAAATATATTTTTGCAAATAAAATATACAATTTATGTATAAATGGTATAAAATAATTTATCAAATTTTAAAATACATATAATATTTTTGTAGTTCTTATAAATTATTTATTTATATATGTTGTTTGAGTAAAAACGAATTAAAGACGTGTTTCTAAAGTCGTTTTAAGTATGTTTTGTGACATTTCAACAATAAAAAATATTTTTTATTTATCATTTGAAAAATTGTATTCATCTTAAAAATAACATCACATCTTTCATTAGTTTGTTCTTAAACTAAAATATTATGTACAGAGATATAACGTTAGTACACTTTCTTCTAACAATTTTTTTTTTTAAAGTACAAAATTCTAAATGCGTTACACTAACTTATTTAAATACCTACACAGTTGCACAGTTTTTATTCTATACTTTATAATTCGACTGTACACATGACTTACATTGTAGACAAAATTAACAAAAAAACTAAAATTACAAAAAAGAATTTAACATTTATATGTTCATATATTTTTTTAAACAAAAGTAATATTCTTTGATTCTTTGAAGTTAATTATGACTTGAGTGAAACTTATAAACATGTATGTTTTAATTGCTATTTGACTAACATAGAGGAATCACCTTATTGCTTTTGTTAAAGTTATAGCATAGGATCACATTTGAGGAATTATTTCTCCTCGTACATGGCACAGCTATATTTGTATCGCATCGCTTTATCGCGCACGTCTTTTATGATTAGTATTGTTAGATAAAAGTACCAGTTGGATATAACTGTGTCCTTCTCTCATATTAATCAATCTAAAAATATTCAACTATTTTATACAGAATACATGGATCGTTGTTAAAAGGAAAGCAATTTTTTACCTATTTTTTTCTTGTTGCTGTATGTGCACTCTATCACCTCTCTCTAAAGGAGTTATTACACTCGTGTAACATGAAACCTCAGTAGCTGACATGGAAGAAGCTGTTGAACATTTTACGAGCTTCCGTGTCGTAGATTTTCCCTCCGAACTTAACAGTATCCAATAGGAGTAGTTTGTTGGTTCACCAAAATAAAATATCTGAAATATAGTAGAATGTATATAGTTATTTTAGTGAATGTAATACAGCAGACGATTCTGTGCTTTCATATATTTTACCTGTGCAGAAATCATGTATAAACCAGTCACTGTAACTTCTATAGACTTTTTATCTTCTACCAAATGAAATTTATTTAAACTATATATGGTATTATTTTTAGTACTTTTTACCCAGGGGCCAATGTAAACTAAACAGAAAGAAAAACACATTAATAGAATTTTTATAATATTACAATTTACAGTATTATTTACATACCTGTATCAGTAACATGTTGTTCAGGTATTGCTCCAACAAATGTTGCTACCAGAGGCCCTGAATGACATAAACAGACTCTTTTGCAAGTTCTGTTTGTTATAGTATTATTAGGTTAGTTATTAAGAATATGAGAGTTGTGCAGAATTACATCGTAATTCTCATTTAGTCAAATCACAATGCAATTTGTAATTTAGTTAAGTTTCAATGAGCTCAGTAAATTACAACATAATTGAATTACTATGTAGTTGAAGTATAATGTAATTAAATTAGCACAACTGTACAATCTCAATTAGTATATTAGAGGTTTAATATACTATGTTCAAATAAAAAAATGTCAAGATCACATTGAACAGTTTTCCTTATGAGGTCATTAAGTATGAAACTTGACAAACAGAACATAAATCTTTTCACTTTTTATAGTGTCATTTAAATTTGATATTCAAATTTGGCGCCAAATAATAAATGTCAAAGTTCTGGCTGTCGAGTTCCATACTTAACGACTTACGATGAATTTTTTTATGGAAAATACATGCTAACTGAATAATACTAGATACCCAATCGCCTGCGACTGCGTTTGGGCCTCCTTTTGTTCTTTCCCCGTTTTTTACCTCTTCCCTCGTCTCTTCTCCACCGCCCGGAACGGGGTTCTCTCCATATATCTACGTCATCGTCAACGTAATCATTATCGTTACTTTCATCGATTCTCTTCTGACTCGACTGCGCGTCTTTCTCTGTCAAATTTTGGTTCTCAATCGTTAATATCGCTCTCTCTATTCGTAAATTAGTACCGTCGTTAATTTGGACAACGTTCCCGTTATCGTTTAATTGCACCAACGATTTGGGTATCGTAGACTCGTTACTTTTGTTGACGTTAACATTGTCATTCCTGTTTTGCAGACTTCGAGAGTTTAAATACGAAACGACAGAATTGTACGTGTACGAGCTTCGGTTGGATTTGTGAATGTCGTCGAACACTTTGGTAGCCTTCAACGTCGACGATGCTCCCTCAAGTAGCCTTTTTACGTCGTGCATGTTTTTGCTCTCGAGATACCCCTCAGACCTCTGTATCCAGGCGCGATTTAAGCTTCTATTTAATCTGTCATACTTCGACATTAATAACAGTAGGTTAACGTTTATGCATTGCATCTGAAAAATATTGTTACTGTAACGGTTTGTATTCAGCTGTCATCGAGATCAGGGTCGAACACTTAGAGATATCGAACACTTAAAAAATCATAACTTAAAAATTTGTTTAAAATTTAATTCAGCCCTGAAATAGGTGTAAATAAAAATTTACCTGGACTTGTAAACCGCGTACTTCCTTCCTAAGATGAGATAACATAATCGCGAAAATGATCGCCACGAGGAACAGAACGATACTGCGCGATCGCTGAAACATTTTCGATTTTTTAACGTTCGAAACTGTGACTTTCATGTCAACGTTCCATTCGATTAAATTGGTATTCTTCGTGGGATTGTCAACCTGTAGATCGATGTCATTTTGAACATGTTCCATTTTGATTTTCGTAACTGTCGTTTGTGCGATTGCGCGTACGATCGATCACAGGCACGCGTAGTATCGACTAGTTTAAAAATTGCATTACATCGATAAGTACCCTGCAACACACGACATTTAATTGTTCATAGATATTTCACTTGTATGAGCAGTCTCGAGTCACGTTTCTCACTGATTTTTCATTTATCGATAATCGCTTTAACAGTTGATACATCAGTTTTTTATCGCGCGTGCCACGTGTATCTAAATTAAAAAGGAGGCCACGACATGTAATACAATCGGTACAAGTTTTCTTGTGTGAACGTTGCGACTGACTGAACCTTTTTAGAATCAGGGAAGTATGCATAAAGTCTTCGATTCGTCATACTGATTTTGCTGACTCCTACCCATGTCACGTACACTTGGGTGTAAGGAAGGCTTCCATTGGACACGAACGTGGGGCCAGAGAGCACCCCACTGTTTCGGTTCTGAGGGATCAAGTATGCAAATTTCAAATTTTTAAACTTACAAATCCCCAAATTTTTACGTACTTAAATTCCTAAATCTATGAAGCCCCAAACTTCTAAACTTCCCTTAAAATTTTTTAGCGGAGGAACTGATTTATGTTTAAAAATCTAACAGCAAAGCAGAGAGTGGTGGGGCTGTAACCCTATGTCGCCATTTTTCCTACGGAAGCCTAGCGATAGATGCAAGGTGAATAAAGGAGTGTAATGAAAACTGTATCGAGTTTCACTCACGTTTTGAAATTCGATAAATATGCCACGAGGTACTTGTTTGTTACATTACAGAACAGCGAATGTGAGAGAAAATATTGCAGATGTTTATCGCGCTGATTTCCGAGCGTTAAGGAACCGTATAATTCGCGGAAGCACAAAGAATTATGAACAAGTCGCTTACCTGAGAGACATTTCTGCACTAGAGGCGACTACGAGCAACAGGTGAGTGATCGATCGACGAATCGATCGCCGTTAACTCGTACAACGTTGGCGTCGAGGCTCACCCTCCTAAGACCTGGCCGTACACGACGCTGTCTCGTACCATCTTTTGTTTATCTAGGCAGCTCGCAGCCCAGCGTCTCCGAGCGTCTCGACGACTCTACTCGACCGGTTTGGCGGCTGTTCGTTCGAGCGCTGCCAACATTTGGTCAGCAAGAAACTATGGTCGCCTTTCCCTCCCGTTTACTTCTTTGTTCCTGGTTGCGGTAGCACAGGATGAATGAGCGTCTAACTACGGAATCCGAGTTTTATATCATTTTAATCTACTTAGAGGTTATCTTAGAACATGAATCATGAATTTAACGTTTCAGGTATCGTCCGTATTCGTCTGATAAGAATCACAACTCCATTTTTTATAATATAAAGATGCGCTTTGGCGGGATCTTCCTCTATCGATAAGTCGTTATTTACAACACTTGCATTTATCTTGATAAGATAAAATGTTGCACTGGCAACGTTTGAGGGTTTGCAGATCTTAGAAGAAAAGAAATAGGACCTGAACACAAACTCGTTTTCAAGGCCGGTATCCTGACTTTAGGTAGCGACCTGAATCTTTTATGTACCGTTTGGGGTTCCTGATTTAGGGCCCTCGTAACTATTTCGTAACTGCTGGATTTATAGCGATTGTACAGGATACTAACCTTAACATTTTTTCAGAAATCAAAGGTTTAGAAATCTTACGTCTCTGCAGATACTGATAATGCGAACAAGGAGTTCCTTATGTCAAGTTTTTATTTTTCATCGTTTCAAGAATGTCGCTTTTCCCGTAAAGGACAGCCCTTAAACGGACAGCTTCCGTCGCCGACGCCTTTGCTTTTATGGCACGTTGAATCGCAATTACACGTTACTGACTATTTATATGATTCAGGGAAATATGCACATGCGTTTGACGAAGGATGTTATACGCCATTTACGGATGATTTAAAAGAGTGAAATACAAGTAACTCAGTTGAAGTTGATAATTAAAAAGAAGACTGAGATAAGACTTTGAATTAGATAAACTGTAAGATAAAAATTAACATTGAATTTAAAATGAACAATTGACAAGTTGTGATTAAAAATTGAGCTTTTATTTTGAAGTTCTACAATTGAATAATTAAAATAAAAGTGAGGAGGTCTCTCAAGGAATTGCTATAATTTGATGGTCGAAATTAAAGTAGTAAAATTAGCATGTGCGAGGAAAAAAGAGGCATTGGAAGCACGTGTTGTCGAGCTGGCTCGCACGATGCTGCGTGGATACAGTCCCGAAATTTCTTCTTCCCTTTCTTGCGTTACATTTTGCTACTATATTTAGCTGCGAATTGATGCAGTGGCGTCGATCGATGCCACAGCAAATTACATACTTGTGAGACGCCTATCATCCTGTTGGGAGGATTTAAAATGCACCCACTTAGATGCTGTTATCGTTAATCTTGCATATGTAAGTCGCCGGATGTTGAAATTGTATTTTCGCCTTGTATCTCATACGAATTTGAGTCGGATCGAATTTGTTCTTCAGATGTTCGGGTACAAGAAAGTCGTGGAAACGAGTAGGCAGTCCACGGAGAAGAAAGGCTGAATGAAATAATTGGCCGTTTTGGCTCATCAGTAGTAAATTGATCCAGATCTCAAATTTTTCGTCGGCCTACACGGTCAACACGCGATACTCTCAATTAGTCAGCCCCTTGCACGCGCTCATCCTATCACCGTGCTAATTATTATCACAACTGCGGAATTTCTTGTGTTACCTACATCTCTTCTTCAATTTAAAAATTCTCAAACTTAGAGACTTACATAATTATTTATATTATTATTTAAGACTTTATATGCAAATTGTGCTTGGAATTTTTTAAATTGTAAGGTCTCTAAATTTGATAATTTAAATATTAGAAAATTTATAATGTTTCTGTACTGAAGTTCAATATTTTTCAAAAGGAGGAGGCTACCTTTCCACAGGTTCTTATCAAAGGTAGCCTATATTGAACTTCAGTGTACAAGCATGTCTACTATTTAACAATTCCTTGAAACTGTAATTGTAATAGTTTTTAATTTCTCATTGCAGTTAAGTCGCGAAACGGGAACGTCGACGCCCACGGTTAGTTCTCATCGAAGTACAAATGTTCCAGGAAAGGATCCATCGACGTGGAATTTTATCGTTGCGCTCGAAACAGTGACAGCTCCGATTTCGTATTCCTTCGATGGACGACAACGAATTTGATACGCGACTGCTCCTGGAACGGGTCAACATCTCCTGCGAAACGACGTCGTGAGAACAGGCCACTGGAATTTCTCCTGGAAATTGTCCACGAAACTTCGTCTTCGAAGAAAACAATCTTGCGCAGGAAGTACATATCGAGCGATTATTTGTCCCCTGAATGAATAACATACGTGCTGTATCGCGGTTCCTCCACTTTAGCGCGCTATGCGAGAATCCGTTATTGACACAACAAAAATTCTAGCTATGATTCAGTACTTTGCGATGAGGAAAATGTCAGCTAATTTTGAATTGATAGCAAAGTTAGCTGAGTGTTACAAACTAGTCATACTGTTACTAAACTGTTACTAAACACTGATGGAGTGTAAGTTGTTTGTAATGGCGGTTGTTTCAATCTAACAGTAGAAAGTAATACTAGAGTGTAAGACTTTTTAAGTCAAATAGAAACCTAACCTTTGTTTTACATTTTAGAAGATATGTGACAACTTTGAAAAATTATACTTCAGATAATAATTTGTATAACTTCAGTAAATTTATAAATTCACAAACTTCTACAAGTCTATCAATTTCAAATGATTATCTGAATTACAAGTCTCTGAACTTTGTTCTACATTTTAGAAGATAAGTGATAACTTTGAAAAATTATACTTCAGATAATAATTTGTATAACATCAGTAAATTTATAAATTCACAAACTTCTACAAGTCTATCAATTTCAAATGATTATCTGAATTACAAGTCTCTGAACTTTGTTCTACATTTTAGAAGACATGTGATAGCTTTGGAAAATTATACTTCAGATAATAATTTGGATAACTTCAGTAAATTTAGAAATTCACAAACTTCTACAGGTCTACAAATTTCAAACAATTATCTATTACAAGTCTCTGAACTTTGTTCTACATTTTAGAAGACATGTGATAGCTTTGGAAAATTATACTTCAGATAATAATTTGGATAACTTCAGTAAATTTAGAAATTCACAAACTTCTACAGGTCTACAAATTTCAAACAATTATCTGAGTCAAGTCTCTAAACTTTGTTCTACATTTTAGAAGACATGTGATAGCTTTGCAAAATTATAACTTACATAATAATTTAGATAACTTTGGTAAATTTATAAATTCACAAACTTCTACAAGTCTACAAATTTCAAACAATTATCTGAGTCAAGTCTCTTTCTCCAGAAAGCTTTGCACTCAAGTATACTAGCTACTTAATGTATAAAATATTGAGTGAATTTATAGCGATTGTTCGGATGAGTCTGTAAGATGTAGTTCCTAATCACTGATCTACGCCACTGAGATCCAGCGAGCGTGCTGTAACGATAAACGCGTTCCGCTCCTTCTAGTCAGTACGTTCGTGGCAACCCGACACGTTGGTCGCTTTTTCTTTCTGCGCTTCGGAATACCTTCGAAACGTTTCTCTTTCATCCGAGACTCGAACTGCAAAGACGTTGCATTAGTACTTGATCTTCACTTTCATTGAATAGAAGAGAAACCTAGCAAATCTGGAAGAGATTGTAATAGAAAAGAAAGAGGATCGATGGGAGAGGCGAGGGACGGAAGATCCGAATCTCTCTGTGGTCCTACCTTGGAGGGGAAGAAACCCACCTGACAGGTTTTAAAGAGGGCCAGTATCGGGATACGGGACATTTAACGCAGGCCATTGTGGATCTCCCTGCATGAGAGGAACCATTAATTATTGCATTGAACAGAGAAGATAAAAAGAGTAATTAAAGAGTTATCTGAGTGGAGGAGATTAGTGAAATCCGCAGTGTTTATCTCAAGGTTGGATCCGCGTTTTCAATGCCGAGCTGACCTAACGATTATATCATAGCAGAAAAATAAGATGCAAGCACGTGGTTGACACATGCATTCCGTTGATTGAGACTCGAAGATGACTTCAATGTTGCCTGAAGAGACGAAGATGAAGGGGAAGCTGAACGACGTCCATGGGAAAGAGGAGGCCCGCTCCTTCCTGAGCTTCTCCAGGGAGAACCTGAGCATTTCGCAATCAGAGTTGGAACAGGGATTCAACAAGTATCGCTTTCGACCTACCAGGAACACGGTCTTGAGCATCGCGGCTCTGTCGATCGCCCTTCTTTGTCTGGGCCTTGAAAGTTGGAAGTTTCATTGGTCCACGGTGAACGCGCGCGAAATTAAGGAGCTGAAGAGGAGTGTGGAGAACCTGAAGAATCGTTTCCTGGAGAAGGATCTCTTAGACAAGGTGAAAGCCTTCGAGGAACAGGTCAGAGTTCACTGTTTTCTTCTCCCTTAAAAAATGTATTCTTAAAGTAAAATATATTTGTAATGTATTTGCATTAATAGTAAAATGTTTACGTGCATTCCTCTTGCGAGACGTGGCTAACCGAACAGCTGATTACGTGTTCTTTGATGTTTGTATTCGATAACGAAACACGTGTAGATACGCCCACGCATGTATAGTAAACGCTATCGGGCAGTGTTACGTGATGAGCCACCGGTGGTTGACCTCTGATCTTATTAATTATTTAGATTCATCTTGATGCTCAGAGATGCAGTCTTGTAGGCATACTTTTCTTATTACATACATCTTTTTATTTATTTATACTAGTTTACTGTGTAAATTACTCTTATTGTTAGTTTATTACATTACTACAATACCTTACTACTTTATTTTATTATTATATTACTTTACTATATTACTACAAGCTTATTCTACTATTTTACAATTATATATTTACTATTACACTATTACATTACTACAATACCTTACTACTTTATTTTATTATTATATTACTTTACTATATTACTACAAGCTTATTTACTATTTTACAATTCCATATTTACTATTATTACACTACTTCATTACATGACTAGTATACCTTACTACTTTATTTTATTATTATACTACTTTACTATATTACAATCCTATTTTATTATTCTATAATAATTATTGCACTATCTCCCTATTCTACATTTACTTTTACTATTCTACATATCAGATGCCTCTTATAACCTATAATTATAATATGCTACTTATACTATTCTACATATTAAATGCCTCTTATAACCTGAACTTAAATGTTAACCTATGCTACATGTTTGCATACAACGCATATGACGCAACAAGACTGCACCATATCAGTTTCGTTCAAAACATTTTTCAATGATTCTGCATTTATAGTTAAACGCCGAAGAATCCGAAGATTACGTAGAAGCAGAAATCGGCAACGCTGATTACGATTCGAATTACGATGAAGACCTTTCGACCCACGACTATTCAATGGATTATCACACAGCTCCAACGTTTGGCGCGAGACCATCTGACTTTCCAGATTCCTCATCCACGATTGCACCTGTGCCTTCTCCTCCAGAAGCCACTTTTAATAAAGCGGTGATGAAGTTGCTGAAGTTCGAGATCAAGCAGGATTCAAAGAAGAATTCTCGGGAGAGTCACAGGAAGGATCGTCATCAGGAGGATCGAAAAGTCCTGGAAAAGAAATTGGAGGATCAAAAGAATAGTACGAAAGAAAAACGCGATGTAGAGAGGGTAAAAAGATTTTTGGACGATTGGAAGGCAAGCCTGAAACGCAAAAGATCGACCGAGGAGCAGGATGCTTCTAGGGAGTTAACTATTAATCGGAATCGTACCTCGAATTTCCATGAAAAGTCGAGAGATAAAACAGGAAGCGGCAAAGATTCGACCCTGTAAGTAGATCATCTTCGGTAAAATTTATTAACCTCTTGGGGTAAAGTAAATTAAACAAAGTTAGTTAGCAAAACAGTAACTTGTAAAAAGACTTAAATTTAATTAAATATATCCTTGATTCCTGCAGGATTATAAACTGCCGTGATCGAGTTAATGCACTGTATTGTAATTGGTATTTGTAAACCTGCAATGTTCGTAAAAGTACATTAATGAAAAGAAGTACATAAATATTAAATTTTGATTTAAAGATTAGTAAAAGATTAGTGTTACGAGTGATTTACGATCGATCATCGCTGACTCAATGTTAAATCAAGTGACGCCTCGAATGCGCATGCGCATACAAAGCCTTAGAATGCGTAAATAGATGCGCGCGCAGATATTCATTGTTTTCCATTTAAATCAAACATTCGAAGAGTTCGATATGCTTATTATCAATGATTCATTTTTATTTTCACTCAATTCAATCCTACATATCGTCTCATCGTTCGCTATAATTATAACTGACGCAAGTACGCCATATTTAAAGAGTGTCTTCCACTGTTGTCTTCTCCAGGACCGAATCATCGAAAAGACACACTCCGAAGAAGTACTATACTCGTTCGCAGGACGCATTTTCATTGAGGATGAAAAATAATTCTATCACGCATCAGCCAAAAAGATCATCGCGTCGTCTTCGCAAGAGTTTGTCTGAGCCCCGACAGATTTTCGCTGTTCATTACGGTGGTGACAGGCACGGTTTTACGTCGAAGGACCAGCATACCGGAAATGGAAGAATTCGACATGCAGGAAAGGTGTTCACGTCCTGGAAACCTAATGATTGGGTACAGGATCTTGGGATGGATGAACATTTCAGGTTGATGAAGAATGGCAGCGTTGTTGTATACAAATCTGGCTTGTATTTAGCGTACGCACAAATTCATTATAAAGATGACCATGAGGAGGTTGGATTTCATTTAGTGGTGAATGATGAGCCCATCTTACAGTGCGTGGTACGTATAATAGACTTAGTAGTTACTCTTAAAAGTAGAAGGCTTAGGTTATCTGAGATAATATTAGTTACTTCATTATACTTTTTGATTTAGGATGAGTCAGATAAAGAAATTGATACAATTGACATTTTCAGATCGACAACTCAGGCAGATCACGCATGAACAGTCAATCCTGCTTCTCAGCGCAGGTAACGAGACTCAACAGGGACGACGTTGTGGTTCTACAAGAGATCGGTTCGCCGAAGTACGCCCTCTTCAATGCAGAGAATAGTTTCTTCGGATTAGTGAAACTGGGAGAATTTCACAACTTGAAAAGATCAGTTTAACAATGACTATGAAATATCTATTATAGCTTACTGTAATCATACTTTTAGGATAAACGGACCTCTTAAAGAGCGACGCTCTTTACTCTAGGAAGTAATTTATTGAGCTACTTGATGTAATAGACATTAACGCTACCACGTTGACGCTAAAATAGTTCTAGTAATTATAATAATTCTAGTCTATCGTGGTATCTGTTAAGTAACATCAAAATTTATAACTGAGGACCTTTGCGTTCAACTAAGATTCCAAATATGAGTGATACGTTAAAGCTGTTACATGTTGCTCTCAATGGGAACCATAAATGCATGCTGTAAATAATTTCTTACGTTTTATTATTAAAGGATTTCGTAAGCTCTACGATTTTCTACAGAGTCCAAAGAAAGCGAGAACGTAGCTAGATTTTGTAACAGATATGTAACTGAACAAAATAAAACTTTGCGATTAAACATTTACATCTTCACACGCCGTGTCGCAATCTAATTGTTTCGCGCAGTACATTTTTGCTCTACGACTGTCTATCGGGATCAGGTCTCCTGGATTGTTTATCAAGTCGACGATAAAATTCGGTTTCAGCAACTTCGTCGGGTAAAATGTTTCATCCTGATCCGTGAAAGTCGACTCGTTTGAGACTTCCTCTTCGCTTGTGACGTGTCGCACAGAGTCGTATAAGGTGACGATGTCTGGACAGGACATTTCCTCCACGTAATATTTTATAATATCTTTTTCGGTCGAGTGTTTGACCTGAAATAATTTTTATAGTCGTAAGACTTCTTCAGCTATAAAGATATAATAAATTGTACCTCAGGTACAGCTATTTCAACCCAAGCTGCGCCATACTCTCCTCGCACCAGAGCAGCTGGCAAATGTATCCTATCAGCCATCACTTTGAAAAGCAGAGCTCTCTCCAGAAAGGAACCCACTCGTAGCATCCCTAACGGTATCACACTCGTCTCAATGCAATGTTTGATCTGCTTCAAATGAATCTCCAACTGATGGTCCACGCACGTGATCATAGGATCTGGTCCTGCCAGTTGTTGAGCCACGAATTTGGCTAACATCTTAGCACGAGAAGCAACGTAGCTAACATTCACTAATCCTTGCTCAGCTTTCAATGCTCTGATAAAGAATTTCAGTTACTTTGTACTCTATGTTCAAGGTTAAATTTTTCTTACACATCTTTTGATTCTGCAGCGATGAGCTTGCACTTGAAGAGCTCTAAATAGTTGTAGAGGCAAGGGTCGCACTGAAGACGACCGAATTTCATGTCCATCATCAGGTCTCTGATCTCGGTTGATAGGAAGATGTCTCTCTCACTGATGCTGTGTAGGCTAGTGCTGCTGACACCTGAAGAAGGTGTCTAAGTAAACTAGTGCTTTAAAGAAGAAAACTGAGGGAAGGTGATTCACCTTGTAGAGATAATAGACTTTCTATTTTCTCCTGGATGCTTGATTTACGGGGTCGGATGCAGTTAACTACGTATATGGGCTCCATTGGACAGTACTTGAACCGGAAGATATCATCCAATATTGGAAATCTGTGAAAAGAAATAATTTTAGTTTGTATATATGAGTATTGTAATTCTGTGAAAGCATACTTGCAAACGTTTCTTCGAAGAACATAAAAACCATCCTTAGTGACATCATGCAAGGAAAGTCGTCCAGTGAGAGCAAACTTGATCGGCAGATGCGCACTAAACAAGGCTTCGATGCAGGTGTCCCATGAAGGAATCAGCTTCGCAATTAGGCGATTATTCAGCATACTGAGAAATACATCAGTCAGGTCTGTACACTGGCCGCTACTGTATCGTTAATTACAGTACTAATTTAATTACTTACTAATTTAAGTATTTAGCGGATACGAAAGCATTGGCCAAAACCGGATCTCCGCATAGTAATTGAATCAGTTGAGCGGCAGCGTTCCTTATTGGGGTCGACCTGACCTCCGTCAATAAGGTATATAAGCGTTTATGTCCGTGGGCCTTCAGAAACGCGGCTCTTCCAGCTTTTTCCATGCAAAGAACAGCGAGAGCGTTGCAGCAGGCGATCTTGAAGTCGTCCATCGATGGACAGGTCAACTAGATCAATTATTGAATCATTTATAAAACAGTTATAAATAGGTAGTGATAGATTAACAGAAGGAAAATTTACTTCAAAAGATGTGCACATTGCATCGATCACTTCCACGTTGACAACAGTAGGCCGTAGGATTTGATTCCTTGCAATTATTATGAAGCATTTGACCATTCCTACTAGCACCTCAACAGGGACCTTCCCTATAGGTTGTTTCATCATCCGCAGAAAATAATTCTAAGGATAAATTTGATTATAATTGACATTTTGAGCTACTTGAGCAAAGAACACTACCTGGCCTTGAATGCTCAAGAAGTTTTCGCAGTTCTTGAGGTCACATGTCAACAGTTGCTTCAAAGCGAACAGTGCTGCTTGCCTGGTACTCCATTTCAAGTTCTCATTCTTTACTATGTCTGGAAGAATTGCATGAGTTAGCATATCATATTAGCAGATTTGGAAGAAGATTACCTAGTATGTTGGTTACACAGCCACTTGCCGTTAAATCTTTACCAGCTCTATCATAGAGAGTCATCATTCCAATACCATGGCAACTAATTTCGTATATTTCAGGCTGCACATTGCCTACTAATGTACGCAATAAGTAATCGATGATTCCATACGTGTATAACGCCTTTCAAATAAAAGAATAAGTCAAACGTCTTAAAGTAATAGTTACTTCAATCTCATCAAATAGCACGTTACATGTCTACCCCTAGGGGAATCTGACAGACGAACAACCACGTCGAGGGCTTCCATGAAGAGGTTCGAGTTGACAGTTCCCTCCAAGTAGTTCATCATCTCCTTAATACCTCCAATGTCATCGAACATTTCTGCAGTTGCCACATTGTCACAGGCTAAGCGAAGAATCAAGAATGCCTTTGAGTGAAGATCTTCCCATTCGATATTCTGGGTGAATGAAGATATGCTATTAAGCGTTACAGGAACACATGAGGTTGGACCTTACGTCTAAAAACTTTAGCAAAGCCTGGAGACCGTTTGATCTTCGAAAAAGGTCTTGCAAGTGGTCATCCTGGTTTCTGCTGACTAGATCAGTTACTACGTCAAGGGCTAGCTTCTGAATTTCAGGATATGGGGAATTATAGAGATCGTACACTGCTGATAGGTTGAAGTTCTGAAAATGGTATAACATTTACAAATGTAATGAAATTAATGGTCAAGGTTTTCTGACAAACCTTTGTTTCGATGATCATTGGTGCTCCAGTAGGATCTTGTAAAAGATTATATATAATTTCTATACTGTTCTTTTTCACATCTGGATCTGGTGACTGGATTCTCTCAAACAGAAAATCCATATCTGTACACTGATTTAACATTTGAGCTGCGCCAAAAGGGTCCTTTGACATTTCTGCTAATATTAAGGATGAGAATTCTTGCATGAACAGATCCTGATCATTGATCAAGACCTTTGTAAAGTGTGGAATGTAGTAGTTTGAGTCCAGCAAAAAATTAAGGACATTGGGAATAGCAACCATCTCAGCTAATAACTTTGCAGCAAACCTATCGATTGCAAGGTATTGTAGAAATTGCAAGGAAAAGATATTGTAAGCATTGAAGGAAATGCACCTTCTGGTGAATAAATCCTCATGAGTGATCAGTGCAATCACACTATCCACAATATCAAGGTCGAATAGAACTTCCAAGTTTCCTTTAGCTTTGCTGCCATATTTTGCCAAGGCTGCAGCTGCAGCTAGGAGCACAGGCTTTTCTTGACATTGTAAAAGCAATATCGCTGTTCCTGGATATTTAACTTCTAGCCGAAGAACATCAAACTTGTGCTTAGTTTGCTCCCTGCGATCAACTCTTTCCTTTTGCTTGGACACCTGTTTCAGTAGTTCATAAAATTAACCTACATTAAGATGAAGAAAGTGAAGAAAAAATATAAATGCTCTTCTCTTACCTCTGCACGCTTTGGCCCCATGTTTCTTTATATTTAATTAATGATTAAAGAAACATTGATGCTTATTACACAGCTGTATATAAAATATTCATCATAAAATTTCATAATGTTTATTAATATCAAACGACGAGTTTTTGTTCATTGCATATTGGTTCTGATTTGACATGTTTGTAATCATGTACATCCAGTGATCTTTTATTTAGTATACTCTCATATATCATTACTTTTCTTCTTTGTTTAAATATTTTTCACTGTATATATTAAAGGATGAAAAGTCATGGAGCAGCAACGAGAAAGTTTGAACAAGTCGAATTTGCTTGTCTAGTATACTTTAATTACAAAATCTTATTCTGAGTGTACTATGTGTACATATAGCATAAATTGTAAATACCTCTTTTAGTACAGTATAAACATCTTATGTACTAAACAATACATAAAATCTGTTGTGCAATGTAACAATATCTTTGTAATTAGGTACCATAAGATAGTACATACTACAAAGCTATGTATGTACTATGGAAATCGTGACAACGGTAATATTGAGATCGATTCGGCTATAACTACGTGTTTAACGATACTATAAAAGTAGAAGTGTAATATAAATACACCATTAATCTAATGCTCTTACTTTTATGGTAAAAAACATACAAAAACGACTTGCTTAAGCATATAGCTGTCGTTCAATATATTACTATTGTAGCGTATATTTTACGTATACTCGTAACATTAAAACTAATGTAAAAAAAAGTATAAAATATGTGCTCCTATGTACAATACTGCATACAAAATAAATTTCTACATTCATACAACAACGATTATATCGTGGACGGATGTGAAATTTTTAGCCGAACCTTAGTCATTATTTTAATTCAGTCGTGTATAAATATTTGTAGTTTTGCATGTATGAAATGTTTTGCATCTAAATATTTTTATAAAATATTAATCAAAAAACATTTCGTACATATGTTGCTCAGTATTGACTAACTTTTTGATTCGTACAAAATTCTTAAGAGGTTCTTATTCAGCGAAAGAAATAAGAAGACCATAATAAAAATAAAGATGCACCATAAAAGATGTCATACAGCTGTTTGTGGAACACCTTGAACTAAGTGAGTCTTGCTTTTAGGGAGTGACGATTGGCTCACAGCTTTGCTCAACCTGGGTTGTCCGTTTGGTGAACTGGTAACAAATCCTTCTGAACGCATATCTTTCAGCGAGACGTTAGAATTACTTCTAAGGGACGGAGTCGAACTGAATTTCCGATTGTGCGCTAGTCGTTCTTGAAGTTTAGTTTCGTTCTGTCGTGGTACTCTGGACCTGGCTGGTGGCATGTCACGGTATTCATAAACGTTTTCTTTCGATGAACGAGTCATATTCTCGATTCCCTCCGATGGCTCGTCGTCTCGTACCATCAGGATGTCTCCGCTATAGTAGTGATCAGATTGTCTAGAAATAATGCAACACAGTAAGCAAAGAATACTGCAGAATGTGATTAAGAAGTTAAACTCAACCATTAATTTTAAATTGAACAAAGAAGTGCAAAACTGAAAGCTGTGCAATGAACAACGCTTGAATTACCTGCGTACGTTCTGGCAGCCATTGTTTTGCTGCATGAATTACAAGCAAACAGAGTTAATGAAATGTTAAGACATGTTTCTTTATCCCATAACCTCAGAAATAATTTATACATAGTTAATAAAACCAGAACCATAAACCACATGCACTACAGATTATTGTAGCCAATGCTACCAAGTTGAATGACTTACGTAGTAGATGGGTTTGGTTCTGTTTACCTTTTCTTACCTTTTGGCATTGCGCCAAAGCATACAACACACCACAGCAAGTACGATCAGCAGTAAACATGCTGCAGAAACTGACCAAAATGCAATTTGAAGAGGTTGTTTTGGTTCCCACCAATACTATAATAAATATTAAAATAATTAAATACACAAATGTTTATGGATACACAATAAAAATTGTATTGCTCTTACCTCTGTGACTGGAGGATATGTAGGTACCAATCGACCAATAACAGTTGGCAAGTAAATGGACCAAAAGGCACTTTCCGTTTGTCGGTAGTTTAATAAAATTGAACTATTAAAAGTAGTATTAATATTCAGGTACCGTAATTCTCCCGGTTTAGCGACTTCAAAGTGCAATCCCAAAATTTGTGACGGTGTAGGATTTCTGAAAAATAAGTATCATGTAGCATAAAAAAAAATAATAAGCTAATACTCTTACACATACCCATATGTAGCAAAATTTGCATATGCTTGCATAAAGAAGTGGCTCATGTTTCGATCGTTGTCTGTCCACATGTCTCTTTGCAATTTCCATTTTTCTGGGAAAAATTCTAAAAGAGCAGTACTGCATTATATTTGATAAGAACCTTGAATTATTTCTACTTACCAACATCCATAAAAGGTGCTCCTGTTAACCAAAGAAGTTCAGTATTGTGTGGCACTCTACGCCACTGTGGTAATTTTAATGCCTCCACAGTTGTATTTAATACGTACAAATAAGTAGGTACACGTTTCTCCACTAGCAATTTTGCAATTTTATCAAAAGGAGCCACGTAATGAAAGTCAGTCAGTAACTAGAAATAGAATATTATATAAATATGTGACTATTAAATGTGAAAGTGCATACATGATACTTAAAACTTACATTAATGAATTGATCACGAATATATGTAACATTATTTGGGTCTGGCCAATATGTGTACATATATTTTATAGCCTCATAAACGCCTTGGGGATTAAGAGTGTAATTATATTGAAGAATGAATTCCCAAACTTTTTTATCAAATAATTCTGGATCAATTATATACTGATTTCTTGCCAATGTAGCATTATTATCTGAAATAAAAACAAATGTTTAATACATGATATTGAGAAAACCATTTTTATGAGACTTACGTATCATATATGCTGCTTCCTGAGTGGTAACACCTGTCATATATGCCAAATTGTGTTTAAACCAACCATTTTTTATGCTATTTTCTGGTGTCCCAGTAAAAAAATGCCAATCTGATGCTCTCCAGTCTTCATACCAATTATCACGTGGAACAGTAAAATTAACATCCAGCACAGGAGCCCATGGAAATGTTCCAATGTGTGGTTTTAAATCAGAATTACCCAACTCAAGGAAAGATCTGCCATCTTTTAAACATTGCACCAATTTCCAACTACTTTCTATATTACAGCCTAACATTTCTGCGTACACTCTAGATGTATTCTGTGCTCTATATTTATCGATTATAACTGCCCAGTCTGCTAATGCAGAACCTGATTGAGCTATTACTTTTGACACCATTTCTCTGGTTCTAGGTGCAACCATTAACAATCCAGCACTTGCTGCACCAGCACCAGGACCAAAGAGCGTTATTGCATCAGGATTACCATTAAAGGCTCTAATATTATCATACACCCATCGTAATGCCATAGCTTGATCTAAAATTCCATAATTCCCAGGGCTATTCTCATCTCCTGTACTGAGAAATCCCAATGCTCCCAGTCTGTAGTTAATTGACACAACAACTACATTATAGAATGCAGCCAACATATGAGCTGGAAATAAGTTACTGGCCCCGTGTATAAACTCTCCACCATGAATATAAAACATTACTGGATATGCCTGAGCCAAACCAGCATCAATAGACGGAGTGAAGATGTTTAAATATAAGCAGTCCTCGTCTACATCTCTAATTCCTTTAGTAGCACCAGTATAGGCGCTAGGTTGAGGACAAGCTGGACCCCAATCAACAGCTTGCAGTAACTGCCAACCTTTATGAGGCCTAGGTGGTTTAAAGCGACCTTCCTTAGTAGGAGGAGTAGCATAAGGAATGCCCAAAAATACATTAACATTGTTCGTGCTTCTCTCAACTGGTTGACTCCATGGCCTATGCCTTGCACGTGGATCATCGTATAAATAAACTTTAAATCCTTGTACTTGTCCATAATTTGTGGTAACTGTCACGTCTCTATCCAAGCTCTTGGAATCAGGTCTTTCTCTTCCTTGAAGATCTTCACGCCAACCACCCAATATTCCTGGCAGAGGGAGCCTCGAAGTTGTATCCTTATATTTGAAAGAAACTAAGTGATCCATGACACAGATATAGAACATTACTGTGCATTTAATCTTACCTCATAATGGTATCTATCTCCAGGTACTCTGGTGGGTCCTCTATAAACAGGATCTAGGTAACTGGGCCGATACCCATACCTTCTATCTTTATAAAAATAAGTGTCAGTTCGATGATTAGGCCCGCTTGACGGTACGTACACACCATCGCGACTGTAGTAGCGACTACCCGAGGCTATTTGTTCTTGACACCATGCCGCATCCATAAAAAGCCAGAAGTAAAAACAGACGCGCCCAATCGACGCGTACAGACCACACGCGACCATCTTGCCCGCGTGTGGATTGGTGTTTCACAGTGAATCAACCAGGTGTGGTTAGTATGTATACACACGCGTGACACTCGCTCAACGCGTAGTAAAGGAAAAAACTTTCAGGAAACTGTCGGTGCAGCAGGGAAAAGCGAAAGGCGCTACGAAAGTAAAATCTCGCATTGAGAACGAGATGTAACCTCCGTAAATCTGAAATACACGTTTCATTATAAGACGCTAAACATCCAGTAGTAAATACACACATATATACATATTTATATGATGGTGTACACGTGTACTTACGAAATCAACTGCTACACGCGTGGGCCAACACCCTACAATCCCTCACGTTCGAAAACGATCTTAAAACTGCTGAACGAAATATTTTACGGTCGTAATATTTTTTGGAACACTTTCGATGTTATTCTTGCGAAGTTGTAACTGTAATTAATCTTGAGTAAACCTTACATGACAGCGCATCGACCTGTCGAAACATGAGAGAAAGTATAACACGTTCACTACATATTTACCTATTTAATGATTAATCAACAATGAAAGTTTTATTAATTTATATGGAATTTGTTATGTGATGTATAATACTGGAAGTGAATTTGTTTTTTAGAATTGATACACAAATGTTGCTCGGACCAACGTCCGAAGAATACTGAATGGTAATGTTACTCTTGCGTGCAAATACGTGCAGCATCGCCCACGCGCTTAATAAATACTTGTAGGTACAATCGAATATGATAAATTCTGTAATCGTGGAAATATGCCAATGAGTGAATGAGTTGTAGTATCTTATCTTGAAATGATGTTACCTGAAATAGATTAGATAGTGATCTAACGATCATAGTACGTTACTTGGTTCTCACTTATGATTTCATAATTAACACTGGCAGTGTCATGACCCTTGTGACTTTTCCTGCAGATTTTAAAAAGTGCATCCTTTTATTTTTATGAATTTTGAATAAACAGTGAGGATAAAAAATATTAGTACACTAGTTTCAATGAATATTTTGAATAAAAATATAAATGGAAAAATATAGTCGAAATTATTAACCCAAATTGTTTCTATTTAATAACGCGTTTTCCAAGGAACTGTTTCAGCGCATCCCGTCTGATAACGAAGTAAAAGTCTTTTTTATCAAGCATCCCTCCATTCTCTACATCATTGGCGAGTTCTCTAATTTACAGCAATTGCTGGATTTATTACTGTTCCCCGCTCGACTTTACTTACGTGCGTACAGTCCCAGTAAAGAATTTGTAGGGGAATTTAATTACGTGCATTTTGGTTCGGTATTATCCTGTTGTATCGACACGGTTGACAGGATAGGGCTGGATGTCTCACAAGGAAAGTGAAGGTAATCTAAAAGATAATAACAGGTTAAGGAAATACTTTTTGGTAAATGTTTTATAGTTTCAAAATATCTACACATTGTCATTAACTATTTTTTTTTAAGATGTACATACCAAAAGAATAATTAGATATTTTTATATATAATTAATTAATAAATTTTAGTTTTTAATATTAATTACTTATATAATTATTTTTATATTTAAAATTATTTGAATGAACTTTTAATTAATTAAAATTATTAAATCAATTATTGGTAATAAATGAAAATTTGCTCGAAGTCTATCCTTGTTTAGCATTCGTGCAAAGTTGATTTAAATGAATGCTATTATACCCGTTGTTCGTGTCCCGTCGTGCGTACATCCCTTTTTTGTGGGAACTGCATTAAAATAGTCTCTGAACTCGTGGGAATAAGACATACCATAACAAATGTAATTATTTCGCTGTACTTTGTTGCTGTTCTGTGTAATTGCTATTGATATTGGTATTCATATTGATAATTTTAATTATTCCATAATTAATTAGGTGGATGTTCCTCTGCTATAATTTGTTATATTTTAATTTTGCAAGCATCAAGTTCTTTCTAATCAGCTTCTCAAAAGTAGTACTGTGTTCTGAGGTATCTTCTGAGGCCTAAAGGCAGAAAGAAAGAGTGAAAGGTAGAGGAAAGAGTGATAGAGTTAGGGTTAGGTCGCTTAAGCATACTAACACTATTAGATACTTTTGAGATAAAATTCTACTCCCCAGGAGGATGATAAAGGAGGGTAGGTAGATTTTTTTTATCAGTGCTAGCAATTCTATCACTTGCTAACTTTAGATTTCACTTAACAACGTTGTATTGGAGTGTACATAGGCAGGAGAACTTGGAGAAGATCTGAAATTTGAAAGTTTGTAAATTTTTAATTTGGGGATTTAAGACTCTACAAATTTGGTAATTTGAGAATTTCAAAATTTGGGAATTTAGGAAATTAGAAGTACAGAAATTTGGGAATTTAGATATTCAGAAATTTAGATTTGGAAATTTGGAAAGTAGAATATTTGGAAATAAAGAAGTGATACCAAAATTGGAGAATTGCGAAATTGTAGCGGAAGGCCACATTGCAGCCGAGTGTACATCCCCGGCACAGTGGTCGCATAAAAGCACAGATACAGCGAACGGTGGTCGAATGGTGGGGGCGTTGCGGTGGTGGAGGAGCTCGCACAGTCTGGGGCCCACTTGTTCCATCGAAGGATCGGCTTGTCACTCGAGAACGCGTTGCCATTCCGGCAACATCGTCTAGTACCTCCTCGGTTTTGGTCGAACCTCGTGTCGGTACTTGATCATCCCGCGAACCACTCGAATCCTGCTGAGCTTTCGACGCCTCGCGATACTTAAAAAGTTAGGCGGCAAGTGACGACGGTTCAAGAGGTGCATTCTAAAAAAGTGACACAGTTGAAAAGAATGCTTTAAAAGAGTTTAAAAGAAGAATCGTTTACTTTTTTGTTTATCCAATATTAAATTGCAAAAATGACCACGGAAACATTGTCGCGAGAGATAGACGCTCACATCGTGACGCTGCTCACGCGGATGTCAGCTTTGAAGGAGAATAATGCGGAACTCGTGGAGAGGAAAGCACCGATGTCGATCGAGGCGCGCAGCTTAGAGCTTTGGAGAGCTGTAGCTGTCGAGTGTTTCGCCACTTTTCTCTTCAGCCTTGTTGTGTCCGGTGCGGCTGCGTCTTCCGCGGTTTCCGGCAGCGGTCTCTCTGTTTTGGCCATCGCCGTCGCATCTGGCTTTGCCATCGCCGCGATCTGCTTGATCTTCGGACACGTTAGTGGTAAGGATCTCTCTTACAGATCAATAAATTCGCACGTGTTGTCTTCTTGGGAAGCTATGAGGTTTCTGTAAAGCATTTGAGAAAGATTTAGTAAGCCATACATTTTTTTTTATATAATATTTTTTAGAAATATTAACAATGTTAATTTAACATTAACTTACGAGCTTAAAATATATATTAGAACCACAGGAGATCATAGTTATTTGCTCCAAGCTCTTATGTTCTAAATTAAAGACAAATTAAGGTAATCATATTGAATTCTCATAAAAGTAAATTATTTAATTATTGTGTAAGTAAATGTGCATTGGTTCTAGTACGTGGTTATAGTATTAAATAGTCTTCAAATTATTTTGAAAGGATTTTTGCCATGGATATCATCGCATCAACCCTCATGGTTTCTCTCGATTGACTCGTTAACCGATTATAGAGGCCGATGGAAATACATGCGTACCGTGTCAGAACGTACATTGGTTATATTCGTGGACGTGCGTACAATGTGGCCATGTATTTCACTCACACGCTTGAATTCATGTTCCTCTTAATATCTCGTTGCCGTCTAAGCAGAAACACGATCGCATTTATTCTGCTATCCTCGAGAACGCGTTTAATAAATGAGTGGAGCACGCGTCTGCCTCGGTGTTTGCTCTACTACAAAGTATATCAAGAATGTACTTCAACTGCAACCAGACAGTGCTTTAATCTTCTTGAAATTTTACTGGGGTATTTTAAATATTCTCCATCAAAATTCTTGGATTTTTTTACCTGAAAAAAATACATGTTCTTTAAAAGTTTTTGGAAAATTATAAAAACAAATCCTTGTATACAGGTTAGGTTATATATAGGTTTCCCCCTATGGGAAAAAAGAGATACAGAGGAAAGAAATCCCACCAGGTTTTAAGTGACAGATTTAGTGACTCTTCCCTCTTTCCTATATTTAAAACAGTCCAACAGTTTTGAAAAGAATATCACCAAAAGAACAAAGAGCAACTGTGCATCTAGAACGCGATTAAAAAGCGTTGTAGCTTTATGCGATAAAACGATCAAATATTTCTGTCGCAGGTGGCCACGTGAATCCAGCTGTCTCTGTGTCTTTCGCTTTGTGTCGACGGATCTCTTTCCTTCGAGCTGCACTTTACATAGCTGCACAATGCGGAGGCGGCATAGCCGGCGCAGCGATGCTGTACGGGTAAGTGATTTTCCTAAAAAATAATTACTTTTTACGCCGCTAAAATTTTCGACCTCGAGCACGGAATGTACCTGGTTATGATTCAAAAGAAACTCACACAAAATCCCTTTGTACAAAACGTTTGAAGATATAGCCCCAAGAGAGCAGCTGCTTGATATGAAAGGTTCTGTAGGCCCCATAAAACTTTCTTCACCCATAAAGCTTCTTGACATAACTGTCAGTGTGTTTTCTTAAACAATTGAAGGTAGAATAAATTGTGGCAGAATAAATTGTGGATAAAAATTGTGATAGAATAAATTGTGGAATTAAAGGTACAGAATTAATTAGTATATTTACCATGTTATTCAGCATTAGGTTATGTTAATAATTTATTGTGCACTTCAGGGTTAGGTTAATAATTTACCATGTTATTACATTATTATAAATCATTACACGTCTTCTCATAACAATTTGGCTTCATAATGCGTTTCAAAGCAGCACAGCAGTGCTAGAAACATAAACATATAAATGCATGAGAGGCGTAGCTCTCGTAAACGAAATAAAGTATACCTTCGGTCTACACGTTACGTCGTCTCTTTTTAAGAGAATCCAAAGTTTTACGAGCAATCCCATGCGAAACGTAAAGCAGCTTCGATTCCAAGTTATTGCTCGGCCTTATTTCGAGGAATCTTTTATCTTCGCTCACGTTGTATATAACTGCGGGCTACGAGCACTACGTACGCGCCTCGTTATTATATTTTCATCGGCGCGTCTATATTATTAATTTAAAAAGCCCGCTGCCCTGTAATTCGGGGAGCAGCGAATTTCCGGGACGATGGCTGCTGGAATCTTTGGCCCACGGCGCTGCACGTGCCTTCCGTTAAGATCTGCAAGAAGGAAAAAATGAAGAGAATTTATGTAAAATCTCTTAATAGAATAATTGATATATAACATTTACATGAAACAAAATGGCGGATACTTCTAGTAGAACAATTTTAATAGTGGCCATTGATACCATGATGAAAAATAATTATTATAAAGAAAGGACACTTGTATAATTTTAGCAAAATAACTTTTATAGTGATCATCGACATTATGATGAAAAATCATTGTTATGAAAAAAGGTATATTTAGATAATTCTAGCAGGACAATTTTAATAATGATCATAGACATCATGATGAAAAAATAATTATTATAAAAAAATATTTAGATAATTCATAGAAAATATTCTTAATATAAATTATACATCACAAGTCGAGTTTCACGTAGTTCCAAAGTCTTACATTAATCCTAAACGGCTTTCAAGAAAAAAGAGAGGTTTAAGAGGAAGAAAAGAGAGGAGGAAGACGCGTGGAAGATTACACGAGAGAAAAGAAGGAAGAGTGGGAGAGGCAGAAAGAGGCACGCGTAATTGGTAGGGCTAGGGAGAAGCTTCTTCGAAGGTGAGCACCTGCTTGGTCCTGAGGCAGGCCACCGCCTCGCAGCTGCCGCAGATGTTTCGTGGACCAAAAAAGGTCGCGCTGAAAAAGGATCAAGCGTGTGCAGTGTGTACCCAGAGACGAAGATAATGAATACCTATGCACGGCCGAGGTGGGACAAGTTTCACGACGCCGATCGCCTCATTGAAGGAGGACACGCTGTGATCCGGACTGGAGCAGATGTTCCTTGCTTCGTTTCCGAGGATCATTGTCCTCCCTTTCTCCTCGACGGGCAGACGCTTCCTCTAACTCGCTTGCGAATTAACCTCTGAAATGCGAATTCACAATTACTATACATTCTCAATTAAAATTAGTAGTATTACGAATTCAGAGATTTAGAAACTCTCTAATTTACAAATACAATTTTAAATATAGTATAATGAAATATGCAGTGTGATAAGAATTATGCAACCTGTAAGGTGACGCAGGTTCCACACAGGTTGCAGAACCCTAGTCTTTGTTGCAGAGATCAGAACACCCCTGGAACGCGTTAGATACCCTCATAAATGCTCCCCACCTCAGAGATGCAGAAACACCCCTACAGTTAGCCCCTACAGTTATAAATACACTTCATGTCTCTGTTAAGGTTTTTATACTTTTACAAACTTTTTGAAGGACCTTTTTTTTAGTATAAAATGAGAGCAAATGAAGTGAACTTAAACTATTAACAAATACAATTAATAGATAGAAATTTAAGATCAAAGATTCTGCTTGAAATTTAAGCAAAGCGTAGTGGAACAAATTGTAACAAATCAAGTATGAACAAATTGTAAAACCTAGTATACTTCATTATGAACTAACAGGATTAACCCTTTGCACTATGTGGCTTGACTTATACGTATCTTTCTTGGATCTCATAAATAATTCAGATAATTAGAATTCAAGTATTAATAAATTATAAATCATGTGGCTTGGCTTACACATACTTCTCTTGGATCTAAATAATTTAGATAAAAAGATTACTAGAATATTTCTCCCTGTAATACGTTTTGTTCAAAAATTTTGTTATCTACTTTGTAAATTAAATCTGTAAAATTGAGACAAAGGGTTAACCTAACATACTTGAGTTAATCTAATCCTGGTGTTACTTATCTCCTAACTTAGTATGATAAACAAAGGTTTCTCAGATCCGTCATATAGAAAGCACCCTTGTTACCACCATATGACCGCATAAAGAGATAACAAGTGCGCGATATGTACCGAAATAATAATCGAACAATACTCTAGTTAACCGGCTGAGTTCGTCATCCCTGAACGTCTCTGGGGACGACAGCGTGTGCGCCCCAGAAGTAGAAAAAAGAGGAGCAAAAAAAGACGGACATAGAGAGAGCGCGCGTATATTCTTGCATCTGTTGCGAGGTGGGTCAGCGGTGTTTGTAAAACACGTATCCTTGCGTCGAGGGGTGGCCGTGTGTTCCCAATGCGATACTTCCTTCTGTTCCCTGGAATATAAATAAAAAGAGAGACGATAAATCGTGAAACTGATGCACTGCCGAATTATGGGCGAAAACCAGTAACTATCCATAAAGAACCCGTTACAAGATTTTTCCATTATCTTTCAGAACGTTTTGCTGTGTCATTCAAGCTTCCTTTTATGGAATAAAAATTTTATAGATTTATATTTTACACATTTAAATTTTGCACAAATATTGGTACACTTTACTTATAATTGGTTTATCTATAATTACTTATAATTGTAATTAAAAGCTGAGGGAACCACCCTGTTGTGAATACTTTAACAATATTTGCAAGAGCAAACTGATATTTAAAATTCTGAAAGATACTTGAAATCACTATGGGACTATTACCATGGAACATCAGTTCTTCAATCTTTTCTGGGATTCTTTAAAGAATATTAACGAGGGAGTACAAAGCTATTTGAGGGAGTTTGCCACCACGAAGGGAACAGCTGTAAGGAAGCAGGTGTGTGGTGTGACGTCAAGCAAGACACACGCAGTACGCGTGGCGAACCGGATATTCCAGCGAAGAAACAGTCTCGCCACACGTTTCCTGTCCTATGGTCATCCTCCACTCTGAAATCCATAGATAAATCTTAGTCTGAGATCACTTCAGTTTACCACAAGAATTGATCCTACCTTTGTGGTCGCCATTTTGTTTCTTTACATAGGTTATATTGTTCATACAGCTTTATATCTTTCTTCTGTGCTTTTTAAAATCCTCACATGCTTCCAACATGAATTTTAAAATAAATTCAATTTATAATTTTGATTTACACAATTGTGACAACTTTAATTCATAAAATAATTTAACGTTAAACCATTGTTACTGTGCTTAACTATTTATGAACAGGTATCTTGCTTTCTTCTGTGCTTTTTAAAATCCTGACATGCTTCCAACATTCAATTTAAAATTCTGAAATAATTAATTATAATTTATACAATTTATAATAACTTCAATTTATAAAATATAATGTTAAACAATTGTCTTTTTAACTATCTTATAAATAAAATTATGTAGTTTCTTCAACTTTGAAGTAAATAAAATAATTATGATTTTGAAACAATAAAAAATTAGCAGAGGACATGTGAGGAAACCGAAGAAAGCCACAGAGAAAGATTTCCAGTTGATACGCAATATCTAAGCCTCACGAGAACCCTCGATATTGGGTTTTTAAGCTGTCGCTTTCAAGCCCCGTTTTTCAATGGTGGCTTGTATGACGCGTTCCTTCGGATTTTCTTTGAACGTAATTCACCGACCAGTGGGATAAGCACGGTTTTAGAGCTTCGAGACATCTTCGATGTGTTCAAAAGCCGAGAATCGTGGATATTGAGATTCCCAGTTGAGATTGGGGGCATCTGTAAACAAAAATGAAATATAAAAAATCAACTAACAATTTGTTGACTAAGAATTTAATTATGTTCCACTGTTATTTAAAGTTCAAAATTTTTGTTAGAGTTACATAGAGATACATATTTGATAGAAATTGACTTACAGATAAACTATAGCTTAGGTTAAACTTTCTGCAGGATACATTTTTCAGTCCATATCTAGATATTATACATTTTAGGTAGCTAGTTCCCTTTATATATATATATATGGAGAGAAACTGTTGTCCGGCCGAAAATGCAGCGTGAAAGCCAGGTGGGTCAGGTAGAGTTGCTTCAGTAGGAATGCTTTACCTGCTCGGAACACCTTTTACCGGGAACACAAAGAGGACCGCTTTAACGTTACATACTGATTCCAACTTTTACGGTATCTCCACTGTAGGCTCTGACTAGGATAGTACAATTTTGAATTCGCAAATTTTTATATGGACCATTTACATACTTCCACATTTTAGGTTTTCTAAGTTTTCAATTTCAACATCTTCATTTTTTAAAAATTCTCCAATTGCATCTTCTTAAAAGTAACTATTTTAAGAATTTTATATTTTCTATTTGTTAAAAATTCTCAAATTGTATCTTCTTAAAAATAACTATTATTAAGAATTTTTTATTTTCTATTTCTTAGAAAAACTTATACCTGTTTCTGTTTCTTAAAAATTCTCAAATTGTATCTTCTTAAAAATAATTTGTTTGAAGAATTTTTTATTTTCTATTTGTTAGAAAAACTTATACCTGTTTCTGTTTCTTAAAAATTCTCAAATTGTATCTTCTTAAAAATAACTATCTTAACAATTTTTATTTTCTATTTGTCAGAAAAATTCTCAAATTCTATTTTCCCAAATTGTGACTATATTTGTGAAAAATGTGTGTTCATGGTGTCAAGTCTGCCACGAAAGAAGCACCTCAGTAAAAATAAATCTTAAGAAGACCGAAGAGGAGAAAAAAGTGGACATATGGTCTTTGCACGTTTCTCTCAAAACCCCCGTCTTAACTAAATATTTGTACTCGCCTGGGAAAATGCTTAGCGTTTATTTATATTCTGCAGCGTTAACCTGTAATAAATTCATTTCTTATTTATTCCCGCATTATTTCACAAATAAAAAATGTATTGCGAGTACCTTGGTCCTTAATATCAGAAGAAAGAAAGCAGAAAAGAGGACGAGGTTTAGGTTGGGTTAAACGGATGCTAACAGATGGTCGCAACCACGTGTTCAAAAATCTTCCCATTCCTTTATCGTAGCCTATGCGATTAGATGCAACCGCAGCCAGCCCCTGCACGAAATTAACTTCCTAGCAAGAAAGTGAAACTGATTCAGTTTGTTTTTTTAGTGGATATACATGTAGCTAGTAATCTTACTTTTTAAATATTCTCAAGTATAAATTTTTAACTTTTTAAATACTCTTCAACTTTCAAAATTGTGAGATACAAGTATTCAGATGTTATTGATGTTTTTAAAATTCCTCTTGACTATGATTCAGTTTGTTTTTTTAATGTCTATACGTGTAGCTTGTAAATACATCTTACTTTTAAATTATTAATTTTTTAAATACTCTTCAGCTTTCCAAATTGTAATGCAAACATTCAGAAGTTATGAACGTTTTTAAAATTCCTCTTAATTATATTTGATCTATAATATAAACCGTGTAATATAATTATATGCGACAACTTTGTACGTTGTACATATTATGAGCAATTGATATACATACATCAAAATGCAAAGAGAGTGATTACAATGATAAAACCACTTGCAATATTGTGAGATGCAAACATTCAGATGTTCTAGATGTTTCTAAAATTCCTCTTGATTATATCTGATCTACAACATAAACCATGTAATATATAATTATATATGACAACCTTGTACGTACTGCACATATTTAAGCAATTGTCTTACATACAACTAAATGCAAAGATTCTGATTACAATAATAAAATTACTTGCTTTATTGTGAGATGTAAACATTCAGACATTCTGAGCTTTTCTAAAATTCCTCTTGACCATATTTAACCTGCAATATAACATGTAATATAACTATATATAGCAATAGAATATTGCACATACAGCAATTGGTTAACATACATAAAAATGCAAAGATTAAAATGATAAAAGCACTTGCAATAGCTTCAAAGAAAGCATCAAAGGTGAAATCATAAATTCTCAGTTTTTTCTTGCACTGTATCATCCTGGTCTTCGAAGAGGGCGACAAAACATCTGCTGCCCTTCGATCTCCGCGACGGGAAAAGAATCATTTATGGGCTTCTAAAGCTCCTTTGTGACTGCGACTTACGCTACGATACTCGAAAGGACCACTGAGGATTCCTTTTGTGCAACATGTGGCTGGCACGTGTTTCCTCGTAGAAAGGCAGACCCGTACGATTTATATAGGATCTATAGAGAGGATCCGCAACGCTCTTTGACCAGCTGCCGAGGTACCTTGACGAATCAACAGGATTCTTCGCTCTAGAATCGATGCGAATTCTTGCATGGATTGTTACCATAATCGGTCATATTGAATGTCGACATCTTGTGCTGCTTTTATTCTTGATGGAACCCTGTAAAATATATGTGTAGATATATTCATTGTCATAGATATATTCTTGTGCTGTTTTTATTCTTGATGAAATGCTACCCTGTAAAATATATGTATATATTCATTGTGTTAAAATTAACATAGCATTGAATATTAATATATTGAATATTAAAAAATATTATACATATATTTTATGGTATACATGTTAAAACAATTGGTTATAACTTGAGTAAGACTTTCTAATATTTTTTAACATTTCTCAGTGCTACGTCAGTACTATTTAGCACAATGAATCTATACGTACTATCCATATATAATATTTTTTAACATTATCTTAATATTTATCAGCGCTATGTCAATACTCTTCAACACAATGAATCTATACAAACTATTTATATATTTTAATACATATTGTTGATATATTGTTAATACATATAGTTGATATAATTATCAACTCACAGTAACAATGAAGTTTCATATTATAAACACCAACAATATTTTTATATCTGATCATCTGTGAGAACTATCCAGTCAGTTCAAACAATATAGCTTTGCAATATTTTTATGTTATAATTTTTTAAATTAATTTCACACACAGGAGCCTAGAACAACAGTTATTTTTGAATGATTGCAATACAAACTGTCAGTAAAAAAGTCTTTACTCTTCTCTAAAGAGTTGAAGGATTAAGTGAACCGCAATTCAAGACTAAGAATAATGCAAAAGCGGATCCTCGTAGACATACGCACTTCCTGGCCCCTTTTTTCATTCACCAGAATGGATAGAATTCTGATCAGACCGCTTTGCTTTCTCTCTCTTCTTTCAAAGAATTCCTGTGCTTTGTTGCGTCTTTTCTATAGTTGCGCAGGAAACCGCTCGTTCGAGAAAAAGCTTGAAACCGTACTCAGGACGAATTTTGAAAAAGGAAAAATAGAACGTTTCCAAGAAGTCGATGCTGACTATGAAATGTAGCTAAGCATTGGTGTAACCAGAGGTTAGAGGACAAAGAATGTTGCAAAGCTACTTTCTAAATTTCTAGGGTTACTTTCTCAATTTTGAAGGTTTGCTATTAGTAAATTTTAGAAATTCAATTTTTACAATTGCAAGCTCTTACTCTTCCAAATTTCTAATTCCTATATCTTGAATATAGTAAAGTTACTTCCTAAATTTCCAAGGTCACTCTTTATTATAATTTTTTAAATTAATTTCACACACAGGAGCCTAGAACAACAGTTATTTTTGAATGATTGCAATACAAACTGTCAGTAAAAAAGTCTTTACTCTTCTCTAAAGAGTTGAAGGATTAAGTGAACCGCAATTCAAGACTAAGAATAATGCAAAAGCGGATCCTCGTAGACATACGCACTTCCTGGCCCCTTTTTTCATTCACCAGAATGGATAGAATTCTGATCAGACCGCTTTGCTTTCTCTCTCTTCTTTCAAAGAATTCCTGTGCTTTGTTGCGTCTTTTCTATAGTTGCGCAGGAAACCGCTCGTTCGAGAAAAAGCTTGAAACCGTACTCAGGACGAATTTTGAAAAAGGAAAAATAGAACGTTTCCAAGAAGTCGATGCTGACTATGAAATGTAGCTAAGCATTGGTGTAACCAGAGGTTAGAGGACAAAGAATGTTGCAAAGCTACTTTCTAAATTTCTAGGGTTACTTTCTCAATTTTGAAGGTTTGCTATTAGTAAATTTTAGAAATTCAATTTTTACAATTGCAAGCTCTTACTCTTCCAAATTTCTAATTCCTATATCTTGAATATAGTAAAGTTACTTCCTAAATTTCCAAGGTCACTCTTTCTCAAATTTGAAGGTTTGCAATTAGTAAATTTTAGAGATTCAATCTTTACAATTTCAAGCTCTTACTCTTCCAAATTTCCAACTGCTAATATCCTAAATTACTACAGTCAGTGTAAAAAGTATTCGTACAGTAATTAATTTCAACAAAAATGTTGTGAAACGTCATTTATTAACAAAATTTGAACAAATAAAAAATACACACACATTCTTACATATAAAACATAGACATCTAAGAATATGTATGTATTTTTTATTTGTTCAAATTTTGTTAATAAATGACGTTTCACAACATTTTTGTTGAAATTAATTACTGTACGAATACTTTTTACACTGACTGTACATTGTTAATTTCTAACTTTTTAAGCTTCCAAGTTAATTTCTAAATTACCAAGTTAATTTCTAATTTTGCAACTCTCTAATTCCTCAACACACTGATATCCAAATCTCCACACAAATAATGTTACACAAAGTGTATCAGCGACCCATTCATTGCACCCTGTCTACAACTTCCAGTTGCAAATACATGGTCAGTTCTTCCCACAATCGGGGCGTTATCCCCGCATCGTTGACCGTAAAACTTAATTTTCTTGTCGAGCCGCTTGTCCATCGCATCTGAACTTTCCCATAGGGCAAGACTTTAGAATAGACTCGGCTTCGTGGCACTTTAACGCGTATCACATGTGGCGGTTTTCCTCGTTGGAGCACGGGAGAGTGGAAAGGGGAAGGCTTTGTGACGAGTCCAGTTCCTGTGCTCGAAAGGGAGGCTAGAGCAAGTGGTAGAAGGTATCAATAGCTCGTTAAACACGACCATAGCCTGGTGAAACTGATACGTACCCCTTCTTTATCGAATTGAAATTTATTTAAAGCGGTCTCTGGGGTGTATTCGGCTCCCCTACCGAATGTGGAGCACAGGTTGCAGTCTCTCGAGTCAAGTGCAGGAGATTAAACGTTCGATGACGAGTTTCGCGCGAATGACCGGGGAAACGTGAGAAAACGACCGGCCGTGGGACCCTGGAAGATAGAGGAGAACGTTATACGAGATAGGGTGGAAATTTGAGAGTTTTGTATACTTACGACGTAATTTTTATGTCGGAGGATCTTCTGGACAGAGGATCTTCAATAGCTTGCTTTTGGCGTCATCTTATACTTTCACTAATTTTACTGAAATCACCAAAGATTAAATTATCAAGAAATTACCAATTTTACAAGTTTGTAATAGAGAATAGCAATATGTAATAGCTACGTTTAGGAAAAATCCGCTTACGTCCATAAAAGAGCGCCTTTCCCCTCGATTTCAGGGAACCGTGTTCCGCAGACCACACCGTTAATCCCAATTGTGTGATCATGATCTGCATTTCTGATTTCATCAATTCGCCTTCTCGTGACACGAGTACTCTTCACATAGAGAGGAGCTTTCATTTGCATGGACCGAGGGAGAAGTTTCGCTGATGCACGTGACGATAGATTTTTAGGGTGACGGGGATTTCGAACTAAAACAGACATTTCAGGGATTAGCTGCGGTTATGGGTGACAGTAATAGGTACTTAGATTATATGTATCTGAGGATATTTATGCTCATAGGTATACTCGTAGGTATACTCATAGATATACTCATGGGTACACTCATAGATATAGTCATAAGTATAGTCATAGGTATAGTCATATGTCTACTCTTATATCTACTCTTATATCTACTCTTATATCTGCTCATATATCTACTCTTATATCTACTCTTATAGCTACTCTTATAGCTACTCTTATATCTACTCTTATAGCTACTCTTATAGCTACTCATATGTCTACTCTTATATCTACTCTTATAGCTACTCATATGTCTACTTTTATATCCACTCTTATATCTACTCTTATAGCTACTCATATATCTACTCATATATCTACTTTTATATCCACTCTTATATCTACTCTTATGTGTACTCTTATATCTACTCATATGTCTACTCTTATATCTACTCATATGTCTACTCTTATATCTACTCACATGTCTACTGTTATGTCTACTCTTATAGCTACTCTTATATCTGCTCTTATATCTACTCATATATCTACTCATATGTCTACTCATATAAATACTCATATGTATATTCATATGTCTACTCATATAAATACTCATATGTATATTCATATGTCTATTTATATAAACACTTATATGTCTACTCATATGTATACTCATGTGTCTACTTATATGTATATCATATGTCTACTCATATGTGTACTCATGTGTCTACTCATATGTATACTCATGTGTCTACTTATATGTATATTCATATATCTACTCATGTGTCTCCTCACATGTATGCTCATACACAAAACAAGTTTGTCCACCATAATTAGCAGTGTTGGGTCACTACGGTCACTCCTGGACCACAGGGAAAGGGTTGAGGTCGTCTCTGTGACCCCGTGTCATTGTACAAACTGAGAAAATTAACGAGGTTTTTTATGCAGAGTGCGATAGTGGAGTAGGGGCGCAATACAGGCTAATATAAACATTACACCGTTGGGACCTATTTGCCGCAGAGGGCTTTTACGCCCGGGGCTATAGTTTCAATAGGAAAATCATCGTATATTATATTGCGGTATACTGTCACACTGAATGCCATATGCGAGCCACAATCGTTATGGGGAAATCAATATTTTTCGCGTTACTGGCTCATCTTTTTCAAACTATATAATACACTATCGTTCATTCTCACAAGCTTTTATCTAGTTTTAATAATTAAGTCTTAATTCTTTGTTGCAGGGTGACTACACCTTCGAACACGCAGACCTTGACGTCACCGGGTCGTCTCGGAGGAGCCATAGAGAGACTGCTCGTTGAATTAGCTCTCTCGGTGCTCATAGTCTTAGCACATTTCACTTCGGAATCCTCTAAAACGTTACCGTCGTCAATCTCGTCGAAGCCAGCCGGCGTGCTGGCCGCTGCTTACACGGCAGCCACTCTAGTTTCCGTAAGTGCTCCTTTCTATAAATTAATCATTAATGAATGAACACATAGGTGTACTTCCTGTGCATCAAAGATGAACTCACAAGTTGCATGAAATCCTTCCTATCCGAATTTCTCCATCTTCTTCAAGTCCACGTGTTTAAAGAGCACCTGCAGTTCGCTGAAAGAGCGTGAGAAATGGGGGGATAAATGAAAGAGAAGGACGGGCGAAAAAAGAGAGAATTTGATCTCAAACCCACCTGCTCCTGTACAATACACCCCAAAGCGAAAAATCCGAGTTCAGCCGGATCGTTTATACTCTGTAGAAGTATCTTGTGTCACCTTATAAATAAACAAGGGCTTATTCATCTCATATTTTTACATCTGTAATTTAAAACAAGAATTCAAATGTGTTAATATCTAATTATGCTTTCAGAGTCCATTCCTCAACCCAGCGAGAGCTCTGGGTCCAGCCTTCGTGAGCAACCGATGGGACAACCACTGGGTCTACTGGGTGGGCCCATTGTCAGGCAGCGCGGTGGCAGCCCTGCTCTACGAGTACGTCCTGAATCCCAAGCGGTCCAGGGACCTCCGCGAGATGGACGACGGCGACAACTCGTCGATGAGATCCGACGAGGACACGTACGACGACCTGGACAAACCGTCGGGCCCAAAGTTCCCGAGCGCGTACGCCACCTATCGTCCAGTGGCTGGAGCCTCCTCGTCCATCTACAGCGCTCCTCCGACCGCCCTGGAACGCGTGGAGTCCATCTACGGTGGCACTAAGTCGCTGTACTGCAAATCCCCGCCTTTGACCCGGGCCAACTTGAACCGCTCCCAAAGCGTGTACGCTAAGTCGACGTCAGGCACCCGGGACGGTCTCATGATCCCTAAGCCGGGTCCCCTGGCGCCGGCTCAGAGCTTATACCCCATCAGGATAGGGCAGACAGGCTCTAATTCTGGAAGAGAGAGCCAACAGCAGGGTGTACAGAACGGTGGACCGACTCAGACGTCCCAGAATCATAACAGTACCAACCAGAACATGCAGAATCAGCTGCAACAGTGTACACAGAGCATCTATGGGATCAGAGGAATCTCGACGAGCCTCAGCACCCGGGAGAATGGTATCTATGGGGTGTCCACGGGGTCCAGCATATATGGCAGGGCTCCAGCTCCTCCTCCAAGTAGCCAAAACCCTCAGCAATCTCCTTCGAATGTTCAGAACAGCGGGCAGACCCACCAGCAACAGCAGCAGCAACAGCACCAGAACGGACAGCTGTCGGCCACCTCGGATAACACCGCCAACTCTAGAAGACCTGAAAGCATGTATGGTCACATCTCTAGGCGCAGTGATGATTCCGCGTATGGTAGCTATCAAGGATCCACACGAGGGAACTACGCTAAAGTACCTGGACCTCCTGGGTCCACTGGACCACCTAGTGGACCTCCGGGTCCTCCACAGTACCGTGACCAACCCAGACCCAGCCCTGCTGGACCCTTGCAACAGAACCAGCAGAGTAACTTCACGAGGAATTCGCCCAATCCGCAGTACTGACTGTAAATGTAACGACGTTAGTTTGTTTCGAGATTGAAACTGCTGGATGCAGAAAAGAACTTACCGATTCTTGACCTCGGTCTGACGAGTCTCAGAATTGTTCGTCCATTGCTGATCACCTGTAAGACGTTGTTAAAGTGAGACTCGTTAGAAGAAAACGTGCCATTTTAGATTGCAACCGACATAGTATTTCAGACAAAATATCTTGACTGATTAATATTAAGCTATATAGCTTACCTGATGTAACTGAACGTTGTAAAAATTATTTTCATTTCATTTACTGATTTACTTTGTGTTAAATATTTTGGAAGCATTCTGAGAACTTCTGTGTGAGATATTTTGTCAAAGATATTGTGAACGAGTTATTTAATCATGCTACCATCTTATAGTGTAGTGAGAAATGGAGCTTCCACAAGTTTCAACGTTCCAAAGACTTTATAATGTTTTGTACTATTTTTCGATATCATGGAATTAGTATTTGTAGAAGTGATGTTTTCGAGCGTAGAAATTTTCTTGATGGAAATTTTATAAAATAGAAAACGAATGTTTACCGTAGCGTAGATTTCGTATTGAAACGAACCGTTAATTTTTGAACGCTGTTCGAGAGAATCGATTCGACTATCGTAACCTTGCCATCTGGCGGGAAAATTTGAAAGCGACTTCTGACAGAAATGGAAGGTACTGCCAATCGCGATTATCAATCGGCGAAACTAAAGATTGAATCGTGATCCTTACTTGATAAGGTAACATGTCTTCACTCGATTAAAATCGATCGATAAAATGAACTGACACTGTAGTCGATACGCAGCCAAGACTGATCTCATAAACCTTTTTATATGTTGCATTCAAAGTATTTTTCATTCGTGTTTTATCGAGGGCATAATCCAGGTGAATTGAAAATTGAACCTGGAAAATTGTGTATAACCGTCTAAAGTGCTTTTTGTATAGTTCATTGTCATCGACTTCCGGAAAATGGTTCAACTTCCGGGAGCGAATTGAGACTCCTTATGTATATTACGTAGTGATTAAAACACTATTACTTTATAAGATACATTATAAATTTGATATAAATATTAAAGTAATGTACTAGTTGCTGCTAGAAAATATGGATATCGAAACTCGAAGCAACTCGAAGTCTTTTGTATATATTAAACTTTTATTTATTATCTCTATTATAGCTATAAATTTTTAATTATCGTAACATTCATGTATGTACGTAAATAGAAAAATTCGATAATAAACAAACCTGAAACCCATATCTTTCTATCATAATTTTAATCCATTTTATACAGTCCATCAAAAAGAAGTGCATATAGTTAAACAATTTTATCCGTTGAGTAACGAAGTTTGAAATGCGCATAAATTTATGTCATAATGTATATTTAAGATAAGAAAAATCATACGAGATGTTAATTCAAATCGCATGTAACAAACTTTCTGATTGGATAATTCCTGCAGAACACAAAAGCGACATCTGCAGCACATCTTATGCATTTTCTAATATTTCGTAATCTATGACAATGCGCATGCGCACACGTGATGCGCACAAGTGAATGCGCATAAGTCTCAGAAGTATTTAATTCCCAATTTTCAAATTTTTATCTTTCTGAATTAAAATATTTAGTAACCACAAGCGGACGAATGATAAATTCTCTTTTTTTCGTGTCTAAATTTTCTCTAAATGTGCTACAATGTTCGGAGTTTGAATTTTATTCATTGTCACAAATTCCCGCCATTATTTTATCTTTCTTCCCCATCAAGTATATAAGCATGAAAGTGGTAGCGGACTCTAGAAGGGCGTCGCATTAAATAGAAACTTCCTAAATCGCCATCTAGTTACAGAATTCTCTCGTGGGACAGCGGTTCGGAATAATTGTGCTGTCACCTGTCGGAATGCGACACAATCCGTCGCTTATCAGATGTTTGACCGATAAAGATTTCAAGGGGAATCGGCACGAAAAATGCAATCGTGAGAGGGCCAATCGCATTTTCCGTGAAAAACCATCAGAATTCCCGATCTTTATTCCCGATTTTTCAGCGCACTTGGAAATCAGCTGATGACGTAACACGCGACTCGCGCAAGAAGAAAAGTTAGTTGTGTACTCGTGTCGGTGTTGGTGGGCGCGAGACTTGCGCGAGACGAAGTATGGCGTAGGAATTTCTGGCCTCTTTCGTCCAAGTGTTTAAGTTCACTTTACTCGGTGATTCGTTTGTCTGTCGTTTATTAACGGTAAATCTCTGGAGCATTTGTGGCGAAACGTTTTCACCAACGACTGGTGTTCGCTGCATTTTACGAGCGGGAGGTAGTCTCTTACAGGGTACGAAACGGACATCGAATATTATACACGATGAGCGTCGATGCATACGGACCTAGCAGTCAAACCCTCACGTTTCTCGACACCGAGGAAGCGGATCTGATCGGTGCGGACACTCAAGGAAGTGAATTTGACTTCACGGATTTTACATTACCTTCCCCGAGTCAAACTCAGGCTTCGCAACATGATACTGCTCAAAGTCAACCTAGCCAGCCCGTACAGGTTGGTTTTTGGCTCGTCATATGTTCGGGAAGATCGACCTTTAACCTATTTTCATTCTTTATCTCTGTTTACTCGTTGTATAAGATTTTCTCTAGTCACGCGGATACCACCTAACCTCCTAATTTACACTAGCTCTCTGAATTTCCATGCACATCGTGCTTATGTCCACGCCTTGCTTTCGTTTCGTGACCCTTGTTTTTTTCGACTCTAGTATTGTTTGTACGGTGTTACCGTCTCGTACTTGCGATTTTGCTATGTTTGACGATCGGAAATTCAATTTCTTTAAATCTTCTATCACGAACGTGGTCATTAGTTGATCATTCATATGAGGTTAGGTGAATTTTGTGTGAAGAACGTTGTTTCACGTTGTTGTGCAAGGTGAACAATACAAGTTGTAATCAATTTATAGTCAACGTTTTAACAAACCTGAAAGTGTTTATTAATTGATATAATGAATATTAAAAAATATCATGCTCTTGTATATGCTTTTGAGTATAAAAATAGATCATATACTTCTACCGATAAAGTTTCTTTTATCAATTTATTTAGGTTAATGGTACAAGTGGCAATTCATCCCTGGACTTGAAAATTTCTGGAGCAGCGCAAAGCCTTGCTGAATTACAATTCGAGGAAGAGGAAGAGGAGGCTTACTATAATCGTGACCTGCCAGAACATGCATGCAAATATTGTGGAATTCATGAAGCGTCTTGTGTTGTTATGTGCAATATCTGTCGCAAGTGGTTTTGTAATGGACGTGGAAACACGTCTGGTTCGCACATTATCAACCACCTTGTACGAGCTAAACACAAGGAAGTTACTTTACACAGGTATTTTATCTGACATTTTAATACTGCTTAGGTTATCAGTATAAATATCTGTAATTCTTCTTATATGTTATTGATACCACCATTCATTTATAAATATGTCAACTCATTCCTTTACAGTTTTATAAGTACACCTTTATAATTTATCTGTGATATATCATGAATGACACTCTGTTCCTTACACATGTGTATATATAAAGAATCATATTATTACTGAAGAGGACCCAAATGATAGATCAGAATGGTTAATAAGATTGGTAAATAAAACAAGTATTGAGTTTTATACAAATTTATTGATGTTGCAGAGATGGTCCTTTGGGAGAAACCGTTTTGGAATGTTACTCATGCGCTGTCCGGAATGTTTTTGTTCTTGGTTTCATTCCTGCAAAAGCAGATTCTGTTGTTGTACTGTTGTGCCGTCAACCATGTGCGGCTCAAAGTTCCTTGAAGGACATGAATTGGTAGGTACCACTATTTAAAAGCAATGTGAAATATAACAAACTTTTAACATAACAAAATTTCCAGGGATCAAGAACAGTGGAAACCATTGATCGAGGATCGTAGTTTTTTGGCGTGGCTGGTAAAAATCCCATCTGAACAAGAACAGTTACGAGCTCGACAGATATCCGCGCAACAAATTAATAAACTGGAAGAGCTGTGGCGAGATAATGTTGATGCGACCTTCCAAGACCTAGAAAAACCTGGAGTAGACGAAGAACCGCAACAAGTACTTCTGCGGTACGAAGATGGATACCAATATCAGAACATATTTGGCCCTCTCGTTAAGTTAGAAGCAGACTATGACAAACGTTTAAAGGAATCTCAAACTCAAGAAAATATCGAAGTTCGTTGGGACGTAGGATTGAACAAAAAGACGATTGCCTATTTTATGCTAGCAAAAACAGACGGTGACATGAAATTGATGCACGGAGACGAACTGAGACTTCGCTATTTGGGTGAGCTTCACAAACCCTGGTCAGGAATTGGACACGTGATAAAGATTCCTGACAACTACGGAGAGGAGGTCGGGATTGAGTTGAAAAACAATTCCGGCGCCCCGACAGAGTGCGTCAGTAACTTTGTCGTTGATTTTATTTGGAAAAGCACAAGCTTTGACCGGTAAGTGAAACTTTATATTTGTATAAATTTAACGATGTAGTAATAGCAGTTAATAATATATAAAGTAATAAATTGCATAATCTTTTTCGATCGTAGCATGCAATTAGCATTGCGAAAATTTGCTGTGGACGACACCTCCGTATCCGGTTACATATATCATAGATTGTTAGGTCACGAAGTGGAAGAAGTCCTATTTCGATGTCACCTTCCTAAGCATTTCAGTGCTCCCAATTTACCAGACTTGAATCGTTCTCAAGTGTACGCCGTAAAACATGCCGTACAAAGGCCTTTGTCTCTCATTCAAGGACCACCTGGCACGGGTAAAACCGTGACCAGTGCCACTATAGTTTACCAACTGGTAAAACAAAACGGTGGTCCCGTGTTGGTATGCGCTCCTTCAAACACAGCCGTGGATCAGCTCACAGAGAAGATACACAAATCCAATCTGAAAGTTGTACGACTTTGCGCAAAATCGAGAGAAGCGATTGACTCGCCGGTCAGCTTCCTCGCTCTTCACAATCAAATTAAAAACATGGAAACGAACACGGAGTTGCAGAAGCTGCAGCAACTGAAAGACGAGACCGGAGAGCTGTCCAGCGTCGATGAGAAACGTTACAGACTGCTGAAGAAAGCAGCAGAGAAAGAACTGTTAGAAGCAGCCGATGTAATTTGTTGTACTTGCGTCGGAGCCGGTGATCCAAGGTTGCACAGACTTAAATTCCATTCTATTCTTATCGACGAAAGTATGCAAGCCACAGAGCCTGAATGCATGGTACCAGTCGTGCTTGGAGCGAAACAGTTAATTTTGGTCGGTGATCACTGTCAATTGGGACCCGTTGTTATGTGCAAGAAGGCAGCCAGGGCAGGTTTATCGCAATCTCTTTTCGAGAGACTGGTTGTACTCGGAATCAGACCATTCCGGTTGGAGGTACAATACCGTATGCACCCAGATCTGTCACGCTTCCCATCGAACTTCTTCTACGAGGGCTCCCTGCAAAACGGAGTCTGTGCCGACGAAAGAAAACTACTGAAGATAGACTTCCCTTGGCCAGCTCCTGACAAACCCATGTTTTTCTACGTCACTCAAGGACAAGAGGAGATCGCTGGAAGTGGTACATCGTACTTGAACCGTACCGAAGCGTCCAACGTCGAAAAAATAGCAACGCGATTCTTACGTTGCGGAGTAAAACCCGAACAGATCGGAGTGATAACTCCCTACGAAGGACAGAGAGCCTATCTGGTTCAATACATGCAGTACCAAGGCTCGTTGCATTCGAAGTTGTATCAAGAGATCGAGGTTGCCAGCGTCGATGCGTTCCAAGGCAGAGAGAAGGACATAATAATCATGTCTTGCGTCCGGTCGAACGAGCATCAAGGTATTGGATTCCTGAACGACCCCAGAAGATTAAACGTTGCCTTAACCCGTGCGAAGTACGGAATCATAATCGTAGGAAATCCAAAGGTGCTATCTAAGCAGCCACTTTGGAACCACTTGTTGAGTTTCTACAAAGAACAGAAGGTCCTCGTGGAGGGACCTTTGAACAACCTGAAGGAGTCCATGATTCAATTCGCTAAGCCAAAGAAGTTGGTCAACGCAGCTAACCCGGGCTCTCACTTCATGTCCACGTCCATGTACGACGCTAGAGAAGCCCTCATCCCAGGGTCCGTGTACGACCGTTCCGGCACCCAAGTAAACGGAACGCAGAACCACAATCCTTATTATCAGAGGAACGTTCCTCTGGACATATTCAGCAGGACTCACGACACTATTAGCTACATCAGTCCAGAACGAGCTCAAGCAGCTATGAATAATGTTCCAGTACCAGTAGGGATGTTCATGAACATGGCACATGTGCCTCCACGTTTCTACAACCAACACCAACAGGCGCTACAAGCTAGACAGAACCAACGCAATCGTCGTGGAACCGCTTTGTCGAAGAACAAGCAAGGACCACGCATGGGAAAATTGAGTCAAACGGAACAGAACACCCAGCCATATAGCCAGCCAGGTTTACCTCTGACACAAGGCACTACACAAGGAATGTCACAACCGGGCTTCAGTCTTTCTCAACCTGGATTGAGTCAAGCAGAACTTTCACAGGATTCATTTGCCGTCGGAGAATTCCAGTCGCAAATGGACGGCCTATTGTCACAAGATTCAACTTATCAAGGTGATCGAAGTGGTTTTTATCAATCTGGACAGTCACAAGCCGGGGGACAGTTCTCCCAGCCATACTGAGCCGAGATCGTACGGTTGAGCAACGCAATTGCTATGCAGCGTCGCGGGAGCGACTGAAGGCTCGTTCGACCAATTCTTCTTCGACCAACAACCACAAATCACTAACTGCGCAAAACGGTAAAACGGCTCGGCGATCGAGTACGGTATATGCACGCAGTCGTCGGCGTTAAAGAGGGTTTTAAAACAACAAAAAATGATAAAAACAAAGCTACTCCAAAAGGAAGTTCGTCGCCATTACCGTCAACGCTAAAATGTACTAGACGGAAAAGGAAATGGTTCATGTACCACTGGGCATAATAGTGTGCGATAAAAGCCAACTAAAAAGGGATAGGACTACGGAGACGACACACAAATCGCTACCTAACCAACTCACCGTGACACGCGCTTACCGTGAACGGACCGTTTTATCGCGGGGATCGAGTGACGCTAGAATTACACAAAAAAATGTCAAAATATCAAAAACACAAAAAAAAGTAATAATAAAATAAGGAAGATACGGGACATGTAACGCATCACGAGTGTTTGTTACAACTGGAATTTCTGATGGTAACAATTTACAAGCAATATCCAGGGATACATTTGGAGGATCGTGTAAGAAGATACAAGAAGAGGTCAAACAATTGGCTATGATACGCGTTACGTGTCTTTCCAATTTCCCTTAAAGGTGTGAGATCAGACGTCGAAAAAAGAAAAGGGAAAAGACGAATACATGCCTATAGAGATTTCATAGGATCCTGGAGAATGGTCTTCGGTGGCACGTACCTGATTGATTCCTACGCAGAGGCGACAAGGACAGTTATCAGGGTTTCAAATTCAGTTTTTAATCTAAAGTTCAGTTTTTAATTCAAACTTATCAAATTCTATTTTTATTTTAAAGCTTTGATCAACTTTCAATTGTTAATTGAAACTTCTAATCAGACTTATATTTGTAAGAGTATTATAATGAGGATTAAAATTCATTTGTAATTATACGAAATTCAATAAACTTTCATTTTTTATTAGATACAAGTAATTCGATTTTTTGAGAAGTTTTTATTAACTATTGGAAATTGAGAAAGCTCGTAAGGTTAATTTTTTGTTCAGTTTGACAAGTTTGAATGAAAAATTTAACATTTAATTGCAAATTCGATTAATAATTAACATTTCGAAACCCTGATTAGAGTAACGACTATCAAATAACCAACGAAACGAGTTAATCGAAAATATCACCGTTCGAATTTGCCGCCATCAGGTTGACGCTCAAAAGCGATGAATCCTTTCTCATAGGCTTGACGTGATGTTGACACGATGCTAACTGATAACGAATCCTATCAATTCCGATCATGTTAATTAATTTGTTTTTTTTCTGGTTAGACTGGTATATATATGTATATATTTTGTTCATCGCAGGGGTCGACGAAGTCGCGCGAATAGAAACAAGTTTCATTCGATATTTGTATTTATACCTGTTTTTTTAGTAGGAATTGTAAACGAATTAATCCAAGAAAAATAGAAATCTGCAGAAATTATTTGGATTTTAAACATCGCTGTCTGTAATGGTACGGGTAATTAATTTAGCGTTAAAAGTACTTTTAAATATTCTAATGTACATTCGGGATGCAGCAGAGGCTTTTTTGAAAATTTAAAAAATTCTAAAAATTCAGTTCGGAGATTTGGAAGATTGGAATTGAAAGGTTTAAGCTTTTAGAATTTTTTAGGTTTGTGACTGAACCTCTAAAATGGGAAGTGTTGGAAAATTTCTCCTTAGGTAAAGAAGCCTTCGTTGCACTTGATTGTCCGAAATATCGTTATACATAACTTCTTATTTGTATGGTTGCACTTTCTTTTTGTTCTTTTTCTACCCTCGTACACCCCTTGCGATTTTTTTGTATTTTTCGTTCGATATTGACTTCTGAAGATGAGTTAATCTACTGGGTCAGTGTAAAAAATTCGAAATGAAAAAGAAAAAAACAGCATTACGAGACACAAAATTGTTTTCTTTTCTTCTTTCCGACCAACAGCGCACCGCTAACTGCAGAATATATTATGGAAATTCATTGTGAAATCTTACGGAACGAATAAATTTAATTTGAAAAATTCGACTTAATTTCTAACCTATATCCTATTCTTTTTCTTCAGTTTCGACGTTATATCTACATATCGAAGATTATGTATATAAATATTGTTTATTTAACTACAAAATGAAATTTACAAAAGTTTAAATATTATCTTGAAATTTTGTGTAACATACGTTAACAAAAAAGTAGGAAGATGATGGATTTCTATACCTTAAGCAAAGGAAGATTTTCAACATTTAATTCTTTTAAATTCATTACAAAAATAAGTAAATAATTAATTAGAAAAATACATTAGGCCTGTTTTTCATTAAGTTATTTATACATACAAAAGATATATTTATGGAAATAATTTTTAACGAAACATCAATTTTATATTCCTTCGACTAATGTTATTCTTTTGATTACACAGTCCTGAGGGTTGAATATTAATACCTAACAATTTTTATACTGTTAACACAGCCCTCTGTTTTCTATATATGATACTTTAAATATTTTACTTGTTACATTTTATGTTTTTTTTTGGCAATGAAAGGACTAGTCAAATTAAGATTAGAAAATGGAATCATGATGTTTAACGAAAGTAGGAACTTTAGCCAACCAAATGACCACCTTAACTGTAAATTTAACTACACCAATTGCACTGCTTGGTCTACTTTTAAAATTTTTAAGCGTAAGAGTATACATCTTAATTTTTGTTTAAAATGCAGTTCGAAGTAGACTGTTTGTCTTACAAAATTTTCTTCGCACATGAAAGACAAAAATAATTTCATATTTTGGCACATGGTACAAGGAATCAAAACTTAATCATTACAATATGTTGATAGTATTTGATTGATTCGATAAATTAATTTCAACGTACTTTCGTTGATACTATAATATTAATATTTTTTAAACATTTTTATACTTTTTTAATTCTCAGAACAATTTTTTCTTTTTAATTTTTTTCTTTTTTCGTTATCTCGATGAGATATCTTTTTTCCATTTTTTTTTAACGCAGATTTATAGTTTTTAAGAATGTGTACTCTTTGTATACGAATATCTCAGATTTAGAAGAAAATTCGGTGCCATATAATTCCTGAATTTTAGACGAAGCCTTTTAAATGTACATTGAGCCAATATTAATCTATATTGTAATTAATTGTCACAAACTGAAATTTCGTCGACTTATCGTACCTAATGTGTCACTTTGTAACAATTAAACGATAATAAGGCACCACATTTTTGTTATTTAACAATTTCGAAATAATACGTAACGAACTGAGGAAAGACATTCGTATTTATACAAAAACCAGCATCGTATTTTTGTTAACTTATTACTATAAACTTTCAATTTGGATTTAATGTCTTTTTTTTCATCGTTTCTCTTTTTTTCTAATCACAAACACTATTGTATTCGTATAACAATAGGTACTTAAAGAAAAGCTAAGAATATTTTTGATTGTATATGTGTAAATTCATGTAATAAGTGGCTCGACATATTCAAAAGAAAGAGTAATAAAACAGAAACGAAACAAGACGAGATGAAAACTCGATCTTATAAACGCAACAGGTGAGCCATTGCATAGAAGCGCCGGCTATTATCACAATACACGAGCATGTTAGCTCAAGGTAAGCGTAGAATGTTACCTCGTTGTACTTTCTATCTCATACATAGGTGGTATCAGTCGAATTGCCTCGAATTATATAAAGCGAGGCCAATTGCAAAAATAAACCGCTTTCAAGTATAAAATTATACTAGATAATAAGTATTTCTATAATAGCCAACGTGAACGTGATTACGTCACGATGTACGATGATGTTGAATTCATCTTGACAAATATCCTGGATAAGTCGTGATATTCTTTCAAGTTTTGGTATGTACAATCAAATACCTGCTTGATTCTCGCAAAGACGTCTGGATCGTAAACTGATCTAGCAGTGTTGGTTAAATCAAACGGTTCTGTATAAACAGACAATAATTTTTATGTGAATAGAAATGTTTGATAAGTATAAATTAAAATACACAACTCTGTTACTCAACATTACCTTCGATGCATAAATACTTCCACTGATGGGGATCATTCTTATAAGACCGTGCTCTTCGACACTCCTCTATCGGTATTTTACTAGCCAAACGTATCGATATTGCGTACTGATTGAAACTAACGAATTTTTATGCATTTAGTATAACGAGATTTACTGTCACAAATATATAATACTTTTACTCACTCAAACATCACGTAATATCGAAAAAATTCAACGAAGAGCTCCCCTAATGATTGTCGATTTTTAGGACGAAGTACGGAGGCAGGAATGTCTAACTCTTCTTGGATATCTATACAATGTATGTCCGTGTGCGGTGAAAATTTACCTTCGTAGAGAGAATGCAAACATGGTAGAACTGGTGGATTAACACCACCTAAAATAAATAGGTAACAGACAGATATATCGACTTAGAAAATCATTGAACTGTGGTATACGTACATAGGTATGCACACAAAGATACATACACTGCAAAAAATGGATAACCATCAGAACTAACGAATAACTAGATATTGTCATGTTCTTGGCATCGTTAATATCTTGAGATTGAGCCCAAAGTTTAACTACCAGTACCAACGGTCTCACTCTCCAGTCAACTGAAAGATTATTTAAAGATATTTCTATTTGTCACAATACTTAAAAGAGCTGCTTTACTAACTATAACAGCCTTACTTCGAGAATAGCAATACAACAAATGAGTATTTCGAATACCAACAGCATTGTTACAATTTAAGTCGACTTCCAAATTTTGTATAGAATCATGGAACTTTAGGATTGGTACTTTTGCTTGTATGAGTTCCAGTTGTTCTATAAATTCTGTTACAATAACAATATCCTTTAGGAAGTTATACACTCACATTGACATAAATTTAGTATTATCTTAACATACCACATCTTCTAAGACATTTTAATATTTGTTCTAAATGTCCAATAGCTTCATTTCTTTGATCCATTTCTGTATGCCTCACTAAAAGACACATGTCAACGTCACTGTTATCAGATCCAAAACCATTCATTGTAGATCCAACCAGAAACAATCCATATTTTGGAAATGCAGTCTAAAAATTATACATGTATTAAGAGAGACAATTTTATTTGCACAATACAATTAAGTCGTACCTTGATGTAAACATAAAGATATCTCCAAAGCATCATTTTATTTCTGTAGATGGTTTCAGTTTGTTGATTGACCATAAATTTTGAAAAAACATCTTTCGATAAATTATCCCAAATTGAACCATTAATCAACTCATCCGGTACATGAGTTACTTCAACTAAATGTGACCTAGCAAGGAATCGATCTGGTGCAATTCCATACCTAGGAAATGTGTTATAATTTGGTGCCAATAACCCCATATATTTTCTATTTCTTTGCAATCTTTGTGGAGGTGGACTATTCCTTCCTAAAAGTATAATTTATTTCTGAATAAAGTAAATTAATAGACTGTTTTGCTATAGTTAATATAAATGTACCTGAATGATATCTTCTCTTATTCTGATAAGTTTGCACTTGAATTCTAGATGTTGACATTGCAGCAGGATAATAATTAACAGGTTTTTGATGTTGGTAATATTGATTTGTGGAAGTATTTGAAAATATACCATATTGCATTATTCTATTGTTTGTAATATTACTTGAATGTATTTTATGTGACTTTCTACAAAATAATGTTCTACTATTAAATATTGCAAAATTACATTTAAATTCAATACTTACTTCATACTTTGTTCAACTGAAGAAATTACAGAATCTCGCTCATCTGAGCTTTCTGTTTGACTACTATCAATGTGATACTTGTTTGGTGTTGGAGATCGAGAACTGAAACCACTATCACTGCCATACTTTTCATTCTTTGCAAATGATTCTCTAAACGAATTTCTTTTGCTGATTTTGTTATACCAACTTGATTTTTTTACTAAACCATTATTATTTGGCCTAAAAGTAAGATGTGGAGAGGGTATAATAGGTGTATTATTTGATGTATTCACCCGTCTTTGCCACTGTCCAGGAGACATTCCATTATTTGATTGTATATAATCTATACGCCTTAGAGAAGGTATTTCAACACCCATCAATTGCAGTAATTCCACTGGACAAGATCCTGTCTGCAAAAATACTACTTGTATTCAAAACAATTATTAATACTTAAATAACTTACAGACACAACAATATACCTGTATCATTTGGTGTCTATTTTGTGCACAGGTATCTGAGTGATACTTTAAATATTCAGATTGAAGAAATGCACTTGCACCATGAGTGTGCATCGTGTGTGTTTGAACTGGGGGACACTGTCCATTTGCCTGTTGGCCTCCCATTATCTGCACCATTATTTGTGGTGGATACATAGTGTGATACATAGTCAAAAATAATGTATAAAATACTACAAAATATGTTACTTAATTCTACAAGAAACTTTATAATTTTTAGCAGTATAATTATTATAATATATAATTCATTGACTATACCGAATATTATTTACAATATATACCAAATTTAAATTCCAAAATAAAATTGATTCACAGATAATTCTCTATCTAGCATTAACATATTTTGAAATGTTTCCCTTACTTATATTGTCTCAGTAAAAATATATTTATTATTTGTAACTGATAGAGAAGAATATAATTCATCGAATATACTTAATCAATATAGTTCTAATGATACTGATACTGATTAATTACTGAATAAATAACATATAAATTAATAATTTCATTAGAACTAAATATGAACCATGTATCTTGTTTTTTAATGTATCTCATTTCTCAACAACACCAAAGCATTCCATTTAAACTGTAAACTTGTTTCTGCAATTATATATTACTATCATGTAATCCCAATGGTAAATAATACTTCTGCCCAATGATCGTTGCGTTTCAATATTAATAGTTTACGTTTTCCAAACTCTTGGCACTATACAAGTTTATGATTTGCAATATGTATTCCTGGAAACATATAAGACTTTAAATTCTAACACAAACAAACAAATAAATTTATGATACAGAAAATATAATATATTAAACAATACTGTATATCAAATAGTTTTGTGTATGATAGGTTACGTTAAACGATAACGTTAGAGTATCGTTATATATACTTAAGGAATTATTTTCAACACGTAGATCGTATAATACAATCATGGTTATAAATATGAGCAGAACATCGATCAGTTAAATTCAAAATGTGTCACGTATAAAAATGAACTACCTGTCGTATAATATCCAAAACAACGGCTATAAAGAACTTGAAAAATACACAAATTTGTAACCAACAAAAACGACAGAATAATAAAAAAAAAGAGCATGACAGTGGAAGAGAGTAATACTAAATTCACCGTCATTTTAGCAATAAGCGATTATATACCCATTTCTTATCGCCATGTTGTGAAGATCCGCATTCAACATAATATTTTTCCAAAGAAAAAATCTGAAATTTCTTTCCCGATCACTTTCAAATTATTACTGGAAATGGATAACGTTTAAAATTGTATCGACGTGATTGTATCTCCCGCCGGAATTTAGCGAACTGTTCGCGATCTTCGATAAGTAATATTATTTTTACGATAATCACGTCCTCGGGATTTGCGCGATCTTGTCACTTTTAACGCATTCCAACTAACTAAACTTATTTAAATTTTCGAATTCCTCAATGTGATAGACGTTTCTCGGCTTGACACTAGACATTTACAAAATACAACGTTAGATGGCGAGACGCGAGAAGAATTAAGACTTACCAGAGGAGTCGTGAAAAAATTGCCTACCGTCTAGCAACTAAATACTAATATACTTTATTCAACGAAAGATCATACTCATCGTATGATAACTTTGCATTCCTCTTGCGCTAAGTCCGATTGATTATATTCTCAAATTTCCGAATCTACAAATTCTCAAATTTGATCATGTTGTACTCTTTCTACTAATTATTTTTCTACATCGCGTACATGATCAACGAAGTAAAGTAGCGAAGCACGAATCGAGTATGATATCTCGTTAAAAAGAATTAATAAAGAGAATTAATTGTTTGACACTACATATCTATTAATGTATAAAAATGTCCTTCTTCAGTGATACATGAGATGAAACTTTATTAAATAATACATACATTCATGTCATGTATGTTAAAATGCATGCAAAACGAAATTTTTTTATTTTTTCTTTTTTTCATAGTTATTTGTAATCGTATTATAAAATGGCAGCCACTGTTACTTTTTTTTGAAATTATTCTAGATATTTTATTAAGATTGTAGATAATGTAAATAAGTAATTTTTCCGTAGAATATCATATCGTCGTATACCTTAATTATACGTGTAAAAATTGTAAATACTTTTACTTGTCTATCATTTTATTCGCCAATCATAAATATTGTAGAAATTTTATGTAAAAGTGAAATGTTTTAACTTTGTATAAAATCACTAAACAAAACTGTATGAAAAGAAATATTCTTCCATGAAGAATAATAAAGAATATGGATCGATATAGAAGTGCGCTATACCCTGCAAAAACATTCTAATCTTATAGCACTCGGTATCTAGAATTAGTATCGTTAGATTACTCTTAATACTCATGTTTAATTTAATCCATAAAATGCTATGATTCAATACATTTAGGCGGACGAAGAATATTGCTTTCTGAGCCTTTGAAACTCTATCTCTTTTTGTAAGTATTCTTTGACAAATGGATGCTCCAAATGGGAATCTTTCAATTGACTTAGATAGCGATTAGCGACTTCAGGTGGTTTTCCCATATGTTGTGAAAGAACGATCATGTTGATTAAAGTGTCAGGATTATTACTGTCTTTGTCTAGAGATTCCTGTAAGGCTGTTTCAGCTTCTTCATACTTTGCTTGCCCGATGAAACAAGTAGCTTGTCCATTCAACAACATACTTGTACTGGAATGTTTATCTATCATTTCCTAAAATAATATCATCTTAACAATACAACTTTTCAATTCATTTTATACATTGTACACAATATAAAAAAAATTACTGTATGTATACCTGGAATATATAGTAAGCATCTTGCAACTTATCACCTCCACTGCTTATGTTAAGCCATGCTTGTGCTAACTGAGTTAATGTAGCATCGTCATCTTTCTCTTGCATTGTTTTCAATTCTTTCTTTGCCAGATCTAATCGATCCATCTTTAAATAAATTTGCAATGTTAAAGCTAGACATTCTAAATGATCAACATTGCGAAGTATCCTAAGAGCTGCTTCTAAATTCTTCTCATGATAGTAGATGGTTGCAGCAACGATCAAGAAGTTATGATTATCATAATTAGCACGGTTTGTTGCCTCTTGTAACTCCATAACTATTGCTTCTCTGCGGCTGGGATTTGCAAAGTAATCTGCCAACATTTTAAGCGGTTGCAAATCCATCGGTGATGAGTTATTAATCTCATCTAGTACAACACGAAATTTCCGTTGTGCTATGTAAGCACGGTAAAGAAATACGTCTCGCTCCATTGCCACCTCCGGCGAAGTTGACTATGATAATAAAAAAAGTTGATGTTAATGTTTCATATTAAACAAGAAAGTGCAAACAATAATGGAGTTAATCCACAATAATTCTTGTAAAACAGATTATTCAATTTTATAACAATAAATGTTATTGCCATGTGACTCTTAAGAATTACAAAGTCATTTCTATTTGCATCTTTATTATATTTAAGTTAAATTAAAATCTTAAATTTAACTAAAAAGGCATAAAGAAAAAGTTGACATATTGGATAAGAAAGATTCTTTAATATTATACAATTTCATAACTTGAATATATGAGGAAAACATTACATATTACTGTGCTAGGTTCATAATTTGCATTTTGAACTATAATTGAACTTTGTTCTTTATCATTCTTTTCGTTCAAACATTCTAAGTGCTAGAAGTTAACCAGAGCTATGGACAGGTAACTTCTGTTTACGTCTATATGATTTACATGTACCTATATCATCGTAAATTTGTTCTGATATAAGCAAATAAAGAATCAAAGTTAATTCTGATATACATAAATAAAAATTAAAGTGGTATTAACAATGAAAACTTAGACAAACAGTTTGTTTCGATCATGCGGAAAAATTAATTTTTATAACCAATGAGAATTAAAGTAGCTTTAGTAAAAAACGTATTTTATAGAGACAAACCTTGATTTTTTGCGCTTCGTTGATACATTGCTGATAATTGCCAATATAAAAGTGATTTTTCACGTCAAAAAGTTCGTCGACGTCTGCTTGCTGCTGACGTGCCATCTTGTCATTTCGATAGCAGTGTTCCATTTGGTTACGTGTTCCGGTTTTCAAAAATGTTACTCTGCAGTACCGACTATCTGGACTGACAAATACTATTTATCTTTATTTTTCAAGATTCAATAATTTCTATTTTAATTTGTTTAATTTAGAAAACATCTTTTAAGTATAAACGTAATTTTATATTTTGAAGAGAAAATTCTTCAAAGTATTTCACGTTCTATAAGTTTACCGTATGTTTATATATATTTAAGTGGAATAATTATAGTACATTAACAATTTCACGCCTATAAGTATGTATCTATATAGACATATGTAAAGGATTAAATTTTATTACAAAAATATTTTCGCTATTTCTGTAAATAATGTGAATCGTTATTTCATAAGTAACATAAGACAGATTTCTCTTGACTCATCGTTGGTTCTATTACAATTGTAACAGATATTGTTATAGTCATAGTTCCTGTTTTATGAATGGTGGATTCCTTTGATTAATAAAGTGATGTATTTCGCATATTTTAAAATCATCCTATGTTTTTAGGTTATTTACTGCGTTATTCCACATCACGCAACAAATGTAAAAATAAAGTTGAAACATTTGGTTAGAATGACTACTTTTATTTTGATTTGATCAGGTATTATCTGGTCTATGATTAAAATATGTATTGATTTAATCACAGAATGTGATGTTTTATGATTGAAGAACCATAAGGTATTAATAAGCATAAATAGGATACTTTATTTTATCAACATATTCCATAAGGAAGCTGATTGCAGAATAGTTAACGATGGATGTCAGTTCATTATTTAAAGCCAGTGTGAAGACAGTTAGCCTTCGCAACAAAGATCTTGGAACTATTAACAATGTACGAGGTCTGAAAAAACTAAGAAGTAAAAGTGCATTCTTTATAAAAGCACAAGGTGTAGTCGCACAGATATCAAAGTTACGTGAGTTTCTGCTAGAAAATCGTAAAGCTTATTTGAATTTTTCAAATTATTTGCCAAATGTACCAAGTATGACGGATGTTGACCGTGATCAAATTGATGTGGGTGCACAAAAAATAATGAGCACATGTTCTCAGTTAATCAAAGAATTGCGAAGAGAAATTGCTAACTGCGAAGTTTCACCACAAAATTTGGAACATAGAGAAATCATGTTGTTGTTAATTGAAGATTATTTGAAAAATGTTTGTAAAATTTATTCTGAACAGAAAGCAATGCGTGTAAAGAGGGCAATGGAAATAAGGAAAATTGCGAAATTAGAATTGAATACAAACTCTGTAAGGCAGCTGGAAGTTGATGTGAAAATACCTGAATCAAATATAACTGAAATAACAGAAGATAAAGACAATAAGATAAGTTCCAATAACTCTAGTCCTATGAAAATACAAGAAATAAATGGAGATGTTAATTCACTGATGTATGAGGAAGAAATATCACCTGAAGATATACAACTATTTGAAGCAGAAAATGAACAGTTGTATAATGAACTTAATACAATTACTGAAGAAGTTAAGCAAATTGAAACCAAGGTTGTACATATAGCTGAACTGCAAGAGATATTTACAGAGAAAGTACTAGATCAAGACAAGGATTTAGACCGTTTGATGACAACAGTTGTGGGATCAACGGAAAATGTCAAGGAGGCTAATGAACAAATTAGGCAAGCAATTCAAAGGAACGCAGGACTCAGAGTGTGGATTCTGTTTTTCCTTCTAGTTATGTCTTTTTCTCTATTGTTTCTTGATTGGTACAATCCTTAAAATAAAAGAGCATATATATATATTGTTTTATTAAATGTTTGTACATACACTCAAAGAATGTTGTACATTATTCCAAATACTAATATAATCCTTGTATGCTACTAGTTTTTAAACGACAATGAACAAAGTTTTGCCAAAATATGTCACTGTATTTTATCCCCAAACATTTTACATGATAACTACATCTTACATAATAAAATTTATCATATATGTATATATTTACTTATATACACACATTCGCACATGTGCACTTTTCACATACATTTTTATCATTTTATTGATATTTGGTCTAACAGAAAATCATTCTGTAAATTAATTACTGAAAAAGTTGTAAACACGCTTAAGATACATTTTTAGTATCTTTCTTCGTTAAAAATTATTAATGCTACCTTAATTTGAAGTATTTATAGGCAACTCGCTTGATATTTGTTGTTTTTTACTGAACATATATCAACTATGTGCATAGGCGATAAAAGATTTTATAAATTTATGTTAGTAATGAGATATATATATATATATATATGTATATATATATCTAGAATATAAAAATGTAATGTAAATAGTTTTTATAATCCATTATTGTAATTTCAAGTAAAAAAATATTTACAGGATATACTACCCATTGTTAACTTTGATTTACAGTACTTTAATATTTACTATATGTACGTCAGTAATTAGAATAACGAGAACAAAATATTCCAATTAAAGCCGACAAGCTCAACTTAAGGTAACATCTAAATTAAAAAAAGTTTTTATAAGAATTGTCTGTTTCATAATGGTACAGAATTTGGGACATACAAATTTTTCACGTCAATTACCAACAGACAATAGTTATTAACAAAATCTTAAGTAGAAGTATATTCATTAAAATATAATTTTCGTACAACTAAATGCGTTATTTGATTATCGTAAATATTTTAACATGGAAAGAAGTAATGCATCGAGTTATTTACATCGTTAATGTAAATACGAATTATTATAAATTCTTAATCATATTATATCGTCAACGTTCATTTCACATTTTACTGAAACAATATTCAAAAGAACCGGACGAAATTTGATGCTGCTATTTCGTTCCTACTAAACCTATCAATAAAAATATGAATGGAATAAGTGGTAAACATCGAATTGTGTACGTTACGATTAAAACTTATTTTCTAAAATTACAGTTCCTTTTTTTTCATTTATCTATAAAAATGATTTCTGATTTAGAAGTTTCATTTATACAAAATTTTACAAAATTTTAACATTATGTTTTTATGATAAGCACTATCGTACGTAGTAAGCATATGTAAGTTCAAATATAGTGGGTGGTCACAGAAAGAGAAATCTTTATACCAAATATTCGTGCAGTACACAATATTGTTATATAAAATATGTTTCAATATTTTTCGATCATCGTTAACTTTACATAGGCATTGTCAAAAGTAATATAATCGCTGTAACTAAGTTTTTATCAGACGCTGAAAATAACAAATTTGTACGATTATAGAATATTACAATAATATTCTGAAGTATCAGTACTTTATAATTAATAAATGTTAAAAGAAAATAATATATCTCAAAACGTCTGATAACAACAGAAATAAAACTCTTCATATAAAAGTTGCTTCTCACCTGTCTCTGAAACTAAAGTAGCTTCTTGATTGTTATGTGCACTTAATGTTTTATATAATTATATTTATAACGTGCTTGTGAATCGTATTGACAAAATTTTCCTTCTATCAAACACTGAACGATCCATGTTGCAGAAAGCAATGGAATTTGTAATTCAGTGGCTTTTTCTATTGCCCAAGATGGACACGAATTGTTTGTAAGAATTACTGTTCCATTTACGAAACCTTCCATTGTATCTAAAAATAATCACATATTTTTAAATAATGATTTTTAATTTTATACTTTTAATTATATACAATTATCAAAATGTTTCATACCTGGTTTATCTGCTAATAATACAACAGCACCTGCATTTTCACAAATTTGACGCCAAAATGTAACAAACTGTTTATTAAACTCTGTAACTGGAATTATTACAATGATTTGATTCAGTGGTTTGCTATTATGTCTTTGGAACATTTCTACATATGAATTCTTCTCCAAACTCCACCCTGTAGGTAATTTATCTTCAGCTGGATTTACAATTTTTCCCTATAAAAATATTTATATGATTATAAACCTGTTTATGATTACATTTATTTTTGATACTTACTTCTTGACAACATCTTATGATCCAATTATGATGATACGCTGGTATACCAACTGAGAGGCACAACAAAGTTTTCGCAGTTGTGTTTGGCACGTTTGTTATTAACTTTGTGTTTTTATATTCTTCCTGTGGTATTTCATTGAAGTCTGTATAAACTTTACCACCACCTGCTACTATTTGTGCATTCAATCTATCTCTTATAAAAGGTTTCTTTGACCATTCTTCTTCATTCTCTGTTCCCGGATCTGAACCATAATCTTTGTTTTCAAGTTGAAACCGGTCAATGCTTTCTACCGGTGCACAAGTAAGGATGAAAGACATGCCTTTAAACAGATTCGAATCTGTTGGTGGAATTGGACCAAATATTGCAATTGTTTCTTCATCGTCTACTTTCTTTTTACTTCTTGATTTACTTTTAATTCGATTTTGTGGTCCTTTAACAGTTTGCTCGTATGGAGTTCCAATTATCTCAGACTGTATACCAATGGAAAACATTTCATCCTTTAGAGAAAGATTTGAATCGCTAGAAACAAGATCACTTTCGGAAGATGCTTTCTTTTCTTTTTTCATTAACGAAGATATACCAGAAACAGATGGTTCTGCCTCGATTTTACTCGTGGGTGTTTGAATCAATTTAGCTTTGGGAGTTAAATACACAGGAGTGGCAATACGTTTAGAACGTCTTTTACCATCAATCATATTATCTAGTGTTATTTGACCTAAATGTTTTGGTGTTACCGGAAGACTTTTATTTTCAGAACCCATTTCTTCTTTTAGCACTTGAGCTTGATCAGTAGACAAGAAAATGTCCTTAACCTGAACTCGTAATTTTTCTCCCTCGTCCGTTTCCACAGTGTAATATACTTCGTTATTTACAGTTTGAGTTTCTACGATTATACCACATGATCCATAATCATCATTTGAAGTAGTAGCATAAACAGACAAACCCTCTTTTAAAACTGATGGTATCGGTATAACAAAATCTTCTATAAGTACTTTACTTTTTCCATCAAGGAAGTTTACTTTATACTTTATTTTTACTTTATCGGTAACAATACCAGGGTAATAATTATTGTCAGACCATTTAGCGAAAACATTTTTACCAATTAACTCATCTGTGATTACTTGTGATAGAGATTTTGCTGGTTCATCTATTGCAGTTAAAGTATTATCTACATGTTCTGTTTTATTCTTTTTCCTGTTTGGGGTACTGCTTTCTGTAGATTTTAGAAGATTCGAAGAGGCTTTATTTAATCCTTCTGATTGACCTTCAGATTTTACACTTTTACTTCTCGCCCTTTTTACCGATTTACTCTTTTTACTGTTTTTTGGGGTTTGTATTTGTGCTACTTCTTGTGGAACTTCTGGCGTAGAGGATCTAAGTTTTTGCAACTGATCATCTATTCTCTCATTACTAACGTTACATGTATCAATACCACTAAGTTCTGTATTAACAAAATTTAAAATAGTCGTTGTGAGAAGATGACTATTTTGCCATTCTTTACTAAGTCGTTCATAGGCTTCATCTAATGCTTGCTTATCATTCAATAAATGCATATCGTGAGTTTGCTTTTTTGCATGTTTTGCAGGTGCTCTTGGCAAAGAGAAATGTGTGCTATCCCTTATCGCAAGTTTAGCTGCTAGTGAGGCAGCACTAGATGCAGAACTTAAAGAACTGATTGTGGATGCAAATGAAAGTCTAGAAGGATTTAATTGATATAACTGCGGATTACTATTGACTGATCCTGGAGATGTATCTTTATTGTCATTCCCAGAAATATCTGCTAGTGAAGCAGAGGTATCGTTATTTTTCTGCCGTGTTAACGTAGGTTCTGCAGCAATAGTTTCGCATTGTACACCCGTGATTTCTTTATTTAGAAACTCCTTTGTACCTTCATCAATATGTAGTAAGCATTTCATTCTAACATATATACCAATTTCTTTTTCCATTTGGACAGCTTTTGTGATAGAACTGCTATGAGTTAAATTTGATTTACTTTTATCATCTACTATAAAAACATCAGGTTCATTATCACTTACACTTAATAAATCAGCATGATCATTTTCCTTAAGTGTAGAAACTGGTTTGCTCTGCTTATTCAGATTATGTACAGGTACCGAAACGGGGGTGTCTATTTTATCAAAGACAGCTGGTACATCACTAAATGTATCAGATTGTAAACTAGCTGTACTGTCAGTATCACATCTTTTAGACTCGCTGCTTCCATTTACTAATTTATTATTAGATTTAGTAGATTCAAGGGCTGACTCTTTGGTACTTTCTAATGATTTGAAACTAAATTCACTACTGCTTTTACTCTCATAACAGCTTTTATATATTGTTTCGGACTTTGTATTATCTAAAACATTTTTGTCTATTTTTAAATCAGAATCTTCTTGTGATGAGTCTAATACAATTTTCTCTCCTTCTTCATCAATTTCTACGATCTCTTTGGGTTTTGATTTAATTTCATTAACTGCAGTTCGATCATATATGAGTTCTATGCTGTTTCTCGACTTACATAAACTTGCAGAATTTAAGTTAGGGTGAGATTCATTTGTTATTTCTTTTTTTGAAACTGATGTATCTACAACTTCACTGCTTTTTTGTTCCAAATTAGTATGTGCAGACTCAATACCGTTTTCTTTATCTTTCGTTTTGTCACTATGCGTTACTTTAGAATCTTTTGCAGAAGTATCAACTAAATTTATACTATCTGCATTAGCATTACTTGAATCGGATTTCGTTTTCTCAGTTGTTACTACCTTTACAGGAGACGTAGAATCTTTTTCTTTCACTTCAGTTTGTGATGACCTGTTGTCGTTAAGTTGCACAGTACTTGTTATATCAGAAACTTCTTCACTGTGTTCTTTATTTGCAATAGCTTCGTTCAATTTTGAGGTATCATTGAAATTTTCATTTTTATCAATTTCATAATCTTTTACTTCCAATTCAGTATGTTTTTCATTCTTAGTATCTTCTTTATTTATTACAGATTTTTCAGCTACAGTTTCGATATCTTCATCTTCTGCATCTTGAGTTTCTGCAATTATAACATTGGACTCAGAATAATCTTTGGGAAATTCCTGCTGAGAATCCTCGGATTTAAAAGAGTGACAACTTTCTTCTTCTTCAAATACTTTCTTCCCAGAAATTGTCACATCTTCCTTAGATTCTGTTCTTAGCACTTTATTGGGTATATCATCAAATGATTCCGCTTTACGTTTCAAGCCTGTTGTTGTGCTACTAGAAACTTGTTTTTTGGAAGGTGAACAGGAATCAGGTGGTGTACATTGTATCACGTCGTCTTCTTCATCAGATTGTTTACTTTTATTTTCAACAACATTCTTATCATCTTTTCTACTTTCTTCTTTCTCTTGAGGCAGTTCTGTACTTTCTACACAATCTGTCTTTGCTAATTTATCTTCCTGTACATCGTGTTGAGCATCAGTCAATGTTTCCGTTACATTTGAAGTTGTTTCTACATTATCAACAGAAACAGTTTTCGTATCCTGCGTGCTTTCCACCTCATTTTCTGATTTATCAGACGATTCTTCATCGCCAATATCTACTAGATGAAAATCTTGGCTCTCGCCATAGGCACTCAATCCACTACTTTCCAGGACATTACTCTTTTCTAAACTTTCAGAATATGTATCATGATCTTCCATTGTACAAATTTCCTTTTTCTCCATTTCTGACATTCTTATATTTTTTTTAATAACATGCTAAAATAAACAGAAATAAAAAAAATTATTTTTTATGAAATATTGTTTTACGGCGTACTATACGGCTTTATGAAGAAAATTTGAAACGGAATTGAAGAACACCCTGTATATCAATACGGTGTTTACCAACGAGTATGGAAGGTTACGGCGGGAACGTCATGTGATAATGAGAATTGATTTAATATCTTGATTTACGAAAATTCGAACGTACCACAGATGATTACATACAGTCAAATGTGTTTTTCTGATAGGATTATTCCTATTTTTTTGTTAAAATATTACATTTGCTGTCGAAGATAAATATGTTCGCCGGCCGACGAAAGCGGGATCTCATGTATTCCTTGCACTCGGCACTTTTACGTTCTCCTTTCTTCCCTTTGTATTTTATATTTTCGCTTCTTTGCGCTCTTTTATTACTACTCTTGAAACTTACATTAATAAACCGGTCTCCCATAGAAAATACCACAGAAACTCCACTTTTTGTTCACAAAGGAATACAGACCATAAAACGCCATCGCCACTTTTATTAATCATAGATTATGTAATTGTAGATTTGCAGGGTTTCGCGCGTAAGCATCAAAACATGTTCCTAAACCGGCCAATCACGTTCCTCGTTGGAAACGGAAGTGTTCATAAAGCGACACGATATCGCTACATGTAAATAAAATTTCAGTAAAGTACTACGTGCATCATATATTATGCATAGTCACTGTAACTAGGAAAATTATAAATTAAACTTGTCTATTTCTGTTATATTTTTTTCTTTCTTTTTTAGTTGGTGATTGGTAATTTATTCATTTTTTTGGTATAACAATCGTTACATGTAAATCTGCCTTAATCGACAAGACTCGTCTTTAGTGTTGCTGCGCACGTTCTGTGCGCAACGCTCCCACGTTTATTCAGAATGCAATTAAATGTCACTGTTTTGAACAATTAAAGCAATTTTCAAATAGTAAATACATATATTTTGAAACAAATATCATTGAATTACTTGTATAATTGTATTTTTATTACGACTTAATATAAATATAGTTTAATTCTGATTTTACATATTTAATTCATGTTTGGCGCCATGAGATTTGAATTTGGCACCACGCAATTTTCCTGATTGCGCTTTTGGGCGCCTTATTCGATAGATTCCTAAAATGTAACTACGCAGTGACAAAGTATACACACTTTCTTACATCGCACTGCACAATTATTGGAAAATAATCATGTCAGATCATGATAAAGATATAATACTTGAAATAAATCAACTGAATTTAGAATTGAGAAAGAAATTGGAAATGGTTTTCAAGTGGAGAGGTATAAACAAATTTATTTGCATATTTTCAAGGTCGAAGTTTTAACTACCAAATGTTTTATATCATTTCAGTTGAATGCGCGCAGTTGCAATTGGAATTCTTAAAATTATATACTCCAGAATGTCTCGAAATTTTTGAATCATTTAAACAAATGAACGCGAATATGGACTCAGGCAATAAGTCATCAATGTAAGGAGTCTTATGACGTTTGAAATATATGGAGATAAATACTAAACAATATAAAAGACGATTATGTTGAAATATATTTATTACATTCGAATATAGGACTGACACATAGAATGTACTCACAGTTTCAATAACGTAAAGATAGACAAATATACAATACACTTTTCTGTTATCCAATCACATGGAAATTTATGCTGTAATAGACTCATTGTCCCTCTTGTAAATTTCATTATATATCCTTCGATGTTGACAAACTTTGACGCATACTTCAACATTTATAGTTTAATGACGCAAAGATGGAAGAAACAAGTAAATTCTTAACAGCAACACAATGTAATGGAAGTATGTATTATAGAAGCACAGCTTCAAAGTTCCTACCATTAATAAATTAAATTATAATTGATAATTAAATGTTTTCTATTTGACAACTGAAATTGTTACATGAATGACACCGGTTTAAAATAAAATCTTTAACTAGCGCTTAAAGTAAAAAATTAACAGTGTTTAGAAGCTATCATATTTTAACTAATTAAAATGTGACGAAAATTTGTAACCACTCATGCATTACGAAAAAATTCGTAAGATGATAATCGTATTATACTCTTCGTGTAACGTCTCTTTTAAAATGATTTTTTATTATACAGTCCATTTTGTTTGCGAGGTATCTACTCGAGTTGCATGTAATATTTGTACCGATTACATAGTTCAAATTCTGTTTTATCGACAGGCAAATCATCACTGATTTTATTCAATTTTATTCAGCTCAGTATTGAAAAGAAATTCAATCGTTCTTAAAAGTTAATAACAAAACATTAGTCGATAATTATTGTCATTCATCTTTCGTCGTATTTATTTCAAACAAAAGAACGAAGAAAAGCATAAAAAACACCTCGCAAATAGAACAACCCTTTCGGTCTCTCGAGCCACTCTATTACACGCAAAAATCTGAGATCATTGTCAACCATATTCGTCAATATTTTCACGTGTTCTCGAATCGACTTTCAATTCTTTCCCGCGTCTCTTAATCTACCTTAAACAAAAATAATAGTTCGTTCTTTCAAGCCAAAATTTAGACCGATCTACCCCTGTTTGGTCGCACACAAACTAAGCGAGATACTAAATATTAATTACGGAAAATAAAGCTCGATTCGAGGTCACATTTCATGGAGAGCCACACAGCTTTTCACGACAGAGGATTTTCTCAACGTGACGTGGACGTCGCGTCATTGGTATACTCTTTCCCGTAAGGATAGCGGAGATAACGATGAGAGTAACGATAGTGATAGCGTCGCAAACAGGACTCGTTGCCGTTAACGTGACATTGCATGGAGACTGCTGCTGGTGGTTGCAACTGCATCAGTATCAACGCTGTGCTGACACACGCCTCCCCTGCTTTCTGTCCCTCTCGTATTTCCTGTGTCTCACAGATATTTGTCACCTCTACTGCGTAGTTGGATACGCACTCAACTTCCAAATCATTCTGGACCTAAAATTAATTTATAAACCTTAGAGTTAGACTGGTACAATTAATACTTGGTACAATTAATTTATAAAGTTCAGAGTTGTACTCTTGCTAGACAACTAATTATAAAACTTCAAAGACCCATACGCATGCCAAGCAGATCTGAAGCATCACACAAGGAAGATAAAGCATCTGCGACTCATCGCCAGCCAAACTATCCGCAGTTTTACATCGCATCTCGATCGCCTCCAGTTCCGGGCAGACTCTATTTTCCTCGAAAGCTTCGTTCTCGATTAAACCGTTGCCCGAACGCTTGTCACCGGCCCTTTCTCGAAAACTGGACGTCTGATTATTCTGTAAACGATTGATCTTCTGCGCTTCCATTCCGTTCACGTTGTTCCTCAGTTCGTTCAGAGCTTTCATTTTCTCGAGTGCGTATGCAACGGCTACACGGGCCTTCACCTGTACAATTGTGACATTAATAATTGTTACATTGTTAATAATTGTTACATTCATGCGTCACACCTTCTGCAAATCTGCACCCTCTTCTGAGTCTGCGTATCTCAGAGCGTCGTCGACGATCATGTCCCTAATGTTCTTCTGTCTGTTCATCTGTTCCTTCCGCATATCCTTCTGATAATCTCGGTCATTCGCTTTTAGGTTCTCAACCATGTTCTAAATAAAATTTCTCTTGTTATCATTAACATACTTAAAGTAGATCATAGGACATTATATATAATTTCAACATATGTTGTTGAACACTTTACCTCATAATAACGCTGCAACATCCAGTCGTCATCTTGATTCTGTGTTCCTTGACCAGCCATGAAGTTGGCCTTCTTCCTTCTCCGGTCCATTCCAAAGTACTGAGACCAATCAACGCTCTTCTTTCTCACCTCGATGTTCTTCGACTTGCTCAGTTTGGTTGCGTTCTCTTTCTGACCCTTTGGTGGAGGACTCACCTTGGGAGACTCTGAGGAACTCTCGTGTTTGGACTGATCGTGGTCATGATCGTGGTCGTGATCGTGATCGTGGTTATGCTGGTGATCATGGTCCTGGTCGTGGTCATGATTGTGGGTGTGGTTGACAGTAGATTGGGTACCAAACAGTGCACCCAGATCTTGCGCCACCTTAATGCACATTACATCTCATTAACAACTTGATGTACTTTAGGTAGAATTTTACAAGGAGAGTATGCTACCTTAGGATCTGTAACTTGTTTCTTGGTAGGTAAGGGTTTTGGACTTCTCTTGGCAATGGGATAACGCTTGGCCATGCTTCTATAGGTTCCCAGATCACGTCCTATGGGATACCTGCCATTCACATTTCTTCGCTCAGCTAAGGAGGTGTACAACAAGTTTGGATCTTGCTCTAAATCATACTCGTTCTCTTCATTCTCTCTCTCCTGTCCCCGGTACAAGGCTTCCTTGTTCATCAATTCACCCCAGGACATTTGATCAGGAACTCTGTTACACAATATTTCTATTAGCGTTCATAGAAAGTTGTAAGAATAAATGAAATTGGTACTCTCAATTCTATGAGTTAAATTTTTTTGCAGATTCCACAAATCTGTGATCTCCACATTAGATATAACCTATGCTGTTATGGAAGTAATGTACTAACTCTTCAGGTTTATTGATTCGTTCCCCTTTGAACTTGTGGCATACGTCAAGCATCTTTTTCAGGATCACCTTTGCCAGCTCCTGGTAATATTCGTTTGATCTGTTTAGTCTCTCTGGACCTCTTTTACGGTTGGTTCGCTCGCGCTCTCGGAACGACGACGTGACGGGTGCCTCCTGGACATATCAATCATTAAATCTGAAGCTTGCAACTAATAAATATATACCACAAGTTTAGGGACAAATATCTCCAGAAATACAAAAGGACTGATACAATATTTTTTACATTTACAATGAATAGAAATGAATAGAATTTATGGGTAATATCTATCCTAATGATTACAATTAAAAAATCCTATTTATCTCTTTCGCAGACAGTGCCTATATATATGAGGCTATATATTTTTACAAAATTATTTATGTAGAGATAAATGTGTCGTTACAAGAAAGCATCAAAATGCATTACTTGTTGAGGGTTGTTCTCCAAATAGTCCATCAGAGCTTTGTCCAAATAATCCATCAGTGCTCTCTCCAGGACCTTGTCATTTATATCTGGAAGGTCGTTTCCCACCATTTCAAGCTGTCCAGCGTCTACAATCAATTCGTACAATGAAAATAAATTCTAAAATGGAACAAATCAATGTGGGAATTGATTTTACCGCTGGGTAAGAATTCTATTTCCTCGTCCTCCTCCTCCAGCTCCCTGTTCTCATCATCAGGACGTTCCCTGTTGAATTTTCTGTCCCCGTCGCCGCCATGGTATTTGAAGGAGCGAAGCTCGTTGTAGTATTCTTGAGGATTATTGTCCAGGGACCTTTGTTTTCTGGTGATGGCGTCCAGTGCGCTGTTCAGGGACTCCTCCATGGACTGACGGGAAACGGGGACCAGCGCGGTTACTGCCCCCGTTAGGAGGAGTAACAACTGCCATTCTTGCAGCAGCATTTTACCTTTAAAATAAAGAAAGATGTTACAATTGGTAGGAGATGTGGAAAAATAATAATTGGAAGATTTGGAAAGAAAACTTTGAAAATTGTAAAACTGAAATTTTCAAATTCTCAAAGTTCTAAATTTCCAACTTGCCAATTTATAAATTTAAGAATTTGAAGAACATCTTATACTAATATTTGTTTAAATAAAAAAAATTAGCAGCTCTCATTCCATCGTATTACAAGGGGAGTTTCATTTCATATTTTAGGAGTGGCCTGTTACCTAACTACGTCAACAAGCACCGGTAAAAGGGAGGTAGAGTGTCGGCTCGTCATAACAGAAAAGAAATCGTATTACTCGCACAATCAGCTTCCAGTTTGCGATCGATTCCGTTCAAAGGCCAGCGAAGAGTCCTTCGTTTTCCTAAAGACGCAGTAACAAGATCTGGTGATGCAACGAGGGATTGTTCTCGTACAAACAATTGTTTGGGATTCAGTCTTTGTAAGGGCAGATTGTTCCCTATTGATTAACGCCTACCGAGCTTTCATCTTCGTTTCCTTTTAATAATTCCTTGCGCTATTTTGATGTGTCCGTCTCGTGACGCACTAGTGACGCACTCTTGACATATTCGTGACGCACCCATGACGCACTCTAGGTATTCGTGACGCACCCATGACGCACTCTAGGTATTCGTGACGCACCCGTGACGCACTCTAGGTATTCGTGACGCACCCATGACGCACTCTTGGCATTCGTGACGCACCCATGACGCACTCTGGGCATTCGAGACGCACCCGCGACGCACTCTTGGCATTCGTGACGCACCCGTGACGCATTCTGGGTATTCGAGACGCACCCGTGACGCACCCATGACGCATTCTGGGCATTCGTGACGCACCCATGACGCACTCTAGGTATTCGTGACGCACCCATGACGCACTCTAGGTATTCGTGACGCACCCATGACGCACTCTAGGTATTCGTGACGCACCCGTGACGCACTCTAGGTATTCGTGACGCACCCATGACGCATTCTGGGCATTCGAGACGCACCCGTGACGCACTCTTGGCATTCGTGACGCATCCACGACGCACTCTTGGCACTCGTGACGCACTCATGACGCACCCGTGACGCATTCTGGGCATTCGAGACGCACTCTTGGCATTCGTGACGCACCCACGACGCACTCCTGGCCTTCGTGACGCATCCACGACGCACGCTTGATACTCGTGACGCACCCACGACGTACTCATAATATTCGTGACGCACCCATGACGCACCCATGATACACCTTTGACGCACTTATAATGCACTCGTACTTCAGCTGTGATCAATTTCATTCGAATTTTGAGCGTGCTTCGATTTAGAATTGAAGTACAATAATTTACATAGTCAAGATTGTAGAATATCAAGTTGATATAACATTTTAACTTTCTTTGTCCGTTTTAATATCGCAATGATAAATTGTCATTACTTCGGATGGAGCTGATAAATTATAGTGCAAGGGTACAATACGATTTTAGTGTAATACAATCGTTATTGTTTTATTATTGTAATGAAATTTTTGTTCTTTTGTTATTGTAATGGAATTCTTATTCTCTGATTGTCGTAATGTAATTCTTGTTCTTTCATTATAGTAATGGAATTTCTTCCCGCTACGAGATTTAAGCGGTACATCAATTAATCGCATGGCCCTCTCGATGCAAGCATTTTCATTCGTTTTTTCGCCCCAGATCAATAGACTTAACGCATACCGGGCATACAATCAGCTTTGCCGCTTCTCGGTGGAATCCTATTAACACTGACCTCTATTTCGCCTACGAGCACGGTGAACGAAGTGGAATAGAGAACGCAGATCTTATCGGTTTGAGTACTATCCAAATTGTAGTATACCTTGCTGGAAAACTGGTGATTTCGTTACTTCATTCCTACCCACACATCTTTCTTTCAATAAGTGCTTTTTGAATCAAGTATGCAGGCTTGACATTTTCAAACTAACAAATTAACAAGTTTTCAGATCATAGTGAAGTAAAAAAATGACTACACTCTTGGACCATAATGAATTAGAAAGATTGTTGAACTCTTAAAGAACTTTAAATTGTTTAAAAAGTTATTGAACTCTCAAGGCATAGTAAATTTTTAAAAAATGACCTAACTCTCAAGGCAGAGTAAACTTGAAAAATGACCAAACTCTCAAGTCATAATAAATTAAAGATTAAAATATACTCAAAGCACAGTAAGTTTAAAAAATCACCAAACTTTCAAGTCATAATAAATTAAAAATTAAAATATACTCAAACTACAGTAAATTAAAAAAAATGTCCAAACTCTCAAGTCACAATAAATTGAAAATTACAATATTCTCAAACCACAGTAAATTTTAGAAAATGACCAACCTCTCAAGTAATAATAAATTAAAAACTACCATCTACTCAAAGCACAATAAACTTAAAAAATGTCCAACCTCTCAAGTCACAATAAATTAAAAATTACAATATTCTCAAACCACAGTAAATTTCAAAGAATGACCAAACTCTCAAGTCACAATAAATTAAATCTACCATACTCTCAAATCACAATAAACTAAAAAAATGACCAATCAGAAATGAACATACAAAGCTTACAGTGCTCCTGAGTGTACATAAGATACATCTACATACATAAAGTATAAAGAGTACATAAATTTTCTTTAAATAAATATAGTTCACTATATCACAATATAATAGTGACTATATACTAATAGTATTTCGTTAGTATTATTTCAGTAACCATTATCGATAATCGTTATCGGGTTTTCTACATCGCAACCAATTTGCAGACTGGAACAATAACTGTTATCGGTAGAAAGCGTTTCACTCGAGATACGGTGCGATTGTTCACCTTTAACCTTTCGCTACCGCAACGTTAAATATACGATATTAATACATATATACAGCGTATATTTAACTTGTACACGGAAGAGATAAATTACATTAATTTCCTCTAAGCAGAATTTTAACAAACTTAATTGCATATGTACAGTCAAGATCAAAGTGTACTTAATGTGTACTTGGTATATTCAGTGTACTCAAGTTTAATTCAAAGTCTGCTTAAAGTTAATTTAATTTAGCCTCTTTCTTTGTAGTGTACTGAGTAAGAATTATGTGCATATAAAGTTACATAAAGTTATTTATATGTACATGCACATGTACATGTACATACACATGTACATATGTACACATACATTTCTATCTATATACTGATATGTACTAGTCGTAGGTGCAGGACACTAACAGATGGTGAAGCAAAATTAGTTATCTAGGGTGATGTCAGAATTGTTCAAAATCTTCTAACTTCTCAAGCTTCTATATCACTAAATTTTCTTCTCATGTTAAATTACCTTGTCACTAAATTTTGAAATTGCAGAATCCTCTATCTAGCAAGTCCCAAAGTACAATTCTGTACAATACTTAAGCTTCTACATACATATACTTAAACTTCCAAATTTTCAGCATTCTAAAAATCTAATACTTCAAATCCCAAGTTAACAAATTTCTAAATTTCCAAATTTCTGAATTTCTAAATTTCTAAATTTCCAAATTTCCAACTTTCCAACTTTCCAACTTTCTAACTTTCCAAATTTCCAAATTTCCAAATTCCCAACTTTCCAACTTTCCAACTTTCCAAATTTCCAAATTTCCAACTTTCCAAATTTTCAAGTTTCCAACTTTCCAAATTTCCAACTTTCCAAATTTCCAACTTTCCAACTTTCCAACTTTCCAACTTTCCAACTTTCCAACTTTCTAAATTTCTAACTTTCCAAATTTCCAAATTCCCAAATTCCCAAATTCCCAAATTCCCAACTTTCCAAATATTAAAACCTTCAACCCTAAAATAACCCTCAATCACCCCTCCAATTTCCATAATCCTCAACTCTGACTCCCCAAATCTCAAATTCTGCAATTTCCAAATTACCCAATCTCTCCACATCCTCTCACACTTCAAACTCTTCAAACTCTTCAAATTTTCAAAGCAAAATAATCTAAAAAACAGATTAAATTAAAAGAACGAATCGAATAACTCTACTAGAAGAAATTTACTTACCGGTTTTAATGATTCATTCAACGTGTCACTAATCAGCAGTATGTTTTCCCGTTTCTTCCGTGTATCACTCCGTCGTTGATTCTCCGCAGTTTCATGGAATTTTGTCGGTCTGTGTGTGTACCATAGCTACCGATGACGAGAGCTTTTTATATAGGGGCCATGGTGATCGATAGAAACGCGCATGGATTTAGCCGTGAAACGCAACGACAGAAGCAGCAGCAACAAGTAAAGGCGTGGGGTGTTGCCTGTGAAAACAGACCGACAATACACGGATACTTCAGGGAAAAAGAGATAAACGCTTTTTAGGGAACAATGCCGAAAACCAACCGGTATTATGATTGAATTACTCAATTATTATTGGCAGTTTTTTCAGATCTTTGATCTTTGGTATGTAGGACATTGGACCTCAATATTCAGAGTGAACCAATAATGAAAGAGCCTTTGAGGAAAAACAGGATTTCTAAAAATTATTTCCAATTAACTCAAGTTTGAAAACTTTCAAACTTCCAGGTCTAAACAATTTCAAGTACTGGTGTTCTCATATTCATGAATCATATTTCTAAAGTTCATACTTTCAAAGTCTTCAAATTTCAACTTTCTTCAAGCACCATTTTCTTCAGGTGTACAATTTTCATGCTATAAAGTCCATTGCAAGAATCATTTACAGATTCCTGGAAAGAAAATGGTTCATTACACATATTTTAATAGAAGAAATAAAATAAGCTACATGCTACAATATTGTGGTATTGAAAGAACTTATTAAAATATAAATTACCAGTCGCCATTTTGTATTACAATTTGAGATCAATTTCATAAGCCATCTTTGTATAAAGAATTCTTAATACTTAATCCTGAGATGTCAAGAGTGCGTCATGAGTGCGTCACGAATATCCAGTGTCATGAATGCGTCACGAATGCCAAAGGTGCGTCATAGGTGCGTCACTAATGTCAAGATTGCGTCGTGGGTGCGTCACAAACGTCAAAGGTGCGTCATGAGTGCGTCGCGAATGTCAAGAGTGCGTCAGGGGTGCGTCACTAATGTCAACAGTGCGTCACGAGAGTCTAGAGTGCGTCGTGGGTGCGTCACAAATGTCAAAAGTGCGGCGTCAGTGCGTCACCAATATCTCAAGAGTGCGTCATGAGTGTGTCACGAATGCCAAAGGTGCGTCGTAGGTGCGTCACTAATGTCAAGAGTGCGTCACGAAAGTCCAGAGTGCGTCATGGGTGCGTCACAAATGTCAAGAGTGGGTCACGAAAGTCCAGAGTGCGTCGTGGGTGCGTCACAAATGTCAAAGGTGCGTCGTCAGTGCGTCACGAATGCCAAAGGTGCGTCATAGGTGCGTCACTAATGTCAAGATTGCGTCATGGGTGCGTCACTAATATCAAGATTGCGTCGTGGGTGCGTCACAAATGTCAAAGGTGCGTCAAAAATGTCAAGAGTGCGTCATAAGTACGTCATGAGTGCGCCATGATGAAAGATTGAATATTTTCTTCTGACCTTACAAATCATAGTTGTAGCCTTTTTTCTAATACACTAACTGCATCTACAAATCAAGATTTTCCTTAAAAGCAAAGATAACATTGAGTAAAAATTTTTAAAAAATCCGTGATAATACCAGAGATTAATAAACGTAGATTATCCTGCAATCAACTAGTCCCACATTTAGTCCTACATATTTCTACATTTTCTGCTGTCCATCAACGTGTCACAAGCACGAATCGAAGCAGGAAATTTTAAGGAAAACGTAGATCGATATAGTGTGCCGCAGGATAATTCCTTTTGAAAATCTTCCCTTCATTCTTGAAATAGATCCCCGTCTTCTAGGAAGAAATTCTGAAATTAATAATACGGCGGTATCGAAAAGTCTACGATCAATATTCAAACTTGGTAATCAAGGGTTGAATATCTGGGGCGATTCAGTTTTGAGAGGTCGAACTTTCTTGAAGAATATTCTCACGGATTCGCGGGCAGTTTTTATGGCTTCGCCTTCTGTATTTATCGGACGACGTGTCGCTTCCATTAGAAGGAATGCGACCACCCATAATGTGACCAACGTTCTTCGGAAATCATCTATAACTTGACCCGAGGAACAATATTACTTCCGATACCGTGTTCTGAAAATATACCACAGACACTTAATAGTTACACATTGAAAATTATAACAATTATAAAAATAAAGATTGACAGATATTAAAAATTATAGTAATAATTATTTAAAAAAGATCTTTATCTAACTATGCTTCTGTACATCAAATTTTGTCATCCTAGTCTGTAGAATCACATAAACAAACAGATTCTAATCAGTATTTATTTTGACTTTCAATAATCCCCGATATGTATCTCCATAAACATACTCTTCAATCGTGTCGAGTACCAAAGTGCGCTTTTACCAGTTTTAGGAGCCAAAACCTTGCTACATTTTTATTTCCAAAACGTCTAGTCTCAATAGCAGATGCAACGCGTCTTATCGTTCACATTATCACCGATAAGCGATCGGTCATTATCAGACGATAAGAGTAAAAGCGGGGAATCGCTCGTCGATCACGCGAGAACAATATACCGAATTCCACCTGTTGGTCGACTGCTTAAATCCCCCGAAAACACGGACGACGGTGAGAGCTTGAAACAATATCTTTGTGTGGTGACCCTCCTCGCTGATCGATCCGCGTAAATTTGTTGAGACGTGGAAATTAATTACTTGGGCAAACTGACCGTATTCGCGAAAAGAATCGCTGGTACAATGTGAAATGTTAATGGCAATTCGAAAGGCGCGGAAAAATGAACGTTAGTGCTCTCAATCGTGATACATTTGGAACACCGACCGATAATTATTCAGGTACAGAATTTTCAGCCTTATTCGGTTTCCCTCCAACTCCTATTACCAACGGTGTTAGTAAAATATACCATTAATGACATCAATTTGCGTGGTACAGTAAGCTCTCGTTATATCGCCGCGTCTTAAGGCATACAGCTACGAGCACGTTCGTTAAATGACCGCCTGAAGTTATTCCTTCCGTGAGTCGACGTATTTTTAATTTAGCGTTTCCTACGACGAAAAAGCAGTGTAAAAACATGGTAATAAATGTGATATGTTAGATAATTAATTATAGAAAGCAACAGTGCAGGCAATGAAGTCATAGAGATGCAGCGGAACGAATCACAGTCGTTGCCTCCCGTTTTTTCGCATCCCACTGTTATCACGGCGCAACCGGGTAAGTAACAAGATCACAATGAGAAGTTATCTGATCAACAATATTGCGAATACGCTTTATCATGTTGCGATATCTTGTATAATATTAATATGTACAATAAAAGAAACACCTTTCTGTAGGAGAAGTTCAACATCCAAGGAGACCAATCCCTGTGAACACTCAGGACTGGGTATCGACTACGAGGACGCAGATAAATGCACTCTCAGGAAGCCACTTTCTGGGAAACGTGGAACAATTGGAAATACAACAAATCGTCGACTTGAGTACATGTTCGTAACTCCCTTAAATGTAACAATAACAACAATAATATGCATTGAATTTTTATAATCTAATCTAATATAATCAGACATATAATGTACGAGTAATCATAATTGAATGTACCTTGTATAATAATAGGTGAATTTTTAATATTGTATCATACATCAGCACGCATTATATGACCACGTGTTTTATAGCTAGTTATATCGTCACGTATTATATCATACTACGGCGTTAATATAACTAGAAGTATCTAAACACTTTTTAAATTTATCTGGAATCTAAATTCATTGCAAATATCCAAACCTACTTGACTATTTGTACAATAAACGTCGCAGAACTCTTCTCTTAATATCCTTGCGTGTTCAGCTGACGTTGGAGAAAAGGCGGTTATTGTATTAAAACAGTAGAATCCAATCTGCAAGCAACGTTTAATTTAAATACAAAATGCAAGCTTAATATTAACTGTATTATAGATAATATTAATAAAATTAGTAAAATACTTTGTGAATTAAAGTTTATTTGTTTGCTTCAGTACTTGGCAGAGCAGATAAAGGATTGCAGTACAGAATCAAAGTACCGCAGGCTGAAACGCTGTTCCTAGCAATGACAACGAAACCTGAAACTCAATCGAGTTATCCAAAATGGATCCGTGATCACTGTAAGTTCAACGTCTTGGACCGATGTGGTGAATTATCATTTGTTATGGATATAAATTCTCGATGGAGTCGCATGCTTAGTAAGCTACGAGTAAGTGAACCTTCCGGAATGTATACTACGCAATTAGTATACCATCGCTTAATTTTCGATGTGAACAGCTTCAGTTAAAGTTTAATGATTTTTTATTCGCAGAAGGTCACAGTAGTCAGCGCAAATGTGATCGGTACAGTAGAAGAAAATTTCAGTATACTCGGTCCAAGCTTCACGGTTTACGACGAGTCGAGAAAAGAACTTTGCAACATATACGGACCGAACGTTTGTGGTTGCTGCATGTACGAAGAAGCGCAATTCCAAGTATGATCGACTCCTTGCCTCGATCGATTCTTTATATTTTAAATATATGTATATCCTTTAATCGATACATCGATCTTTATGTCGTGTTACCAGGTAATCTCTATTGACGGTACTCATCAAATTGCATCTCTGATGCATCAATGGAACAACAATATTCATGATTATACTCTATTAGTTACGTTCCCTGCAGACACGAATGTAAAATTGAAAAGTTTGCTTCTGGCTGCAGCATTTCTAATGGTAATCATTTAAATTTATTTTTTGTTTTATTACGTTACCATTCTATGGTTAATCTGCAATGTAAAAGCACTTCCATTTTAGAAAACATCTGCTTTACCGACTGAACAAGGGGATGTTTTTATACATCCTATTTAGCCTAATTGTCGCTCCTGAACTTTGCTACTTTTTTTCTAGATCTAAATATAGATTCATATTGTCATCAAATGTTTATTCAATATTACAGGATTACATGTATTTTGTAAGAAGACCATGAGTCTGAAGAAAACGAACCGTATCTCGTCGAGGCGCAATAAAAGATTGAAGAAGAACGCTACTGACAACTGACTGTAATATATTTTAACAAAGTGTATATTTTAATTGACGAAATATTAGTTGAAATTAATTTTGGTTTATTGATTTAAGAATACGTTGTCTATCGGATCTAGGAACCTCTGTATGTACAGTGTTAATTATAGTTTGTCTATCTCGTATCTATACCAAGCATACAAACCTCTCTTATTTTATCTTATCACTAATACAATTTTATAAAAGCTTTGTTACGTAAATTTTGTGAAACGTTTTGTGTAAATAAGGAATTTCTCCCACATTGTAAGCCCTTGATCAAAATATACTTTCAAATTATAGCATCTATATAGATAAATAGTTAATGTTTTTAGATACATATTTATTAAACACAATAAACGTATGTAAAACATTGACTGGTGTTTTTAAATACATATAAAACAGAATATTACCTTGTTATCTTTTAATTGCAGATTACATTATACGCTATAACAAAATGGATCTTTTGAGTATTATTGGCTTTATAGTTATAATTTATTATCTTGTATACATGATAGTTCCCTGGTTTTTAGATTGTGATATAAATCTTGCTTTGCATGAAAAATTTGGAAAACCTATAAGTGAGTAGTTTGTAAACATGTATACTTTTTTCGTTCTAAATCACTGTGTATTCCATTGCATTTCATAGGTTCTTTACAAGGGAAAGTGGTATGGATAACTGGAGCATCAAGTGGAATCGGGGAATATCTTGCGTATGTATTAGCAGAAGCTGGCTGCAAGCTGATTCTGTCAGCGAGAAGAGAAACAGAACTAGAAAGAGTAAAAGCTAATTGCCTTCAAAGTAAATGAAAATGATATACATTTTTGAAACTTCATAAATATATTTGCTGTTTTTCTTTATTTTTTTAAGTATATTTGTCATAATTATTTTTATTTACTTTTAGAGAATGCTAATTTGCAAAGCTCAGATATCGAAATACTTGTAATGAATGTTAGAGACACAAACAGTCATGAATCTGCATTTAATCATATTATTGCTAAATTTGAAAAAGTAATTATACTTTGAACCTTTTGTTTTAATTAAAAATTAATAAATAAAACCTTTATTATATTATAAATTAATTTCAGTTGGACATATTAGTAAGTAATGCTGGATGTTCACAACGAGCAGAATGGGAAAAAATTGACATAAATGTTGACAAAGAGATGTTTGATTTAAATGTGTTCTCACACATAGCTTTAAACAGATTAGTAGCAAAGTACTTTCTTAACAGAGGTACAGGTCACTTTGTAATTACTTCAAGCATTGCTGGAATTGCATCAGTACCATTTTCTGCTACTTACTGTGGAACTAAACATGCATTACATGTTAGTTACATTGAATTACTACTATCACAATCATATAATTACACCAATTATTAATATATTTTTTATTGTTCATAGGGTTATTTTAACGCTTTTATGATTGAAAAACTAGGTAAAAATGTTCAAGTCACAATAGCATGTCCAGGACCCATTGAAACTAACTTTTTGTCACAAGCATATACAGAACAAATTGGAAAAGTAAGTTTAAACTAATCTTGTCATAAGAAATTTAAAATATCTCGGTATATTTTTTTTACAGACATATGGTGAAGAAATAAATAAAAACTCGTTGAATAAGCTTAGTCCCGAACGCTGTGCTATATTAATGGGAATTGCAATAGCAAATGGACTAACTGAAGTATGGATTAGTAGGGCACGTGTGCTTCAGTTAATATACCTGAGATTGTATTATCCAAATATAGGATCTTGGTATAATATTTTACGTTTTTAGTAATCATAATATTTTATTGTATGTGCTTCATGATAATATTACACTTTAGGATATTTAGACTTTTGGGACCACGATTTCTGCAACGTCTACGAGATGATAAAGCAACGATTAAACAAGAACAATGAGTATATTATATTTACATTACATATTAACTTTTTTACCATGCATTCATACTGTATAAAAGTTTCTACTTTAAAGTCGTTTAAAAATCACTTTAATCACTTGTTTATGGTATCTGTAAAAACAAAGGTATTAAATAAATTCAACAAAGACAGTATGCTACAATATGAAATCACGTTTCTGTTTCATTTATTTCTAACGATTCATTTCTACGCTTCTTCCCTCTCATTATTGCCTCTTTAAATAATTTACAATAAAATTCTATAGTACAAGGTGTATCATCATTTCCAGGAACAGGATAAGTTATAAGATTTGGATTACAATTTGTATCAACAATGCCAACTGTAGGTATAGCCATTTTGGCTGCATGTGCTACTGCTACATGCTGCTGAATTACAGATTCCATAGTAGTAAGAAATATGCACAAATCTGGTAACCTAGTGGTTGTTCCAAATTCAGCGGTAGAATTTGTGAATGTTCCAAGTTTCCATTTTCTAGTATGTGCGTATTCATTACATTCTTTGGCAGTTTTTTCTACTATATAAGAGATCTGAGGATTTTTTGCTATGAACAAAATAATTCCACCTCTATATGCTATGTGAGCTGTAAAATTTAACGCATCTCGTAAAAGCTCAGCAGTTTTATCCAAATCAATTATTAAATGCCCTAGTCTTGAACCAAATATAAAAGGTTTCATAAGGTCATTTAAGGAACCTTCCTTATGACCAAAATGTACTCTCGCATTAAATAAATCTTTAACAGTAAACATATCATGAACATGAAAGTAATCTGGATGACTCAAAGGATCTATTTCTTTGATATTGCCTGAAACTAAAATATTGAGTTTATAAATATTAAGAATATATGTTTTATACAACATAATATATTTTTACCATTTGTGGTTGTTTCTTGAGGCATAGCTTTCGTTGATAATGTATGCCTAGGAAAATGCATCATTGGCCTTACAATACTCCAATCTTTCCACACTAGAACAAAATACAAATTACTTCATGTTTATGATATATAAATTATAGTCTAAGAATAAATATAGATTTACATTTAGATGAAAGCGTTCGTGTTACAAAGTAAGTCATTGTGGCAAATTTTTCACTTTAAAGCTTCGATTATATACTAGCAAACAACTTTGTCAGAAAATAAGTAGATTTATCAAAATTTGTAAGTTGAACTTAGCAGGTTAGACAAATTGTACTGTCGGTGTAAATGAAATCTATTTCATTGTAAAATCTAAAACAAAGACTGATACTAGTTTAATATGATACATTTCAACAGTTTTCGCTAAATTATTATGTACTGTAATAAGTATTGCTGTCCTTATATACACAGTATATTTAAATACACCATAATTCCACCATTAACTAAGCTATAACTGTGTTACCGATACCACGTGTGTATATACATACACCATGAACTATCTACTAGCGACACTATGCGATGTTCTATTATAGGAACAATAGTGAAAATAAATGGTTATGATCAAATTTTTAGACATTTTATACTGTAAATTTTGTATATATTGTACAATAAACGAAAATATTTATTTAAGAAAAATTGACTTAAGCAATCATCTTATGAAACAGTAGTAAGAGTTAGTAGCGTTTGGTACCCTTTCCGAGTTTCCTCGGAAGGTTATGTTTAACATTTAGTGAACAACGCGCATTTGACGAATACTTATTTTTATATATGTAGATTCGTGCATTGTCATATAAAACCTGTTATATTGTGATGAAAATGACTACAGAAGAAGAATGGGACGTAGAACAACATAAAGCAGAACATGAATCTGATGAACATTGGGAACTTAGACGTAAATTTCTTTTAGCACATAAGGACAAATTTCCAGAAGATCAACTTGTTTGTTTAGCTCAAGTATTTACCAATGTCGAGTTACTTGGCTGCAGGTATAAATTATGTGCTGCTCAGTTTTATAGACCATTTATAAGAAATTCATTTTTCTCTGATTATGATTGAGTATATTTCCATTAGATACCCAAAAGAGACAATGCAATTAATAGCAGAATTAGCTCAAGATATCGTTGGTGATTATAGAGAAAAGCAAAAAACTAAATTGCAAAGAACATTTGTAAAAGCTTCCGATGCTGCTAGCTCTAAGGTTAAAGGTATATCAAAGAACTGTGAGTTCTATCATGTTTGTTAATAATTTAAAATGGAATAACATAAAATTGTTTATTCATGTATCATTATTTATTTGTGTTTTCCAGGACTAAATGCCCCTACATCTACCAATAAATTCGATACAAAAGCACAAAGTACAAGCTCATCTAGTGAATTAAGACCTAATCAAGTTAAAAAAATAAAATTAAAAGAACCTCCGTTTGGTAATATTGTATTGGTAGAAAGGCCAGGTGATGTACCACAGAACATAATTGCTTCTGCAGTTAATGCATCAGGAAGTGTTTTAGAATGGAAATTTGATAGAATCAGTAACACATGGTATATGCTTTTAATATCTATATTTCTTTGTACATACAAGTAAAATTAACTTCTGGTTCTTGTAGTCAATGCGCTATTTTTATCAATTCAAAGCTGTTGGCAGAAGCTTCTGGTTTGAATAGAAAAATGGCAAAGAAACAAGCAGCTCATAATGGATTACAAAAGTTAAAGAAATATTATTATACAATTAAGGTGAGTTATAGATTTTTTATGTATGTTGAATTTGATTTGACCAACTGTTTTAATATTTTAGATTAAGCAGAATATAGATAAAGATTCTAATGTAACTACAACAACGATGGTGAAAGGAGCAGCAACAGAAGACTCAATTTCTGATGACAATATTGGAAGGAAACTAATGAAATTAATGGGTTGGACTGGTGGAGGTCTTGGTAAATCACAGCAAGGAATTGTAGAACCTATTACGTAAGTACAGTTTCTCTTATGTATTAGAGCACTATAAAATATTAACATTGATTGTATAGTGTTAAGCAACAGATCAGCAGACAAGGCTTAGGATTGAAGTCAAATTCTTCGTCGCTAAATCATGTAAAATACAAATCCAGAAACATCATGAGAGAGTACCTAGCAGGTGACATGAGAAACGATTTAGTATTCTCAGCCTTTACAAACGAGGAAAGAGCTGCAATGCACACGTAAGTTTAATGACGAAGTTCGTACAATTTTTGCATTGAAAATATTATTTATTAAATGTATTTTTAAATGTATTTAGGATAGCAAGACAGTTGGGCTTAAAATCACATAGTTATGGTCCTAAAGATCAACGAACATTGGTAATTTCTCGTAAAATAGATGTACGAGATTTAGTCAACGAATTAAAGAGTCTTGGAGGGGTTACCAACAAATATGAGTTAATTGAACCAACTGAGACGTAAATAAAAAAGAATATACTTATTTTTCTGTACATCATATAAATTTGATAACATACAGTATATCAGATTTAATACATTCCGTACCGAAATAACAAATACACGTGATAATAGATTACAAATGAAATAATTAGAAAACACTGTTTTAAAAGCTTATTTTATAGAACGTATTGACATTAAATAATTTCTTAAGAAATTGGTGCGGAACGTATTAAGAATTAAGTCGAAATACATGGTTAACAAACACATTTTTTTCCATATTTGTTGTTTAGTTTTTATACTTCAACTTAACATTTATGCAATAAAACACTTTATGCAATAAACTTAGTATTTTGACTCCCTTGTTAAATTTGGTAGATTTATATGTAAGATTTGTAAACTTTATTTTAGATTCATTCTATTTTGAAAGATACTATGACTGAGTGAAAAAAGAAACTATGAAAGCAGAAAAAAAACTTTAATAATCACAATAATCACAAGCAATATACGTGGTCAGGTACAATGTCAATTGCGTAAAATAAAACTGAAGAAACGTTCACTTTATTTAATGATCATCGCGCGCTGAACTTATTTCCAAGAACATTGTATTTTAATTAATAGAAGTACAAAAACTTTAAGAAGCAAGATCACTTACAAGTGTATGGTACGTCGCAGTTGCCGTATAATAAGAATGCTTTGGCAGTAGAACAATATAGAAGTCGAAAGTAACATAGACACGACGGCGTGTGATTTTATTACATTATCACATTATTTAAATCTTGATAACTAAGATGGTCAATGTTGATTACGTATACATATGCGCTGTACAATTTATCGATCGGTAGAAACATCCAATAATGCTCGTTCACGCTACAGTGTGTATTGCAAAATAAAGAACAAGAAACACAAATCAAATTAAATTACATGTTCGTCGAAATTGATCTTACAAGGAATTTTTTCCAGCGGACAACTATGGACGGATCATGCAGATATGTTTTGTTACATTTGAATGATGCATTTTAATAAATTAAATTGCAATGAAGACATGTTGGTAATTTTTGATGACGTACCTACTGAATCTTTTACACAATAGCAGCTGTGCGTTGTAAAACATACATGGATAATTCAGGATTACATGGATTGTCTTTGGATCGCATACAAGCTGATGTAAACGATAGGTAAGAGAATACGTGGCGTGTACAAGCATTTTAGAATTCCTCGCTGGGTGTTGCAACAAGTGCTCACGTATGAGATAATAAACCACATAAGAGGTCTTTCCTGTATACAACACCGTTCTATAGCGATGGAAATATACGCACTGCGCGTTGTACATGTTTGGGTTCATTATTTCCAATTACCATTGAAGATGAACGGTCCTATCTTAAATATAACACGTCGAAATTGAGGGGGAGGGGTAGGTAAAGAGTCAAGGCGTTCGTGAGCGGAGATTCAGAACGTCTTGGTCCTACGAAAGTTTCTTCTTAAAGTTTACACAACTTCCCTCAGGATTCTGTCCTCGGTCCAGGCCCTACTTTGGACCGTAATTGACATCTGGAGGGAACGTTACATATCTCTGTATCTCTCTCTTTCTTCTCCATTATTCTCTTTTATATACCAAAATATTATATCTACTATTTGATAAAAGTGACTCTTTTGTTGATATGTAATATATACTTAATTATTTATATTAGAAGATATGTCATTGGTTGACTAGAAGATATTACGCTTAAAATATAGAGATGAGTTTCGTCGTCAAACGAAAGTCTTTCTCAATAGGTGTAATTGGTTCCCCGGTTACTTTAACCTCTTCAAATTCATTTCCTCGAATAGAAAGAAAAACGGAGAACCAGCACCTTAAGAGAATTCGACATTTATTACTTTACTGATATGTATTCATATTGATATGTTATGTTGCGTTACCGTAATGAAAATATTAATACATTATACATATATGTATATATATATATATATATAACTTGCATCTTTCCTTATCTTAAGTAAAGTGCGCGTTATACCCTGAAGGAACGCGAGATGCTCGATTTGTACCTGCTTCGCTTTCTCATTTTTTTAAAATAGATATACATATATATATATATGTATATATACATACATATTCGTTTATACATATACAGATATACGGCTTCTTTTTACATAAATGATTCGTGCACTCATATCTGACTAAAGATCAATCGGTTCTACAAGAAAAAATGAGAAGATTGCAACAAAATTTGTACGTCACTGCAAAACCAACTGGATACCTGATTAACTCGATTCAAAGTTCTTCCTGCCAGCGAAGGTTTGTATCGATCTTCTCGCTTTATTGACGATTAAAATAACGTATCAAAGCATATGTTACAAAATATACGGTTAACCCTTTGCGGTCCAAGTGTGCAAGACTGGTTAAGTGTCGTTGCCTGCGGTATCTGTAGCGTTTCAAATTGGAGACCTCAATCAATACAATTGACTATATTTCAGAATTCTCATTGCCTACACAAGAAACGTTACCGAATCAAATACTCAAAATGTTCAGAACCTGAAATATTGACAATGATTGTCTAAGGTTTACATTTGGTTACAAAATAAAGATCTGTACAAAACGAACCGCAAGAGGTTTCACGTATATTCGAATTTATTCCAGCAGGATTTGTCTACGTATTTCCGTTTGGTGCGTATCGGCGAGAACTAAGTTTTATTCAAAATATAATTAACTATCACCGATTCTAATATCTTGATTCCAGACATGCGATCAAACATCCTTTTACTCGAAGCGGTACAAAAGCGTTTCCCATGTAATAGAAGAGAAATATGGCTGATTTATCTTGATTGTCCTTCACTTAATTGAATAATCGGTGTTCAACAGTGTTCAATGGCGCGTTCAAAGGCAAACTATATCCAGTAAGGTTCGTTCTAAACATCAAGCTGGTGAAACATTCCGAAATGTTTGTATAAATTGCTCTCGATACGACGGGAAACTGAAATCCGTAGAAAGACCTTTTCATGGTACTGTACCAGCAGTAATACGGTTTACAAGAACGCAATAGACGTACAGGATGCAGCAAGAATTTACGCAATTTCTGGTACACCCTGTATATATGTACACATACATACATATATTGTATACATATTACATAATTGCACACGATAGTTTACAACAAAAATCACGTGCAATTCGGTTGCAAGGCAGAAAGGTTTTGCGCGTGCACGAGTACGTGTTGTTACTTCGCATAATTTAACAATGAATGCATAAAAGCTTATACATAATATGAAATCAAACAAAAGAATCAAACGATAAATAAGTTAATAACTTGTTGGATGAATTGTCTCGTTTTCTGTCTCTCGAAAGGTGGTTGCGTGTCGCGTAACGGTTACGCCATACTAGCCACATATACATTAACTTGCGTATCGATCGCATGCCAGTGTGACGACGAATACGTTAAAATATAATTAATTGACTCGCATAATTACTAAGCTTCGTGTTGCCGCGATGCTCAATGCGTGACTTCCATCGTCACGACATTCTTTTATTACTTTCTTCTTTCTTGGAAGCGTAACAACACGTCGTTCGTTAAAGCGAGCGCGTTCATTGCAGCGCAAGAGAGCAACGTTGGGTCATTAAAGGTGTGCACAGATATACAAGCATCGACCCTTGACATTTAATGAAAGTTTAAACGTTCGGTACTCCCGTGCCTCTCGATAATGTATAAGGTATATATCTCGACTTATCTCGGTGCTCGTAGCGTATTCTTTTCAAAAGCAGGAACGATGAGAAGCCATTGAAAGAAAACGATGGGAAGGTAAGGAGAGTAGAAAGAAAAACGAGTGATCGCGTCGCGAGAGAGACTCGTCAAAGAACAATCGGGCTTTCAAGCGATAGAATAATGCGATTGTAATACGATACAGCCAACGTGATAGTGCCTCCGCAATGTCGTTCCAAGGGAGTGGCACGTTCAGTCGAGAAAGCCGGTTTTCACGAGTTTCTCCAAAAAGAACTTCACGTCTCCTAGTTCGGAGTCTTTGATACCGATGGACTTCAGCATACCCAGGTCACCGTTTTCCACAGCCATGAACACGGAACGCAAGTGTTCCAAGTCCGCTCGTACTAAATGTAACGCTGCACCGAAGTCTTCGATTGTCTGAGATTCTGCAAACACATATATTCCTCTATCAAGTACAAATTTTAATAATCTACAATTAGTTACATCTATAATCAATTTTTTATATACTTAATAATATACAGACCAGATATCAAGATGACTCAATATTATTAACATAGCTTATAACTTATAACTTACATTTTTAATGATCACAAGTATAATGATCAGTTAACTTACATTCTATTAGCAATGAACGTGTATCTTCATGAATCAACAAGTTACTTACCAGAAAGAGCAATGGCTACCTTGTTCACTCCACCCAAAGATTGCAGTGCGTCTCTTGCCTTAGTTCCAAACAATTTTTCCAGGTAATTAGGACCATGGCTCGCTAATAATGACTGCAAGAAACTAGCTGTTTCTTCTACCGGTGGTCTTTTTGCTAAAATGTGCAACAGGTAGTACCAGTTAAGTTTTAAGTATTTATAGAATAGTACAGCTAAACTTTAGCTTTATACAATTAAAAATAGTACTATTATTTATTACAAATCCTTCATACCTTAACTGATATTTATATTATACATAAGATAATACAAAAATTTTACTGAATACAATATAAATTACCATTGAATCTTTAAACTTATTTTAAAACACTAAACGTTAATATATATAACGCTTGTGTACTAAGCCATTAATGTCTTTAAAAGACGCACACGGTGCGTCTTATAACAGATACCATACGACGCACAAGGTGCGTCATTCTCAATCCAGTAATCATAGTCACGCGATAGACAGGAAAGCAGTAGTATAGGTCATGTATAAATCAGCCTTTCTACATATTCTAAGCTCAACTGCTACATTCCGTGTGGAAACTTTCTCATAACCTTGTGCCTATTTTTCATCCACGCTTATTCATCCATAGTTACACTTTTTGATCAAAGAAAGAGTGTAAATGTATGGATAAACTTACCAGCTGTGCATAGTCGTAAGTCCTCGTCGTAACCGTCTTGACAATCCGGGGCACCATCGCACAAATATTGGATTGAAATACATATTCCGTCTCCTGGGCACTTAAACGGCTCATACGGGTGACATGCATTTTCTGTAACAATCAAACGTATTAGATATTAATTTGGGAGATTAGCTGGTAAGAATATATGGACCGTCGTTTCGAAGAAGTGCGCATTTAGTACGTGCTAAATTAGCAATTATCGATATGCGTATCGAAGAGAAAAATGACAGTATCGTCGAATTGACGTATCGATTTTTCGTTCGATTCAAATACTCGATTAGAGAAGACGGTAATTCGAGTTCTCGGTTCGCTGCCACAAGAAGCTCAATGCTGTTTATTGCTCGAGGGTTTACCCCCCGTAAAGTAACGTTTATTACTGCTAGTGATTATGCCACGTTCCATAACGAAACGAACTACGTTCTATTGCATTGAATAAACTACAGACAGCCCATCACGAAGATGAATCGTGATACGTTGAGTACACTACGTGGATTCAAATTACCACTTAAACGACGTTACCATCCGCACAATAGATCGCATCAAGACTAAAATGTATGTACACCGCGTATCATAGAACCTCGTGTTAACGGTGCTCTACCCTTAACAGAACTATTCTGGCATTGTTTCGTACATCTATGCATATACATACACCATTTAACTGTACTAGAAAATCTTTTACGAAATAAAATTATATACGCGGGTAATCGAACATATCGAGTACCCGAACTATCGAATCGAATCGGAACTTGAAATCGAGGTAGAAATTGAATTTATAAATTGAAGTCTGTATAAACCAAATTTGTTCCGATTTGATTAAAAATAATCGGGCTACTCGAGATCGATAAATTACTCGTGCTTTGTCCTAAAAATTGTGCTAAAAAATTTGACATTTATGGGAGTTTACTTGACTTCAACTCACCATATGTGCACCGGAAGTTGCACTCCACCGGTTAAGGGTTAACATGCATAAATATAGATGAAGAAAAGCAATGACATCTGGTATCGTTGCAAATGACTGTCATCAACGCTATTTGAATAGTTATAGTTTACGCGATATAGCTTAATCGATTACTATTCAGTCTATAGACGAATGATTCTTGTTTAGACTAGAATGTAACGTTAAAAGGTGTGCGATAAACGAATGATGGTTATGTTCAGACTCGATTACCGTTCGTAGCAGACAATGACAACTTACCTGTCCGTTTCGACTTGAAGTCGTTATAAAATCGACTCAAGTCGATCGCCATGACGGCACGCGGAAAAACAACGCAAGCACTCAGGGCGAGGCTAAGCGCAGCCACACTAGTGCAAAATCTCTGAACCATTCTTAGCCGGTAGCCAGGAAATTGATATCGATGAACGGGTTTCGCACACTATGCGTATTGTTCGTTGGCTAACAGGGAAACAATACGGAATTACCCTCTATTGTACGTCGTTAAAAGCTCGTGAAGCTCAAACTTGTTTGATAAACGCTAAAATCGAAATAACAGTCGTTGACACGCTGATTCCTCCAAGAACAATATGAATACAATTGTCTCCCTTCACTTTTCCTGCCCTGACGTTTTCTCGTTTCACAGCCACCCTCTATCTCTTTTCAACACCAAGTGGCTGGCGCGTGACACGGGGTGCACAAGCACTGTGAACACACCTGTGTGCCCTCGTATCATACATGCGATGCAAAGTACGTATTATAATCCCTACTCTTCCGGACACCTCTTCCCAAAAGGGTGGGGGCAACGCAGGACCTCTAAACCAATCGGTTAATAGGATTCGCTGGATCCGACCAATGAGAACAAGCGAGATCAAACGTACTACCCTGGAACACCTACGCGACCCTCCCTGCTATGTTGCATCGATTTCAACCCCCTTGTATCTGTAGGTAACGTTTGTTTATCGTTATAAAGGTGCGACTTGAATCATATGAACGCAAACGAGCTCGAACAACCCATTAGTATGTTCGTCGACAGTGTTCGGGTGCTACGAACTAGAAATCAAGCGGGTACACGCTAAATTTTGTAGTTTGGCAATTTGAGAATTTGATAACTTGGATTGTTCTAGTCTCTTACATTGACAGTAAGAATTAAGAAGTCTCTGTACGACCGAATGTCAAAGTCAACGAACATCGAACACTGACGAATGTTCCTCTCGTGCTCTTTCACACTGGGCTCAGTGGAAACGCACCCTAATGTTGCGTTTACGCGGGTAGAATCGCGTGCGTAGTCATTATGGAACAGGGTAATGAATTTACCGAATATTGAAGAATTTCTATTTAATTTGATTAACACGAATCCTCGTCAACCACTTTTCGTGATTCTTAGAAGCTTCTTTCATATATTATCGAATCATTTTTACTTGTCATGAATGGTATAATTAAATGCGTTGAAGAAAAAACCACTTTCTGAAATGTCATATCTTTAGTAAGAGTGGACATTCAACTTTTATGAAATTAATTTGTATTATTTCACAAAATTATATATATAGGTATAGTTACTCATATTAAAATAAAATATGTCCCCTACATTTTTTATATTAAATATTTTTTACTTCTTCAAATGCTTATTCTAAAAGTTAGTTATTAATATTTATTTTGTCATACGTAACACGTTGCGGTTAAATAATAATACCGTTCCAAAATACTTTACATGTCCTTTTGTAAAATGTCAATAATTTGTTAATTTTCTATTCGTACAACTGTTCATAGCAATTTAAAAGCAGTAATGCGTACTGTTAATTGGAAACCATGACTCCCGCGATAACTTCATATCGTATATAACCTGAATGTATTTACGTATCTATTTCAAGTACAATAAGATTTAAATAATAGATTGTATATATCTACGAAATGGGGTTAATAAAATAATTATGACGAAATGACGAATGTTATTTATTATGCTCATTGCATGGATGGAAGCTATAAAAGATCAAATAAATAGATAAAAATGTATCAAACGCAATTTTAGAAAAAGTCACAGTATGGAAGATTTAAAGTCTAAATTTTTTGGCCTCATTAATAAACAGGTAATGAACTTCATGTTATAATTAATATGTTAGACGTTATTTATTGATACTATATAGTTGTAAGTGCAGCTGCTTTTGTCTTTTCTTTTCTCCTTATTCATTAGGTTATGTTGATAATAATTCATCTAGTGTTAAAGAAAACTGTCAAGAAACTTATATTTTTCATTATTGTGTAGAATGCAACCAAGATTCCACTTATGGGCTTACATCCAGATCTACTGAATCCATCAGAATCTCAGAAACTAGACAATGTACAATCAGAAGCTGATCAATCGACAGGAAATGAGCCTATCCCTGACCAAGATATATTAGAATCCATAGAAAAAATTTATTTTAATACAGATCACAATTTTGATGCTTGTAGATACGAATTAGAAAAGCTACCAAAAGTATTGCAATCTGAGGAAATCGAGAAATGTTACGAAAAATTGAAACAGCAGCATCAGGTTGTGTCAAATAAAGTCTTACAACTTATTTTACAAAAGCAAACTGCTTGTAAGAAAGAGTTTGAAAAGATCTTGTTAATACAAGAGCAGTTGCAAGATGTATTAGAAATATGCAGAATGGGAAGAGCAGATCTGAAATTGGCTGAAAGGCAGTTTACAACAGCTAGTTTAGGAATATTAGCAAACTATCAAAAAAGACAAGTTGTAGAGGAATTATTAAATAATTTAAATACAATAAAAACATTGGTAAGTTCTGTTCAATTAATTTGACTCATCTGTTGAATGGGAATGAAGAAGTAAGTTACTGTAATAATTTTCAGCAACGTACAGGAGATCGATTGCAAGAGCTACTAAATGAAAAAAATTATCCCAGAGCAATCTCATTGCTTTTAGAATGCCAGAGTGCTGCACAAACTTATAAACACTTTCACTGTATTGCTGCTTTGAATGGAAAGCTGCAGGACATTTTAGAACAAGCAGAAGAAGCTCTAGATGTTACGCTCTCAAGGATGTGTACACAATTTGATGTGACAATATACACATCCATACAAGAAGCTTATACTCTGTTAGGAAAAACACAGTCTGCAATGGATCAACTGCATATGCACTTCACTGCTGCAATTCACAATACTGCTTTTGCAGTTGTTCATTCGTATGCAGGTGGTGATACAAAAAGGCAATACAAACAGCTTTGTCAATCGGTTCCTCGTGAAAATTGCATTGCTTGTCTAACAGAATTATGTAAATCATTGTGGACAATATTGAGTTCTTACTATTTAATAGTAAATTGGCACAATACTCAAGAAAATAAATTTAAGTCTGATGTTAAAGATGTAGAAGAAACTTTTAATCAACAATATGTAAAGCATAAATTAGAAAATAGTATGATTCGAGTATGGCATGACGTTGAAATAAAAATATCAATATTTTTAATGAATGTCGATTTAACTTACATTAAATTTGAACAATTTGTACAAGTTTTAGACATAGTTAACAGGTAAATATTTTACAAATATATATAGATATAGAAATGTATATTTTTGACACAAAATATTTACAGATTAATAGAAATTGGAGAAGAGTTATGTGGCTTCAAGTCGGAAAACTTACAAGAATCTATAAGAAAACAATCCTTATCATATTTTTCCCACTATCATGCATCAAGATTAGATGAACTTAGAATATTTTTAGAGAACGATGGATGGGAACTATGCCCTGTCAAACCCAACTTTGTAGCAACACAATTACAGGAATTCAAAAGTCTAAAACCATCGCTTAATAGTTGTAAAGTTTGGAACAACATGGACAACTCTAACGTTAGTGAAAATGATAGTACTATGGGAATAGAATGGATCAAAAAATATTTGGAAGGAGGAACGTCTCCGTTTGCCATAGGTTCGGATGACACGATGGATGAAGATATATTGTTAAATAGTGAGGATAATCCGCCAGCCTATTTTTCTGATGAATCCGACGACGACATTCCTGACGAATTAAAACGTGAATACGTGGATGATTCTGACCATATTAAAACAAATAAAAAGAAATGTAAACTGAAACAATCGGGACCCATGGTTACAAATACCACGCTAAGCATATTGCGTATTTGTGGAAAGTATTTACAAATGTCTAGACTTCTACGTTCAATCGCAGTCACTGTCATACAAAGTATGATACAATTTTATGAATTATGTTTTTATACTGTACATTTGTTCTTCACCTCAGACCTCGTAAGTTTCCACAGTTAATTTATTCAAGAAGATTAATTTATTATTGATAATTATTTTTTTTCTTTCACAGCAAATAAATAGCGACTCTTTGTATAGCCCAAAGTTAAAATTATCACTGGCAAGAATTAAAGAGAATTTAATTATTTGTGAAAATGATACAGAAGATAATATTCAATTAAATTCAGACAAAGTGCGACAACCACAACTTTCTTCCATCGTGAATTTACGCAAGCCAGAAGAACTACACGGTTTGATGGAACGTATCGTGGCAGTAGAATCTCTAATATTTTTAGGACAACAATACGAGAGCCTGAAACCGTATCTAGAACATTTAATCGGTGCTAGTCCACAACGTGGTTTCCTTCATCAATTTTATATGCAAACAATAGCATCAACGATAGATTTAAGGAAACCTGTATACATGGCGGTTGCGTCACAAGCGTTTGATGTAGCAAATATCCTAAATTTAATGAATAAGGTTAACTGGGAGGTGACGGATGTTATGTCACAACATAGTGGATATATAGATTCGTTACTTCAGGTACTTATTTTTTTATGTAAATAAGTTTTCTTTATTCTTACACAAATATTTCTTGTACGTAGGATATATGTGTTCTAAATGAAAGATTGAGCAACATTGGAAGTTGTCTTCCTTTAGCAGATGAAGTATATAATGCTGTTTGGGAAAATATTGCACATTTAATCACTCATACTTTAGTAGAAGGGTATGTCATTCTTTGAACAATCTAGTTTTTTCTGTATAACATTTATTTTTCTAAAATTTTTATCACAGATTCTCTAATGCTAAGAAATGTACAAATGGAGGTAGAGCATTGATGCAACTTGATTTCACACAGTTGAAATCAAAATTCGAGATGATAACTGGTCTCAGACCAATGCCGCATAGAGAATACGTGGAGTCGTACATTAAAGCTTATTATCTCCCAGAAAATCGTTTGGAGAAATGGATAAAAGAACATAAGGTAATTGAAATTTCATATACAATTATTAAACAATTTTCTGATAAAATTTATCGCTTGAAATGTTTGTCTTATAGGAATATTCTATTAAACACTTGATTGGTTTGATCTCTTCAACATGTCAAAATAATAAAAAAACTCGGCAACGTTTAATAGCACTTATAGAAGAACAACGACCATCTAGATAGCATAAAGCTATACATTACAGTACATCTCAAGACTATGTTGAGATAGAGATTACATAACATACCATTTTTTTTAAATGACTAAAAGGAAATGTATTTTTTTCTTGTAAATATTTAGAAAGGTTTCCTTGCATCTCTGAACTAAGCTGATTTAATAATTCTTCAGTTTCTATAACATGTTTTGTTCAGTTATCAGTAATGGTGTTATGCAAATAGAACATAGTTTCATAAAATTGAAGATACACGTGATAAAATTCGAGATCTTTAATTCTAATCTTGCAATGATACATATAGTTGAGTATTATTAAACAGTTATACGAATCTCACACAAAATCTTTTAAGTAAATTCATATAATATACTGTTATTAATAGTTGAAAATTTTTCACCCTTTGTTATCATTGGATGTTTAAAATTTATTAGAATCTCTAGCAGTATTAACCAAGATTCTGAATAAAAGATATTAACATATTTTAACCTTAAACATTAATGTTACTTAATCTGTTGATAGAAGATATTTTATATTTGATTTTTTAACATAATTATTATACAATGTAAATAATTTTTTTAAATACATATATACTGTTATGATTTAGTATCTTTAATTATGCAGTGCTCTCTTCCGAATTGAAATATTTATCGAGATACATGGAATCTTATATTTTGAGACAATACTGTTATAATTTAAAGGTGTCTTTATTATACAAATAATAATAATAATATACAAGTACATATATTTTTTCTGGGTTTATCGGTTTCCAATTTTGTAAAAATTACCGTTATTTATCTAGAAGTATTTACTATAGCATTATACATACTGTATATTTGTATTGTATATTTTACTTCTACTAGAAACCAAAAAATTCTATTGCACCTCTTCATTTGTTAATCATGAAAATATTTTAACTGCGGGTTTTCAGTAACATTATTTCCTTAATAATTACTAGAAAACTTATTTGAAATAAATATTATTGAACACGTGTATTGTACGATATGTATTGTAATATATTTCAAACGACTTTTGTAAAATAAAAAAAGATGGAAGATTCTTTTGTAGACCAGAATGTAACTAAAGTGACTTGTTTACCGATTAACGTAAATATAAAAATTCAGTTATGTAGGTGCATCGAGAACTCTCTGGTTAGTAGTGTAAGTCAGCGTTTCCTAATTCTGAAATTTATGGACCGTATTGTTAACTTTGTTACTAATAAAATGACAATCGCACTTCCTAAGTTTACGCATTATTTCCTGTAAAAGACATATGAAATATTGTTGAATTTTTGTTTCGTTAATTGTATAAAATGAACAACGGTTCATGGAGTAGATGTTAAGAAACGCTGATAATTTATCGAAGTAACCGATTTTCTTCTTTACTCCAAAGCGTTTTATATCGAGCCCTCCATTCTGAATGGCCCCTGTTAAAACAAATTGTTGGAAAATATAAAGGATATACGTCTATGAAGAACCGAATGATACTAAATGCTTATTCTGACAATAAATTTAGCTGAAAACGTTATTTACTAATATTATGCTGAGTTGTGAGTTTTCAAGCAAGATTGGATTCTTATGCTATAAATGCATTTATTATTTCATAGTGAGCAGAGAATGAATAAATATATATTGCTATTAGATGACCTTTACTGACAAAATATCTGCTTCAAATTATTTATCATTTGTAGGATTCATTTTACTTCAGGCTTTGGATATTTATCAAAGAAAAGTGTACTCTATGGTTATAAAATGTTTCTTACATATTACAATGACTCACTACGATGATTATAAATAGAATTCAGTTATTTGAATTGAATAACACCTATGAAAACTAGAATTTCACTAGTTATAATTTTATTATTCCTATTCAATGAATCTTATATCATACAAGTTCAGTTTTTGAATTTAAATTAAGTTTATTGCCAAAATTGATTACTAATGTTAAAATACGTTTTTCTAAACAATAACTATTCTCCAATAAAATTATTTATATTATAATATTTTGCATTTCTTTTGTTTTTCATACAAAGGAAACAAACACGTTCCAACATTATAATATGTTAATGAGTACAAAATTAATAGTATCGTATAAATACATGATGCCATAGAGCACTGTTTAATACTAGAAAACACATTAAAATAAAAATACATTAATCTCGTTCCAAAGCCTGTTTATGGCTTTTAAATATCAGTTAATTATTTTGCACATTATGTTTCATCGAATACGATACTTAACATTAATGGTACGGATGCCGAGAAAAAGAATCTGACGAACTTATGTTTGTATAATTATCATTGTTCTTTTATGTAAAGTAGTACAATTTGTTAAAATTCTAATACCTTAATGTAATTGTGGAATGCAAATAAAACGTTAACATAGAAATAGAGTGAAAGAGTAACATATTAACATTACTTTGCTTTAGTACGTTGACAGTACAAAACTTGTAGAAACCAAGAAATTTGGATACGATGTAATTCTCCTCTTTAATCAATTGCGAATACGGTAAATATGTTTTTCACTCTTATTCTACATATTATTTTATATATATTTAAAAAAATGAACAAAATTATATAAAATGCGAATAAAACACTGTCTGACTCTTTTCCTTGTGACCTAATCCTAGTTTTGCGTTATTCAATCGCTTAACGTGTAAAAAACATTGGCAGATTCAATGCAGTTACGTTAATAAGTAACATTGTTCCTGTTTTCACGTTTTTTTTTGTTTCTTCATTTCTTTTTGAGCTTGTATCATTAAACCCTCATGGCTTACCATTTGTGCGTACAAAACAACCCCATTTGTATGTATAAGTGTACGTTCATACGTTAAATGCATTTCAATTGAAATTAAAGATAAAGATATGCGTACAGAAATATCAAAAGCGTTTCGAAATCGAGTTGGTTGATGTATGTCAAAAAAAATGTTTTAATTGGAAGACAACTGTCAAAAAAGAACGAATGAAACTATTAATATATTTAAAGAAAAAATTTTTTAAGACAAATTTATAGACGAATAATATTTTGGTGCTATATAAAGCCACTAATGTAAGTGCTTTGAATGTTTACTCACATATATCAATGGGATTATATGTATGAATATTATGTAATACATATTATATAGCACTGACAACAACCAGTGAAGAATCAAATGAATTATAATATAAATGATAAGCTTCAAACTGCAAAGATCGTTCTTTTTTTAATGCATCCCTTAATACCACAAGTAGTTCATCATAATTTTTATAATAATCCCATACCGCGATACGCGTACGTATGTATATATATGTACACATAAATTATAATGAAATGCTGAACGTGATAATATAATTAATAATATTGTATTAACTATTTTCACGAACTTTAATAAACAGTTAATAACAAAGTTTATACCATTTGGTATTTTGATAAATTTCTATTTGTATTATATTCCTAGTACTGGAATGCACCATCCGATATTAATGGTTGTTTTACATTTGCTGTTATATACTTAAAGTGATCATTCTCTTATTGATCACAGATCATTATCAGTTGCATTATAGAGCCTCTACATGATAAATAAAAGTAAAAATACAAAGCAAACGTACATTCTTGGTATGTGGTTAATCGATGAAAAATAAATATTTGCTCATAATTTATGATTACTGGTCAACCAAGTAAGGCCTTCGTAAAGCCCATCTCCAGTTGTGGCACATGATGGTTGAACATACCAATTCCTGTCTCGTATCCTAGTTAAACCCAGCTTTTCTTGTATCTCGTGCGGTTTCATTGCTATGACATTTAATAAACGATATAATAATACAAATTATATATGGCAATTACTTAATAAATACAATAATCAAACATATCAATATTCACCATCTGGAAGATCTTGTTTATTCGCAAAAATTAAAATAATAGCATCTCGCATTTCTCTATCATTTATAATTCGATGAAGTTCTTGACGGGCTTCATCAATTCGATCTCTATCGGCGCAATCTACTACAAAAATAAGACCTTGCGTCCCAGTATAATAATGACGCCACAGTGGACGTATTTTATCTTGCCCACCAACATCCTAAGGTATAGCAAATTTGTTATCACTTTAAAAGTTTGAAATACTTGGCACAAATAAAATTTGTAGCAACACTTACCCAAACATTGAACTTAACATTTTTATAGGTAACTGTTTCTACATTGAATCCTACAGTTGGTATAGTAGTTACAGATTGCCCTAATTTAAGTTTATATAGTATTGCTGATATGTAATTAAGGAAATCTTACTAAGTAAACATAAAATTCCTTTCTAGGTAATAAGTCACATATATGGACAAGAATATATAAGAAGGATACTAGTTTTACCAGCAGCATCCAATCCTAGCATAAGAATTCGCATCTCCTTGTTGCCAAAGATTTTTGACAACAATTTGCCCATCTTGCCAGCTGCTTTCTAGGCACCTGGCACCTACATTTCATAAATTATACTCTTTAAAAGGAATGCACTGTTGGTCAATGAAATTTCTATGAAAAATAATAAAATTCTTATTCAAATACATTTAAATCTCTTCAAAATATGGTCCCTCGTTATTTAAGAACTCTTGTATTGTCACAGGTTTTTGTATAAAATTTAAAACAATGCAAGAAGAACATTTTATGAACTTCTAACCTCCATACGAAATTTGTTACCCTAAACTATGAGTAACAATTTATCACGTTACGTGAATGAAATATTAACGAAATAAGGAAATCCAAGGACGTTTCTTATAACCTATCAAAATTGCAAGTGAAATTTAAACAAACAGATATTGATGAAATCATGGTATTATAAATAAATTCGTGATGTATTCACGTTACAGTTGAATTCATCGTAACAGTTAATTGTAAAATAAGATCTGAATGAATGTACTCAACAGTTGTCACGACAAACAGATTAATCGGTCGTGTAACTTGCATGACAATCAATGAGGAATTTTTGAAAAAAATCCTTCAAGTCAGCAATATCAAAGGATTGTGTACTTGAAGCAAGCACAAATGTAACTCACCGAAATACATTTACAAAAAGCGAATACTTTATCATGAACGCGTAGACATATCACATCACTACACATAACTTATTATTACAGCGGTAATATCGCTACAGCATTACCAGAAACGTTATTTAGGTAGGTACAGCATGATGTCTCTTCGTAAGTCACAAGCAAACACGCATGTAACTTGAACGAAATATTGAGATCACTTTTGTATGTATTCAATTCTGACAGAGATTTTCGAGCGCCACCACATGTTTCGAATCATTACTAATTCGTTATTGGCAGTATATTTAAAACTTTGACACTGTAAAATATTACTGCTATGGAAATTTAGTTATAATTTAGCCTAATTTCGAGCTTTTATCGGTATCGCTCGCGCGGAATAATCTCAGAGCGATAACGTGATATTTTTAAACTATATTCAAAATATGTCAGGCATACAGCTTTTCGATCTCTCCTTAATTTTCAAAATTAGTTTACCGGAAATGATCTATTTTTTCATAACTCTGCTTTTACATTATTGTAAGAAAAGTTTTAAAATGTGGAGTAAATTTGCGCCTCTTACTGCTTATAGTTAATACAGTACTGTTTTTTATCTTGACACGCATGCGTGACCGAATAATCAACTAATCCACTAATCAACAAAAAGTTTAAATTTTTTGTCGATAAATACATATCAAATTTTTATAATTCTTTAAGTTATGATATTGCGTTTTCAATCTTGAACATTTTTTACTTTTAAAAAGAGTTTATCTTAAGAGTAAAAAATTGATGCTTAAGCCTCTTGAAGAAACAACAAGTATATAAATTTGAAACATTCTTTTTTCTTCAGTTGAATATTAAGTTTCAATATTTCCAAAATAGGACATAGACGAATGTATAAATAGTTTTCAAGGATAAATGTTAACATTAACATTGTGTTAAGTTCCTGAACATTTCAGTTTTATCGTAGATGGAATGCACGGTTGTGTCTTCACCTTGCAACCTTTCACTTCTCCTCTGCATCCTGCATGAATGGTGAGGAATGATTTTGATAGTTTCCGTAAGATATTCGAGTATTCTTAATTTCTTTAGTTGTGTCTTATTGATAGACGGATACGCGAATCGCTAATATAACATTGTGCTTTAAGAAAAGGTTACAATCTCGGTATTTGATAGGAGGTAAAAGAATAAACATGATTTTTCACGGTCGGTGTACATCTGACCAAACAAAATATGCTAGAAAAGAAAAGGAGAACTACGTGAGGCTGGAAGGGCGAGAGGGGCCGATAAGAGAAATCAAGTCAAACGTGCTACGTGGAATCGTGAAAGTGAAGGTGCACTTCACTCTACCTGAGTTGGGTTAGGTTTCTTTAACTGGGCGTAACCGAGAACGTTACAATGGAATCTCTTCGTACGAAACTGGCCGAGTATGGTCAAGAACACTTATTAAAATTCTGGGATCAGTTATCTGAAAAAGAGAGAAATGAACTTCACCAGGACCTGTCCAAGTTGAACCTTGTGGAAGTGACATCTTACTTGCAAAAGGCAACGTATGCTTCTTCTTGCATGCTTAAAAATACCTTAGATGATAAAGTATCTCCTATACCTAAAGAGAGTATCGGCTCAGTTAAAACTGCTAGTAAGAAACAGCTCGAAGCATATGAGAAACTAGGTCTGCAAGAAGTAGCCAATGGTCGAGTAGGAGTATTACTTATGGCTGGTGGTCAAGGTACTCGATTAGGAGTGTCTTATCCTAAAGGCATGTATAATGTTGGTCTACCATCAGGAAAAACTTTGTTCCAACTGCAGGCAGAAAGGATACTTCGTTTACAAAATATAGCAGAAAAAGAATACGGGAAGAAAGGAGAGATAACTTGGTATGTATACTGTTGCATTGTTTATATTTGAATTGAAATAATACTTATTTTTTTTATTAGGTACATTTTAACCAGTGAAGCCACTCATGATACAACTGTTAGTTTTTTACGTAAACATAATTACTTTGGTTTAAAAGAGGAAAATGTAAAAGCTTTCAAACAGGGCATGTTGCCGTGCTTTACATTTGATGGAAAAATCATTCTGGATGAGAAACATAAAATCTCTAAAGCCCCAGATGGAAATGGAGGATTATATAGGGCTCTAAAGGAAGAAGGAATATTGGATGATATGAGACAACGTGGAATCCGCAGTGTTCATGTTCATTCAGTTGATAATATTTTGATAAAAGTAGCAGATCCAGTATTTTTGGGATACTGTTTATCCTCATCCACAGATTGTGGAGTTAAAGTTATAGAAAAGTCTTCACCAAATGAACCGGTTGGAGTTGTGTGTAAGGTATGTTTCCAGATGGGATTATTTACAGTACAGTGATCTCTTATAGTTATCTCATATATATTACTATTCTTGCAGGTTGATGGTATCTATCAAGTTGTTGAATACAGTGAAATATCAAAGGAGACAGCTGAATTACGTTATAATGATGGACAATTAGTATACAATGCTGCAAATATTTGTAATCATTACTTCACTGTAGACTTTTTACGTACCGTTGCTGATATTCATGAGCAAGAAATGGACCTACATGTTGCTAAGAAGAAAATTCCGTATATCGATGACGATGGAAACAGACACACACCAACAACTCCGAATGGCATTAAGATTGAAAAATTTGTATTTGATGTGTTCAAATTTGCGAAGCAACTAACAGTTTGGGAGGGAATTCGCGAAGAAGACTTTAGCCCTCTTAAAAACGCAGATTCTGCTGGTCAAGATTGTCCAAGCACTGGACGGAATGATGTACTTAAGCTTCATAAAAAGTGGTTATTAAATGCTGGAGCATTAGATGTGATAAACGACGTAGAAATATCTCCTTTGCTATCGTACGCAGGAGAAAACTTGAGTCACGTAAAAGGGCAATCATTCGAGGGTCCTTACGTAGTGGAATAATATAACTGTTATTTTTGTAAAATAATGAGATTATATTCTTATGCTTGATGACGGTAATGAAATTATCATGAACATATGATATGATTTTTTACTTTTCTGTGATTTAAGGTAAAATTTAGAGTAAAGAGTTTTTAATGCTTTTATATAAATTTTTTACTAGTAAACTCAAAAGACATTATTTATAAAAAAAATGAAATTGTTAAAATCGATGTTACGTATAATTACAAATAATTTCGTACAAAGGGAAGCGGAATTAAATGTTTACGTAAATATTTGAACATTCCTTGTCATTTTAAGTATTATATTATTTATAATGTCTTTAATTAGATCATAACTACTGAAAGTTTATAGTTATAAGAAACAATAAAATCTCTATATTTTGGCAATATTTATACAATTTTTATATGATTAATGTGAACCCAATAAAAAATTCGGAAATTTAATTACAATGAATGTTTTATAAATTTTCATTTTAAATTCCTAACAATCTTCAAAATTTATATATAGCAACAACTCATCTCTGCATCTCTGGTACGAGACAGTTTTGCTAATATAAAGAGAAGCAGATAAGGGACAAGATAAAGCGATGACTAATTCTTATCAGCTGCTCAGCACAATTCTTTTGAAAATAAATGGTATGAGAAAACAGACAATTCGATTCTTCTTGCAGTCAACTTTTATTATATAATATTATTATGCCGTATTTCAGTTACATAATTTTAAGTGTTTAATATTCTATTCGTCGTATAGACAGATACGTATTTGACAGCATGTTAGTACGTATATATCTATACGGGTATGCTTAGGCATACGCGTGTGCGCATACTGTTGCGTGTTAAATTTATATTTGTATTTTATTTATATTTATATTTATGTTCATATTTATATTTATATTCATATTTATATTTATATTTATATTTATATTCATATTTATATATTTATATTTATAGTCGACTGTATTATCAATATACAAATAATGGAAGACATGGTAGCACCTAAAAGTGCCGTTCAAAAAACGATTTCTTACCTAAAACACGATTCTTGTAAAGTTTACTTGTCATAAAGTTGAATTTTGTTTCGATATAGCAGTTTCGTAGCGTAATCCACGCTCTTGTCGCGACGTTCATAGCGATACATCTTTAGTCGCAGATATGTACGTAAACGATGTGTATAAGTTATTCTAGATACTATATAAACAAATTTCGATATGCATAATAATGAAATATTAAAACTTTCGGTTTAGTTCCTTCCTTTTGATTCGTCTTTTATGTCCGCGTTCCATTCAACAAGTATGCAACGTTATGACGACGCACTAACACATATTTAAATACGTGTGTGCGTCCATCTCGCTTCTTTTACTATCCACAAAATTAGGCTTCCTTTGATTAACTTGCTTTCAATATTAGAAGATTAAAATGTAAATTTGAAAATTTCTAAATTATCAAACTTTTAAATTCTCTTCAAGAGAAGTCACACAGTGTACATATGGTATCTATGCATATGTTACATCATCTTTTAATGTAACGCTTCGACAGATATGTCAGACTGTTCTATCAATGTATTCGTAGTAAACAAACTTTGGATAAGATATTGTCATAATTTTCTCTTTGCGCTGTTCGTTGTTTCTATTATAACCATTCTGTGTCTTTTAGGCATTTACATAGAAAATGTCAAGGGAACAAATACTGTAATAGTTTCGAAAGCAACGGATCCTTCACAAAAACGACGACATAACGTTTTCACGATCTGTCACGGACATTTCCACGTTGCTTCACAAACAAATTTGCCTATGTATATAGAGTGACACAAATTATTTTTCTGTATATAAGATCGTTTGCTACTAAAAGGTAAGCTCGAAGACGCCATACCCGTACAAAATTGTACGTATCAATTATTTGGAGGCGACTGTTAGAAAAGAGGGAAACAGCGATATCAAAGTAGAGTAAATATTTTCTGCGATTTGATGATCGTTGAACAACAACGGCGACGACGACAACAAGAACAAGAACAAGAACAACAACAACAACAACAGCGACGACAGAAAGAAAGAAAGAAGTAAAGAGACGGTTGAGCTTTGTTGCTCTATAGTAAGTCAGACTTTAAAGTACAATATTACTGCCCGTTCGCTCGTGTTATCGTCGTTCCTAGTCTGTTTAAGCGTATCGCGAATTACGAACGATTTGATCGATTCGTGTTAGGCGTTAGGAGAATTAGATTCGACGTAGTACGATCAGGAAATATTCACAAGTTTCCCACAACAGAAATTTACAATAGTATATATGGAATCGTAGATCCTCGATTAACATTAATATCGTGTATTTGTATATGTACATTATCGCGTGCATGCGCACGTGTGCACATAGAAGACGCGTGCAGGCGCATCAACATTGCACGTGCATAAAGTATATGTGTATACACGCGCACACACGTTAAATAAATGATGTTTGTACACGTATACGTACACATATACCTTAACCATATTATTTATATTTCTTTTCCTGCACGAACAGCCGCACGCGCGCACACGCATGCACTCGTTCGCTCACTCATATGCACGTATCCGTCAAATACAAGTATTAAACCGATCAACTAGTATACCATTTTTATATAACTGTTTCATAGAAACGACAACGCTAAATTCATTTCAAAAAGTTAATGGGTGTGTGTGTGTGTCTGTGTGTGTGTCAGTATGTAATTAGTTTGAACAAAGTCACGCGAGCGGTCTTGCAAAAATATTGATAAAAATCGCGATAAATAACGTGAAGACGAAGTACGTAGGGCGACTCGCGTCACCGCAAAACTTGATCTCCATTTCTTCTGGATGGTAATTAATACATTTCGGTGGCCTTCGACGATACAGACGTTCTCTTCTCGCGGTGCAAGCTCCGGGCTCTGTGAGAGCCTCTATTGGTTCGATACTCAGTTGTTTACTTCCGCATGGACACAATGTGTCGACTACCAGTAAAATTAAATTCGTATGACGGATCTTTTGTACGCTGAACGGCCTGGAAGAAACATTTACATTCATTGTGGTATTCTTGAAATGATTATTACGTCAAGACGTTATTTTCTTGATTTTGTTATTGTTAAGACGTTTACTCAACAGTAAATCTGGCTTCTCTAGTAAAAATATGACAATTAAGGGACTTTTAGGTTTTGAAGCTTGTACTTACCTCTCGCAACCGGTGATATGACAGTTGGTTAATTTTCCCTTCAACGGATTGCTTTGTCCACTGGTGTTGAGCCTTTCAGGCTGTAAAATGTAGAGGTCCGTTTTCTTTTCGCACGTTCTTAGCTTCGTCTGCATCTGCGGATAGTAAGTGGAAGTAGCTCTGGTTGTGCCAGGCGAGACAGGAGTTGCGGTAGCGATTGCAGGAACTTTCGGAAACTGGTCGTTTTCCCCGAATGATGGATCATCGGTGGAGTCTCCGGCAACGAAGGATTCGAACTCGTGCGCCTCTCCTCCGGTATCGGTAAAAATCGAATCGTCTGAAATTACGTGAACTACTGATTCTGAAGTCAACTATTGTCATGTAACTTGGATCTCAAGGGATTAAACCACCCTCTTATTTTTAACGTCAGGGTGATGTAAGCCCTTGACAGTAACGTAGTAAAGTTACCATCCAATGGGAGAACAGATTCGTCAGCAAACGCGAATGCATCTTGCCACAAATGTTGGAAATTAAAAGTGAAAGCCATGTTCCACAAAAAATTCCCAAATATGGCAATGGAGGTTGCTACAGAATCCGAGATTCTTGATGCCTTGGACTGATGAGACTCCTGGGGACTACACCTGCCCTGATAGTCGGTCACGGTTACTTTTCTGAAACGTACAAGAATCAGAGTAACCTTTTCAAGTAAATAAATGATTAACCTTTAACCAAGAATTAGAGTTTTGTACCTGTATATTCTATCCTGAACGAGAGAATCCATGATAGTACCATCGATTTCCCCGAAAAACTTTCCGGTATGCTCGTGGCGTTCGCTGATTATAATGAATCCATTATTGTCTAAGATATAACAGTCCAATTCTTCGGAAGCACAGTTTTTCTTGCAATTCGTGCCACTGCACTGTAAACACCAATTTGAAGCTCGTTCCAATCGATGGACAGAGTAGTCTATTCTAATTGTAAGCGACGATATAGAAAAAGAGGAAAGAAGAGAAGAAGAGAATAGAAGAAAAAGGAGCACAAACGATGCACGATGATCATACGTTACCGTAGAGGTAATATTAACGAAGTGGGAAGCCAGGGAGGAATGCTGAAACTGTAGACCTACGACCGCTGCGGGTGCCTTGTGTCCTTTCCCGATGAAAACCGCGTGAGTGGCGGTGACCAAAGGATTAGGACTATCGGCTGACGATGCAAACATAATTTAAACGTCAAAATAGGACAATAATAGTAGTACAATGGTTATAGATACATGCAATTTCATGTCAACGTATACCTCCTGTGTCCATACATGAATTATGTATAATTACCGGCGTCGAAGGGTACGCTGAAAACGAAACTCTCTGGTTCGATTGAGTGTTGATCCACCGCGCGCTTGTACCAGGATGAATCCATGGCTCTGGCGTACTTCTCGGCGAAGGGTCTAGAAAAAAAAGCTCAGTAAGAAAAATAGGAAAGCTTCCTTTTTTAAAGTGTACAGTCAAAGAGTAGATATAAGGTGTGGTAATATTGAACGTGTCGGTAAAGTAGAGAATGACATCAAATGGTAATGATTCAAAATGGTGGAAATCTCCACCATACTGTCTCACAAAGTTTCCATAATGAAGCTATTTGCAGAACTTCAATCCAAGAGGTTTTTGATAGATTTTAGAAGTTTTATGAGGAGAAATATTTGACATTAAATGGCAATAATCCAAAATGGTGGAAATCTCCACCATACTATCTCATAAATATAGTTTCCATAGTGAAGCTATTTGCAAAATTTCAATCCAAGTAGATTTACTAGCTCTTTGGAAGTTTTATGAGGAGAAGTATTTGACATTAAATGGTAATAATCCAAAATGGTGGAAATCTCCACCATACTGTCTTACAAATATAGTTTCCATAAGCTATTTGCAGAACTTCAATCCAAGAGGTTTTTGATAGATTTTAGAAGTTTTATGAGGAGAAATATTTGACATTAAATGGCAATAATCCAAAATGGTGGAAATCTCCACCATACTATCTCATAAATATAGTTTCCATAGTGAAGCTATTTGCAAAATTTCAATCCAAGTAGATTTACTAGCTCTTTGGAAGTTTTATGAGGAGAAGTATTTGACATTAAATGGTAATAATCCAAAATGGTGGAAATCTCCACCATACTGTCTTACAAATATAGCTTCCATAATGAAGCTATTTGCAAAATTTCAATCCGAAGTGGATTTACTAGCTCTCTGAAAGTTTTATGACTAGAAATATTTGACATTTACGGGTTATCCATGGTTTCTTCGCTCTGTTGATGCTCATGCCAACGAAAGAGGCCGCTTCTAGTAGCGATGAAACTCCGTGTTACGCCGAATCTGCCCTTTCCTTGACTGCAAATACAGAATCAATTAGATGATGGAAACGTCGGTAAGACATGAAACGAGGTGAAAACGTATAAACAAACGCTAGATCCTTTTATCTTCGAGTTTAGGTACCGTAGGTACCGTACGGTAATACATTAAACTCATTTAACCGCGTTTATGAACAATCGCGAAGAACTTTTCAAGAACAGATCGCGAAACTTGACTGTTATAAATCTAGACTGTGGTTATAGTGGACTTGTCTTCTGACGAATTAATGTTTCGAAAAGAACGCTAGTTCGTCGGAAAACATATTCCACCACGAGCACAGTTTTACGTAACGACAAAAAGGAATTTCGGAAGTTTTCGGATTGGGTCGTATGGTAACAAGAACGTTTAGAAAAACAATACATATGTACATATGTCACCGTGCATTATCGACGAGTGCGCTTATACAAATAATTGTGCATAATGGATTACCTGTGCAGTAGAGCCATCAGTATGGCAATAGGGCTAGCGGTGGAGACACACAATATAAAATGTAATGAAAATATGCGATAAAAGGTAGCATTGTAAATGAAAGAGATTAACCGTTGCGCATAGTACGTGTCACATATAAAATCATAAAACACGGTCAACTATAAATATACGCTAGATTAATTTGCTTCTATATACTGCGAACCTACATTTGACTAGCTTGATAACCTTAAATCAGTTTCTCTTCGCCTCTTCATTCTTTTCTTCTTCTTCTTGTTCCATGGCTTTTTTAATCACACCTATATATTCGTTGTACTTTGAATTAAAATCCAATGCAAAAACAGAGTTGCACCACAATTGATGTCCAAGCATCTAAAATAATTCTCCGTTGGGGTGGTTTATTGATTAGGTATTTGTCTTGTTTCCTCTGTTTCTTCCCTTCTTCATCTGTTCATGACTTATTACTCTTCCTTTCTGCGCTGTTAATTTCTTCTTCATATTCTTTATCGGCAGAAACCTTGATATTCGCGATTTCGTTGGCGACACGGCTATGCGAGACAACGGCAAAATAAAAACAGAGGCAACGGTACGCATTACTCTATCCGTTAAGATAATCGATTAAATCGGTGCGTAAAAATACCGCGTGCTCTTTTGTGCATTGCAGTGCATTGCGGTGCATTGTCAATATTTCCACACTATACATAATATATACGTATATATATATTCATTTAATTATATATATAATATATATAATATATATAATATATAAGTGCCCGAATATGGAGGACATGCATCCGTGAAGTCCACTTACGAGCTGCTTACCTTTGATTATCTTCTTTATGCACTGCACCTCTTTTATCGAAGCCGTCGGTAACCAAGGCATCTAACACAAGGGACTGCACTAACCTTTTGTCGCCTGTGAAGGGAAATCAATTATACTTCAAACTATAATAGTGATTCACTATTTGTGAATGCAATTATTACACCACTTACAGTAATACGCATCTTTGTCAGGCTTGCTCGCTTGTTTATGATGCGAGCTCGGACTCCTTGGTCTCAAGGACATCCATTTCCACCCCGGTCTGCGCGTTCGTGCCAAAAAATGGAGAACGCGTTCCTCGGGGGAGGAGAACCATTTCTCAGAAGCCGAACTATATTCACAGTATACCCAATCGGGATGCACCTTCCAATTATTTCCCTTAAAATATTCGGTTACTGCAAAACGTTCATGAAATATTTATTAGTATTTCTTTCACCGGCCCATCCCCCCTACAGTTAGCAGTGAACTTACCATTTATTATAGCATGTTTGATTTCTTGTTCGGCCAACAGTTCAAACATGCCGTAACCCTCGGGCAATGCTAATCCCAATGAAAACGGTGTTCCTTCTATCGGCTTATAAAAGTAATTGTGCCGTCTTATGGTAACTCGTCTCTGTGTGTATGTGTGTGTGTGCGCATCAACAGAAATAAAAGCATCTACGTTAAATAACATGGCGAATAATATGATAATGCGTGATTAGAAGTCGGGACGTGAAAAATATAGTGATTCACTACTTTCCATGATAAAATTAACAAGTAGTATTTATCAGTATTCTGCTCCCTTTTATCAACGAATAAGCGAACATTCGCAAGGAAAGTAAACGTACGTCGCTTGATCGTCGATAAATCTTTGACAAAATGGAGCACAAGTTGAACCCGAAAAAGCATCGAAAAGGAAGAGGCGCAGGGTAATGGGTGAACGGAGTATGAAACACCGAGCGCTTTTAACTTTCACTCACCATGTCATCGTAGTGAATTTTAATCGCAAAATCGGTCTCTCCCTCTTTCTGATCGATCATGTCGTGTCTTAGCTGAAAAACAGAGTAACAATAGAAGAGGTTCAAAGTAACGAAATTAGAGACACTTACATCCAGAAGAAGAGAATTGTTCAGTGGGTGCAACGGTCCATCATATTCTGCCAGTTCGACTTCTGACAAGTCCACGCTAATGTACGTAGGCTTTAACGTTTCTTCGTACTATAATAATATCTTTTGTTAATACAAGATTCTATTTTTACAAGAATAATTTATTAACATTTAGGATCTACTTACGTCCACGTTTCCTGGCTGCATTAAAAATATAAATGATTGAGTCAGCAAGTTCTCAGTAGTTTTCTGTTTTTCTTGCTCGAACGAGTTTTTTTATAATTACTCACCAGTGGTCGTAGATCCGGATGGTACAAGACACGACCGTTATTGTCGACGATAAAGGAGTATCCGTTCACACCCAACTATGAACCAATAGAATTGATATTGTAAAATAGGAAGCTAATGCTGTTAATGTTAATAGTTTAATGTATACCTTGTAAGGAGGGACCAGTTTCTGAATTTCTTCAATTGGCACATCTGTACCCACGATACCCAACAAGTTAGCCGTTTTCACCTGTAAATAATATTACAATGAAACCTTTTATCAAAACTGTGAAAAATAAAATTCGCTTACCGTATGATTTCGACGATCTAAAATGGGAGCTGTAACCGAGGTCATTAACTGTCCAACGTTTTCTTTGCCATATCTGCCACTCTAAAACACAATCAAGAACAATCTTATAATTCTCCACATCCCCAAATTTTACAAGTGTTTGCAAATAATTTCTATGTCACACTATGGCCACTGATGAAATGAGTGAAAAATTCCTTAATACCTTTCCGCCAACGTACACCGGGCTCCAATGTATAGGGTGGTCATGTTGGTAAAGTACCATAGGTCGCGCAAGTACTTTAACATACTCAAAAACTTTGCTCTTGATGTCTTCCAGATCAGTGATTCTCGCGTAGAATCCTAAAAAGCAACGAAAAGAAATGTGAAGTGTTGGACCAGTGGTGCTTAGTTAACGTTGATCCACAGATTTCAATACCTTTGTTGGCGCAAGCAGTGCTTCTCAGTTCCTCGCTCTTGTCGCCACCGATGAGATACGTGAAGATGCGCACAGGCATATGTGGCCAGTTGTACCGTTTTATGACCTCTGTAGGCAAGCCTGCGTTATCAGCGGTGATCAGCATAATAGCTTGATTGCATTGACTCCCTTGGCCCGTCCTATTGTATCTGTGAAGAATCTCGAAAGCGGTCGCGAGGGCTGCTGATATATTTGTCGGAGTTTCCTCGTGTTTCATCGAACTGGTCGCCATTTTCAACTCGTGCAGATTTTCCGGCGACGCTTGCACCAAGCTATCCTTGAAGCATTGCACGATCTCCTCAGCGGTATCCCCGTATCGATAGACGTTGACATAATCATCAGGGCCCAAGGTGTCGAGTATGGTTTTAACGGTGGTTACTGTCAGACGTTTGTTTCTTTCGGAAGCGTAGCAGTCCACGTCAATTAATATAGCCAAATCTTTGGGACTGTTCGCGGCTCCAACGAACCACTGAGAAATACGGAAGTCGTACACGTCTCGGACGACTCGATTCACATTTTTTGATGCACCGCCAGCTCGGTGATTGATCGGTGGCCAAGATATAGCTGAAAAGTTACATTTAGGTTTACCGATCGTTCAGGGTATTGTTAATTCGTGATAAAATATTACCAGGGAAACGACGTAGGAATCCTGATGTTGCTCCATAGTACTGCCAGGATAACGAAGGATCGCTTTCATAATTATTAACGAATAATAGATCCAGATATTCACTCCACTGGATTGCAGCTGCTACTTCTGCATCTGAAAACGTATGTATAAAAATACTATATGGTAGAATTGAAAACAGAATTGTATCATAGGATGTTAAATTAATTATTTAGACCTCTTTGTTTTTGCTTACCGACATCTTTCACCCCGGCAGGTAATAAAACCGTTGATAGAGTAGCGTTCACGGCTAAGTGATCGAAATGACGATTAGAAGATAGGAAGGATTCTTGACCGGTCCACGTTCTTCCATCTCCAGTAAAGGTGGCGTCGAATCGTTGAGAAGCGTAATACTTTGGTGACACGTTTCCATCCCTAGGTGCCGATACTGCCGCTTGTTCAGCGCTTTCCACTAACCTCTAAAATTCGATGATCGTGTATTGAAAACTGGTCGAATTCGATGTATGTATGTGCGTACATAGTACGACCGCTTTTCTTACCATAACGGCGTTCATTTTGAAATCCAGCATATTTTTCACCTCCGCCGCCATTTCTCGAACTAAGACAAGACCATCTTTTCTTCCGAACTCTGCCCCCATGTCGTGATATTTCTATAAGTATCGACAAAATAATTTATTTTCAAAAAACACCACTTTTTAGAACCTTAAAATTTTCATCGAAAAAAGTATCTGTTATTTTTAGAAAATGATTATCTTACCCTTTGTATTTCGCTCATTTTTGTGACTTGTTTGCCAAACTCCCATAGATCTACGCCAAACTTTAACGCCCAGTTTTTCACCCTGTAAAATGAAGAAAGAAAATCATACTGTTTTTGAATCGCTTCAAACTTTCAATTAGCAATAGTTAACTTGCGCGCGCACCTTAACGGTACACTGACAGTTTAAAAAAATTCTAAGGTTATAATTTTCGAATCGCCAAATCAAATTTATTAATTTTAAAACTACTACATTTTCAGATTTAAATAATCGCACCGTGTATATCAGTGCCTGTCGGACACATGGTTTACCTGCATCACTGTTTTTGCTTCCGATGTTTATTTCGAAGTATGCACTTGTATAATTAGAAACTCGTTACCCTCCATTTGTATGGATGATGGGTGATCTCGTAACACGATCAATCTGAGCCAATCAGCGATCAACATTGCTCGATATTCCACAAATCAACGTCAACTATTTTGCACGTTGCGTTTAGTTTACGCGATGAGCATCATTGATACAGCGTGTATGTACGTATATGCATTCTCACGTGCGCACGCACTCACGCACGCACTCACGCACTCACACTGCATCGGTTACATGTACGCATACGTGTCGATTGTGATTTTCGTTAATCGACTGTGTATGCGTAACTCGGTATGCGCCTGCGTTCATTCCTCGTATCGTAGTTTTGCTTCAAATTTCCGAAAGCATCGGTATTTTTTGTTCTACCTTTAGGCGCTTACCATACAAACACCTGAACGATTAAACGGCTCGCGACCTTTATAATCCCCTGCATTTTTTTCGCTCGGATAACGTAATATTTCGTTCATAATTTTGCCCCTCCCATTCGTTTGTTCATTGGTGAAAAGCAAGAATATTAAATGTTCCATTTTTTCGTATACTTTTCGCGATTTGCACGTTCATGAAAATTGTGACTATACGACGATGAATGAATGTACTTGTTTAATTTCGACTTGTTTGTGCGATTTTATTTGGACTTTTGACAAAATACCCACGCCCTTTCAATGGTTGGGTTCTTTTAACATGTCTGTTTTATGCATGCATTGTAATGTACGATACATCGCGATAAAGTAGCACTTTGTACTTACTCGTTGTGAGGTATATCCTCTTCCTGTTGATAACTCGATCGGATCCATAGTAGTAACAACACTCCGTAGTGGACGAGCTTTCCAACGGACAGAAACATTGTTTCGACGCTTTTGATGACCAATCGAGATGCGTGCAAACGACGAAGCGAACCAAGCAATCTTTTAAGAGAAACGTACGCGTTAATCCAACGTTACTTCACGAAAAGAATTAGTCTTACCGCTCCCTCGTAGTAGCGATCGATCGACCGGAGCACGCGAGTCAGCGTTACGTGCGTGAATTTACCGTTTCGATGAAATCTTGTTTATCCTTGCATATACATAATACGCGAACCTATATATGCATTTACGTATACGTACATGACACGAATTTGTTACGCTAGTACGAAGAAATTCACACGTACCGTTCCCCTTCTTCTGCTGCACTCGTTCACGTATTCTCGTAATCCTTTTCCGTACAACTTTATTACAGACGGAAATCTTCTTAACGTTATGAAATTGCTACGAAAATAACCATGGTCACGGTCACGAATGTAACGAAGCTAAGACATTTCGCGAGATGTCAAGGAGACGAATTCGAGACGTAACGATTCACTTTACGCGCAGTTTTTCTTCGTAGACGTTTTTCAGCTTCTCTAACGATCGAATCGTCTCAGAAAGATATCTTGAACGTACATGAACCACCCGATCGACCGATCGCTCGTACGACGAAGGCTTAGGTAAGAAAAAGTAGAAAAACGATCCTACGTCACTTTACCCGCCGGATAAATCACCGTTCCTCTTTATTATCGTATTCTTTCAACGTGGACGCATATTTTCCCATTTGCGAACGAAGTAGACATCGTTCGATGCTCTTTGGACGCGATTCGTTTGTGCACGATTCACGATTGCACCACCGATTACCGCCTTGTCGCGCGATCTCTCAAGTATGTTCACACCGTAACGCGCACAGAACCCAAAAGAATGAAGGACGGGGGTGGGATAAGGGAGTACTGGTAGTGAAAAGGGGTGGGGAAAGAGAGAGAGAGACGAGAAAGCAGGAGGACAGAGACGAAGATAGAGACGGAGAGAGTAAGAGCGAAGGGGTGAATGCGGAGGAAATGAAAGAAAATATGATAGAATAATAGCAGGTATTTAAACGCGGTAGACGTCTGACGCAATATTTTATACGAAAGAAATGAATTCGCAGCGAAGATTCACGTTATATTTTTCCTCGTAGATAAACGAATGTGCACGTGTCCGTTCCGATCACACTTTCTCTCATGAAAATCGAGCAAAGATGGTGTACGAATCGCTTTATACTCGAAACGAAGGTGGCTGCTTGGTTGGTTGGCGCGCGCGCATTACTCTTACTACGTCTACGCTGGACTCGGATGTTTCAAGAGTTACGATATTCCAGAGGGTGTGAGCATGTGTACTCGCTACCACCCCGCTTAAACCGACGGAGAAATGGAAAGGTAGGCAGTTGACGAACACCGAGTAGTAGTAACCAGAATATATAGTGGTGGTGGTGATGCCGATAGTACCGGGGGTGCTGCTGGGGGTAGGGATGACGGTGGTGACGGCACCTCGACGCTAAGGTTGACGATGGTGTACCCTGTTCAACGAGAGACCATGCTCATTGTGCGACCAATTTTCACTCGTTCTGCGCACGTGCACTCTTCATTGGTCCGCTCATAGTTTGTAACCAGTGGCAACGCGCATGCGCACTTGTGACGCAATTTAAATTTGCAATTTTTTACAGCCTCAAATTTTGACAGTTGCAAATTACCAAATTCTTAAATTCCAAATCATCAATCATATATAACACTGCAATACGACATTCTTAAGTTTCTAAAATCTCAAATTTGTTTATTAGATCATGCTTTATACCTTGTGCGTGCTATATTGTGTGTGTGTGACTAATATTATATGATCAGTAAAAGAAAAGTGACGCTGATAATGAATTAATTCAAACGCTATTGTTTGCAGTACTCGCAGTATCGAAGAAGATAGTATTCGTAATGGAATAAAACTGGAAGGACGCTTTGGATTCGCGGCGCGAAAATAGGTGGTGGGAGGTGAAGGTTGCAAGATAACGGCAAGCAACAAAGACGGGAGAACAGCGTCAAGGAGAGAAACTCCTGTTCCACGTCGGAGAGAATAGAAGCGCACGATCAACGAACAAGTTCAGACTTAGCGAGAACGAGATACGACCTCGCGCCATCGCGTATATATACGAGTAGTTGTAACCGGGCGCAAGCTCGGCATCATTGATTTAACGTGTATCTATGGTTTCCTGCAAACTCAATTTACTAGCCTCTTTCTTCTTCTTAGAATTATTGCCGCAAACTTTAACAACTTTTCTAGCTTTCGCCTCCTATTCGGTTTTCCAAACGAATTTCTTTTTGTTCCACATTTGATTTTATGTACAAGTACTTGTTGGCTCGTAGAATGTCTGAATGGTTATAGAGCTCGCCTTTTTTTTACACGGCTACAGGGATGTCTCACAATTTGATGAAAGTCGCATTCATGTAATTTTAGAAATCCTGCCAACAAGTTTATTTATATGTAATACATAATCGTCGTGAATATAAAAATATATCTAACGAAAACACGGTTTTTTCATACAGCTAATACAGTGTATCTAACTTTGGGCATACATATATATAAATAATAAAAAAATAATCTAATTGAATAATGAAGTTGAAAAAGTTCCACTTTTTTAGGGTCGTAGTTATTTATTTTTCTTGCTTTTCATTTATTTACTTATTTTTCAAAAATCCATATAGAATATTTCAGATAACAACATAAACATTCTTACTTACAAAGTTTACTTATGGTTAGATACCATGTTGCTGTTACTGTCATTAATGAACAGCGGATGATCATGCATTAATGAGACATTTGCAAAGTACACAAATCGTTTAATCTTCGGATATTATAGATTATACGATTAAGATTTACCTTGCACATTTAGAAATATCATAAATGCATAAGCATTCGCTGTTTGGTCATTAAACATGATAATTGCTAATACTACTAAACACGATCGTTATAATCACCATTAATGTCTTGTTTCTATTACCGTTGATACAAAGATTCGCGAGTAAAAGTTCACGGTATTTACGCTAGCTAAAAAAGAAAGGATGCCTGGGGACGGGCATAAATTTTCATCGAAAACCCTACGCTTAACGTTATATATTTTCATATACGCGTAGATTGACGATGGGACGAAGCTCCTGCTGGGCATAATCTTCTGGCAATGGCAAATGGGACACCAGCTGAAGAATCGACGTAGATTTACATCCGTTCGATTGCAACAAACTTCTAGCCAAGTGTAATGTTCTCTTTGCTATTTCCGCTTGACAGAGTCTGAAATGGAAGCCACAGTTTTCAAAGTAATGCACAGAAACAGAAGTAGTCAAATTTTTACTGATCACTTCTGAAAGATTAATATAAAATTAACAGATCTACCTGTGTTTAGCCGTTGGGCACGGGAAGTGATTAATGTTATAAGAAAGTTGCTTCAATCGCTGTTTCACTGATTCTAATTTACAATTAATTCCGCGAGGATCAACGCCTCGTAACAGGGATTCAATGTCCATCGTTATTTCCATGTATTCCCAAAGTAGTTCTCCTTGACAAGACCATTTGCTTATAGTGCTGCTATGTTTCAAAGGTGTCAACGGACGTAACAAGTGACACAAATATTCATAATTTTCTATAAAAAGAAAATTATTAATTCAATACTATAACTTTGTAGAAAACTTCCTTTAGGTTTTCAAGACAATACCGTTTATTATAGCGTCTGCTGCCAGGTGCTCGATGATGATTTCATGAGCTGTGTCCCATTGCTCTGCTTTGATAAAGTAAAATGCCGCTTTTCCGTATCTAATAAAGGAGGACAATTAACATCAACCGACAACCTATACTTATGTAAATATCTTTAATAGGCTAACCTCTTGGCGGAGCAACTCTTCATAGCTTTGGCTCGGTGAATCCATATTGAGGGTATACCCAGCTCTTCCTTTAGAAACTTTTCTTGTTCCACATAATCATCGATATCATCTATTTCGATATGACGCTGCAATAAACTCATTACTGCAGTCTTCCTTTTACCAGCATCTTTTATGTGTAACATCACGAATATGGCCCAATGCCAGAGACCATATGCCTCCAATTGTGTCGCGAAATTGATGTGCGTCAAAGTCGCTACGTGTTCCGACAGATATGAGTAACCTAAAGCTAACAGCACCTGCTGCACCAACCAGCTGTAATTGAACAATGTTTAATTATTGATACATAATTAGAAAACTCCGGGCCTAAACTTTAGGTACATATTATAAATACCTGAGCCTATAATCCAGTGGATCAGCGGTATGTGTAGCCGGATTCAAAAGCTCTCCCAATGCATGATTACCGGTGCAAAATAATTTTAACAGATGGAAACAAAGATCGTATATTGGTTTGTTGTTAGTTGTTTCTATTTCGTAATGGTCACCTTTATATTCGGGTGTAGGTGCTGCTGCATAAGGGTATTCGTTCTTGATTGGGTCGAAAGCCTCCTCATACTGCTCTAGAGCGTCTCTTATCGAAGCTACCGGAGACGAGAAATACCTGCAATGCAACGTACGTTAGCTTAAAGAATATGCAGGGTGTCTCACAACTAGTATTTAGTATCTCACTACTGAAATGAGGGGGAGCTGATTCTGAATAAGATTTCCATTTGCAAAAATTTGAAGCTCCGTTTTTGAATTGTTAAGAAAAAGCACGGACCAATGAGAGTGCGAGGATTGCGCATGCGCAGACGCGAGAGCGGCAGCTTCGGATAAGGCGTAGTTATTCAACGCGTGGTAATTCAATGCGTGGTAATCCAACGCGTTGTAATGCAACGTGTAGTAATCCAGCGTGTGGATATCCAACGCGTAGTAATCCAGCGCATGCATATTCAACGCGTAATAATGC